TATACAATAAGAACTAGTTTACTTATGTTTTCAAACCTTTTTTTTTTTGTTTTACTATTCATCAATGATTCATTCTTTAAAAAAAAAAAAAGAAAAATATTGAATCCAAATTTTATTTATTTTATTAAAAAAGTTACATAAAAAATATTTTTTATTTGAAATATTACATTCAATATTTATTTATGTATATATTTTTATTTAATTTTTTCAGACTAATTCAAATTATATTAAATTCCAAAATAGTTTGAAAATAATATATATGTAAAGAAATAGTACAAGAGTTTCTTCACGCAAAGAAATAAAATTCGTTGCTGAGACTTAGGGTTTTGTCATTTTCTTTAGTAGTCAGAAAGTTCCTTCAACGCAAACTTCACCTAAATTGCATTTCACTCTTTGCTTCCCCATAAAAATTAACTAACCATATAATTAAGCTTGGTGAATACATTACTTTTTATCCACTTATAAAATTATAAAAACATTGTTACTAAAATGTTTGTTTTTATTATTATTTTTTAAATTAAACACTTAAACTCAAACCAAAACAAATTAAAATTAACAAATCTTTACATTCATTCATATATATATATATTTATAACGTAGGAATTGCTACCTGAAAGTGTGAAATTGCACACCGGGTAAACCCTAGGCGAACCATGTATGACAGGCAAGACCTGGCGTCAGAGTTTGAATACATAACCTCATAATTACAAGTATATCTCCATACCAGATCATCCTTTACAGGACTAACCCTAATTCCTTACATTTTTTTTTTCTCTGGCCAAATCTAATACCCTGCAAATTAGGCCAAAAAAAGCAAGTCACACTAGACGAACTATGTGTGATAGATAAACCTGTACGTGTCGGGGAACCTAGTACCCTGCAAACTAGCCCGACAAGGCAAATGTTTAAAAAAAATAAAAACAAAATGTTCTCTTTTAATTTTTATCACTGTGTTTTCTTTTAATTTTTATCACCCAAACTTTTCAATAAATACCATATTATATTTCACAAAATATTTAGAAAACAATAAAAACAAACATTTCAGTAACAATATTTTTGTAATTTTCAGTAATCATGAACCTACAAAAAAATTTCTAAAAAAATCAATGCAATATCTTCTTTTTTTTTTAATCGGAAAATCAATGCAATATCTTCGTTAGCTGGATTGTGTCCATTCCGGGAGGTAACTCATCACACTTACGCCACACCCATATTCCAAAATTATACATACATATATATATATATATGAATCCATATATTTCCTCTGTGCCATTTAAGATCAAACTAAATTTCGAAACACACCATATATTATATCTTCCAAACACTTCGAACATACATTATACATACATACATACATACACATATATATATATTATCAGCATCGATGGCCGCGGCCGCGGGCGTGTTCTTGCCGGCAGCAGGCTGTTGTGTAAGTCCGAGGTTGCCCGGCGGCAGATCTTATTACCATATTAATAAAAATCGATACTACAAGAGATTTAGGATCAACGCAAAGGAAGATGAAGACAACGACGAGCGAAAATCTTCGTCGGCAGTGGATGAGAACATGGTGCTGCTGCGGATGAGGATAAACAAAATCAAGCATGATCATGATCAGGACAATAAACTGCCTGTCGGGTCTCGAGAATCCTCGATGATGCCGCCGACGAACATGGCGCTGCCGTTGGGAATGGCCGCGTTGGCCCTACTGACGCTGCCGCTCGCCAACTCGGACTTTATCGACAATGCGATACATATCGCAAGAAAATTACTCGACGGGTGTCATGTCTGCATAGACATTCATTTTTAGCCCCCCGCCTCACCCCCTCTTTTATATATATGTATGTATATATATATATATATACACGAGGCTAGCAGCAAAAATAATAAAGATAAACAACATATATTATATATAATATAAGTATATATGTGTTATTGGCATTTGAGCAACTACTTCTCAACATACAATACAAATTAAATTAGAATGTGTTATCTCCGATCATCGTCTCCGTTTATTCAGTTTTATCTTCAAATATGCAGTTATTACAATAATTTTACTCCCATTGTAACTCCATTTTTCACTATTATTCTTCAAATATTCAATTTTTTCTATTATTTTAAACAACTTTTTATTTTTATAATTTAAAATAAAATTTTAAAAAATAAAAATTAAATTTATAATTTTAAAAATAAAAATAATAATAATAAAGCAACGGCCAAAAATTGGAGTTGAATTTGGCATGGGTCGGAGACAACCCACGCCAAAAATGCTGGGTTGGAGATGCCTAAGTAGTGTCAATTCTCTCTTTTTTCTATGACTTAGTAATTCGTAATTGTTATTTTCCGAGTATGCTTAACTTGGATAAATTTCGAATCGAACTTAATAGTCTGTACTCTGACAAAATAAGTCATACTAGTCAAATTATGTATAGCAGGAAAGACCCAGAAACGCAAGTTCTTATCATATATTTGTGTTGTTTTAACAAACACACTTTGCATAAGTAAATTTTTTATTTGACTTTTGGTACATGGATTAAAGTAAATTAATATTTTATAAATATATAATATAATAAAATAATGTAATGTCCATTTTATTATTGCCATTAAAATAAAATAAAAATTACTTTTACTAAAATTTTTTTTAAAATAGTCTTGTAAATTATAATGCAATCTTATAACCGAAACAAAAACAAACAGAGAAATAATTGCTTTGACTATATATGGTGGTAAAAGATTGACTTAGTATTCGAAGAAGAACCATCAATTATTTAACGTTATGTATATGGAATTTATTCAGCCGTACTACTTATATTTCTATTGTACTACCTTGTCTTACTAATTTTTTATTTTGAAAGTTCTAAAATTTTTGTATCATATGTTTATCAATAAATTTTTATTTATCATTTTCATTGCAATTATAAATTAAAAAAAAAATTAAAGTAAAATAATAAAAAATAACTATAAAAATTATACCATTGAAAATTTTGCTGAAAGCAATTTTAGATAAAATATTGAGAGCAGTGGATCAAGTTATACTAATATTTATAATTTTAAGTGTTTTGTACTCAAATATGAGAAATCCTATAAATATTATAGGAAATAATAATTTCTATGTTTTTATTTATTTTTCTGTATTTTTATTGAATTTTATTGAAACTTATATTTTGTATATTCTGTTGTAAAAAACATACATTACCTTTTCTTATTATTTATCATACAAAATAGGTCTTTTTCATTTTTAGCAAAAATAAATCATACTATCTTTTACAATTTTAATTATTTTTTTTTTATTTATTTAAAAACATAAAAAGTAAACATTATATTAAATCTCATGTTCAAACCAAATGAATTTATTTTTATATGACAAATGGAGTATCATATCTAAATATCAAAATACCCTATTTAAAAAAAAAAAAAATTATTTTCTTTATATTTTTCAAAAAAAAAAAAATGGATATTGAATTGGGAAGAAGGGAGTATATATATATATATATATATTGATAATATTGTTGAAAAATGTGTAGGAATAAACCAGAAAAACAAACCAGTTAAATAATTATATATATATATGTAAAGTTTATTGACCAAGACAACTAATATTAATATATATTGCTGTCGATTTCTTCGACACAACACAGTTGTAAATCGTCATAGCTGTGATCTGGGGTTCAGACAGTTATATAAATCATCATCATCATCTGTGTCGTAGAAGAAGAAGTAAGAAAGCTTACTAATTAATTTCTGGCACACAACAATTAATAAGAATGTTGTGTTCAGTAAATTATAGTAGTATTTGTCATCGACACCACCCCACAGTTCCATTTCTGCCATGGAAGAAGATTACAGCATTTCATCATCCTTTTCCAGTAAGAGCCCAATGTTACAGAGATGAAGGTAATTAGGTTAACTAATTACTAATTAATCATTACACACACATATTTATGGAAATTTGTTGTGTAAAAATATTACTTACATTATTAACCCATAACTTGAGTGTATTTGCCTTTTGTTTGTATTTACATAGCAGTTTGATCATAAGGTTTTGTAAGAGATAATTAAACTCAATCAATCCAAATTAATTTGTTTGCTATTATTTTTATTTCAAAATATCCAAAAATATTTGTAATTTTCTTTACTTTATACTCTTCATACACAGAAAAAAGAGCAAATGAAATATACATAAAACTATTAAAATTATAACACAAAAAGTCCTGTTAAATAAAAACTAACAAATAATTATAATGGAAGTAATATAATTTTATAAAAAAAAAATTACATAAATTGTATACTAAAGAAACTGAAAAAAAAAAAAAAAAAAAATATTATATGAAATGTATAGTAAAGCCTCAATTCATTGATATCTATGAGTGTGTGTGCATATTACCGTGTTTTAGATGTAAAATTTCCCTCAATCAACAATAAAGTTTGAACGTATAATTTTGTATTTTTAATTTGACATATATATAAGTTAGATATATATTATATTTTTCAACAATATTAATCGAAAAAAATGTCGACTATTCTTTATGTTTCGATTGCAAAATCTCCATTTCAAATTTGATCGACTATCCATATGTATAAACAAACGACTCCATAAATAACACTCTTGTCTATGTCCGGTGCCTTATCTCGGGTTATAATATCCATTCAGGGAGATCAGAATACATCGCAGACGACAATTTATGGGTGTTGAGGGAGAGAATAAAAGAAGCCAAGAACAAAGCACAGCTCGAAAGATGTTACCTAGTCGAACAGGGCTGGAACTATCAGAATGTCATCGAGGATCAAGAACCAGAACAACAACCATTGATTCAGTTCATAGTTACTCTTGCTGTCACTTTCAGCCTCCCGGTTTTCGCGTGCACATCTTGCCTCTATCTAGTTTCGATCTGGGCTCATTTAAATCAGTGATTTCCGGCCCTTCTTCACCTGTACAAGTGCTACAATGCGGTATTTCGCATGTATTTTATGCAACATATTCGAAGAAATAGTTGCAGCAATAGTTAAAACCAACGCCTGTGTTTAGTGCAAACAATTTTTTCTACAACAGTAATTTTGAATACACACCAAATGATGATGAAAAACTTCCTGCTTGTTTGCTAATCCAGAGACCAAATTCACCAACAAAATGCCATATATATATATATATATATCCTCGGGAAAGGGATAGGGATCGGGAATCATTGTACCGTCGTGGGGAAATCACTTTCTGAGAAATGCCACAGTTGCTACACGGGATCCGACCGAGCCACCAAACATGAATGTTGGATATGTGCGAATGTGATCCACATATTGGAATATGGTCTCACTGGTAGACTCGGGGTTCGCATTAATGTTTGGTTCTTGAGGCGCGCTGTTCCTTCTTTGATTGAAGTTCTCCACCTCTTGTATGAGCTCATCTTTAGTGCTGTTGCATGATGTAATAACCTAACCAATCGTGCGGATATAAGAAGCATTGACAAACAATAGAGTTACGTATAGGAAGCTGTGACAAACAAAAAACAGTATGTAGGAGCCAATATTTCAGAAAAATGGAAATTGAAAGAAACTGCGACTGTTGTGGGGTCAAGAGTATAATATGCAAGAAAGATGCTCACCAATAACCCACCAGACGCCACAAGCCCAGATATGGAGTCCCAATACATAATCCTGTAAAGAGAATAGGCATTGTCAGAAGTTTCACAGTCGTAACCAGCTAGGCAAACGTGATATTACTATAGGTTCGCATCAACTGTAGTCTTCTATTGTACATATAACACAAAGAATAATAATTTGTTTATCAGTTTCAGACACAAACGATACTTTATGTTGCAGGGAAAAGAGGAAGAAAGTGATGCAAATTATAACACAAAGAATAATTTTTTAAGATAAAAATTGCTTGCATATGATAAAAAAAGCCCAAGATCATATTTGCTACCGTTTGATAGGACCATCGGGGTGCAATCCAATAGCATCCAGTGTTCCTTTATCGGTAACAAGCTGAAACTTCCGGTCTATTTTTGTGTCAAGGACATCATCAACCTGGATATCAAATCAGCATACAAGAAGCACATTGATAAATTAGAGCTGCAGTATGACAAGAATGAAGTAAATCCACTGGTCAAGGAATTCATTGCGGTGCCTTATAAGTAAAGAAAAAGGCTTTATGTGAAAGCATTTGATCTCTGAATTGGTCTATCCATACACCAATATCTACATTTAAGTTTTGTTTATTTTAGTTTATGTTACAATGTCAAATGAGAGGACTTCAAATAAAGAGATTTATATCCTTTTTATCTTATTTACATATCACATTAATTCTAACACGCAGAAATGGTCTTATCAAAATATGGCAATTTTTTACATTGGAAACATAAAGTTAAAAGTCATGAGCAGTAAATCTCATTCTCACACGCAGAAATGGTCTTCTCAAGTTAAAAAGTGCAACATTGATCATTTGACAACAAAAGTAGGATCATAGGAATAAGACATGAAACATACCAAGAATTTAATATTGGAGAAACCGTCACGATCAGCAAGGCTTCGAGCTAAATCAATTGCTCCTTCACTGTAATCAGTTCCGGTGAGATCTGAGAACCTAAGTTCATGATACCATATTCAGAAGCATGTTCGAAACAACAGTCAAATCAACCAAAGAAAAATCAATAAATTTTCAGCTCATGTAAATCAGAAAACAAGTAATACACATTTATAAATATAATGAATTCTAATTTAGCTTCAGTAGGCGCATCACTACAACCAGACACTAGAGTGAACAGTGAACTAAAGTATAGGTAGAAAATAAGATACACAGTGGTTATTCATAGTCCCCAAACCACCATGTAACAGAAACGAACTTGAAACAATGACCATGTCACATGGATCATAAAGCTCCAGCCATCATTAGCTGGGGACCTTGGATGGAAGCAATTATGATGTTAAAAATTTATGCAACAGCTTGTTTAGTTTATATCATAGAATATAAAGTTGTCCCAATAACACCTATGAAAAGCAATCTGATAGACCTTATTCTGAATCAAGTGAGTGTCAAATGCAATAATTCCTTGAGTGAACACTTTTTCACTGAAGAAAATCCAAGTTTGTGGAATGACAAGCTATGTACTGTATTATTTCTCATCTGCCTTGCATAAAATAAATAAATCAAAAGTACTAATGCATACATATTGATAGGATAGATATTGATTAATATGCCTTCTCAACAGATTGGGGGTGACCTACTGTAAGAATATTAATAAGAAATTGCATGTGCAATCGTTAGGATGATGGCAAAAGCACAATAATCTAATAACAAGAAAAAAATTCAAAACAGCACCAATCTCACAGTAGACATTGACAGACTCTCCTGTAATTGACAGAGACTTCACAACAAGTAGAATATAATGTAAAACTCACCATTAAGCCTTTGAAAGTGAAGTACATCATATATATATATATATATAATATTGGCATCGAAAATTTTAGACAAACTTTTAACAAGAAGATCCTGATATCTGAAGCTATCCATACCCCTGCTTAGCAAGCTCCTGCAGAAGCAAGCCGTTACCAGTTCCAACATCCAAAACACTCCAGCCAGATAGGTCTTTATCAGGTTGTACACCAGTAGAACAGTTTGTGTTAGCCACATCGTTTGGCAAGGGATTCTGAGAAAGTTCAAGGCATAAATTTTTTGTCCAGGAGGCAACATTTTCCATTACATCAGCACCAAACCTAAAAATAGAAGGCAATAACCTTAGCATCGGATAAAAGTTATGTGCAAATAACCTCAACAGAAAGGCACCAACAGCAGCTAAAGAGAGTAGTAAATGCAATACCTTTTCATTCTGTTTATTATCTATTTAAGCTGTTCTTTTGTGGGCAAAACACTGAACATCTGAAATTCCTTTCTCAACTGCTTAAGTTTGAACCATAATAAACAGAGTAATAGCGCAGAAACATATACGCATAATCTCATGATAGCCTAGATACAGTGGAACTACAGAGGACTTAAGGCTGAAAGTCTGTAGACTAAATCCACTGCAGTCACATATGCTGAAAGCCCAAAAATACAGATAAAAGTAGCATGGCCAATAAAATTCTTCAACCCTCTAAAAAAACTATGTAGGTCAGCATAGAGAAATGTTTTCTAGAGAAGGGAAACAAATACAGTATATAATAACCCATTCAGATTTTGCTCTTGATGTGTCGATTGTTTCCATCTGTATGGTACTTTACCAATTTGATGATTATACATGAGCTAGGATTTCCTGATGGTTTTGAGATCTGGAATCCTATTGAAATTATATACAGATTTATTCGTACAGCTATTCTAAAATTCAGCCTATTTATGAGAATAAAGTAATGAATGTATATCATATTATAATATATACTTACAAAAACTCCACAAGCACCAAAAGAAATCAATTCATCCATGTAAAACACAAAAGTCGAGACATACCACACTTCACCAGAATGGCCATGTTCCCGGAAAGTTGCCAGTTCATCTGCATAGGCAGCATCCCAGTAACTCTGGAGACCAAGCATTGATGAGAGCTCGGCATCTGGCTCTTCTTTATCAGAACTGCTCGACACAGAGACATTTAAATTACCTCAAGGAATCATCCAAACCAAACATCAGAGGGTTTGTTTACTTAAATTTCAAACTATTTTTGTGCTATCTATTTACTATTTTTCCTCGAAAAAAGATCTATATCCATCACCCATAATCCAATCAAGATATAACATACATTAATTAGTTTAACCTAAAACTATCAAAATCCGCAAAACACAAGAAACCACAGATTCGAAACATACATTAATTATTTTAACCTAAAACTATCAAAATCCACAAAACACAAGTAACCACAGATTCGAAACAACACATCCCAATAGGTAGCCTTTACAACAAACGCAATGCCTTATATCCAAATTAGCACTCCGCAGTATCAGCTCAAAGAATGAAAACCTAAAACAACAAAGTTACCGAAATTCGTTGAAATCCGCTAAATTTTGCATAATTTGAAAATCAGAGTAACATTAGTATACATAAAAACTACTAATCCTCTCAATCTACGGCTACATAGATGGGCATACATTCCCGATCAAACAAAACTACGAAATCAGTCTAATGAAAGAGAGATGACCTGTAGTCGGAGGGGGCGCGACAAGCAGCGGCTAAGAGAGCTTCCGCAGCGTCGGCGTGACGCTGCTCGTCGTCCAGAGTACTGCCGTAGTCGCTCTTGATGGACCACGAGTCCGCGGCGACGGAGCGGTCATCATCTGAGATGAGATCGACGGCTGCAACCTGACGCGCAGCCTGAGAGACGTCGGATTCCTCCGGTGGCAACCTGATTCCGGCCATGTAGACAGCAACAAAGGGAGCAACTCAAGATCGAAACCCTAATTAAGGCTATGGAAATGACAGTAATTTATTTGATGAAGAAGAAGCTGATGAAGATCGGCGGATATACTTCCACACTGTTCCTGTCGCCACGTCAGATCGTATAAGGGTAAACTTGTAAATGCAGTGTGTTTGTTTGGGGCGTGTACTATTCCGTCTGTATGATGTAAAAAATAATAAAATAAAATAAAATAAAAACACTCTTCATTATTCATTTTGTATTTTCAACAACCAAGTAAATTGTGCAATTGGTAGCATATGTGAAAATTGATAGTAAAGTAGTATTTTTTATTTAACATATAGAATTAAGAAATTATATGAATTTAGTTATATATATATATATGATGATTAATTATCATTCCTTTTTTTATAAGTTTTTTTTTTATATAGCATATAAATAATATTTTGTAGTGTAGAATGCAAATAAGTTTTCGAACAAAAATGATAAATAACTATAAATCCATTTTGGTAACTTTCCTAAACAGAAGTCAATCAAATTTTAGCTAAAAAAAATATTTAGACAAAAATTATAAAATGGAAATAATTTTAAACAAACCATTTTCTTTTTTATCGTATAAACAAACTATTTTTGGAAACCGTCTCTCGTACCTCTATGCCAAAGCTCAAACCTTGGCCTAGTCCAATTATTAGCCAAATTAATTTTATTTACAATTATCCGGTCTAAAACTTTTTATAGTGAATTTATAGTATTTTCAGTTCATTTTTTTTTTTCTCCACTCGATACTCTCAATAAAATTGTTAGTAGTTTGTCCCTAAGAGATGATATGATAATGTAGAGAGGATTCATAATCGTGAAATTATAAGTTCAAATTTATGATATTTTCAAATCTTATCTATCACACACATTTCTCAAATTTTTCCCAAAAAATCAACTTCTATTTCAAATTAAAAAATACGCTACAAAAATGCAATTGCCCTAATATATATGTATGAACTAGTTAAAGGGCTGATTGTGGTTTGTAGGCATTCATATAAATATATATATATATATGTGAGAGGAGATTGTAGAGTAATAATCCTTTTTTTACAATATCGAAACTCCAAAATTTTCTATATAAAGAAAGCATGTGTTCGGGTCCTTTTTACCATTTCTACATTACGGACTTATTAAAAATTTACCTATTAACAAGACCGTTTCATTACACTTAGCTTTGCGGAACCATAAACAAAGCTACTTTAAAATCTCAAAATTAACTTGTATTGCAAAATTCTTTCTTATTTCAATTGTAGAGTATCATGTTCATTGAATATCAACTCATCGGTAGTCTCACTCGTGCCTTGAGATATTCTTTCTCTTGCTTCAATTGCCTGCAATGTTTATCAAATTATTTTGAATTCGATTGCTTGAAAGTATATGGCAAAGACAAAGAAGTAGAGATGTTGCGAAAAACCTGTATTTCCCAATCCGTGCGACTTGTTATTATCAACAACGAGAGGGATTTCAATGTCGATCCCACCACGAGACCACACCAAAGGCCTTCGCCCCTTAAATGCAGCACAAATCCGGCTACTAAAGCTACTGGAATTCCGATTAGATAGTAGGATCCGATGTTGACGTAGACGGCTATGTGTTGCCAACCGCTACCTCTAACGATCCCTGAGTATGAAGAGTGATGTAAAACTTTAGAATAAATTGTGTATTTTCTTTTTTCTTCTAATTCGATCTTCTAATTTTTCTTAAATATATATATATAATATATAATATTTATTGTTCATAATAGTGCAAGCATTCTACATGAAACATAACAACTAAAACACACACACAAAAATAAATTATTTCTACAAGTTTTTGTTTTTCTAGTTTTAGAATAAATTATTCATTTTTATTTTTTTTCAAAAACATCACACTGCACACCAATTTTAACTATTTCAACATAAAAATATGAAAACAAAAAAATACACACTAAAAATAAAAGGAACGCACATAAGATTTGTAATATTGTACTTTCCCTCTAATTATTATTTTCTTTTACTATTTAAAATCTTGAAATTTCTAAGACAAATTACTGCACGAAATATCAAATCATTTAAAACATTAAATCTAACGGTGATTTCAACTAAAAAATATCAAAACAAAAAATACGAAATAATATGCTCTCAGAAAACACAAGCATAAGTGAACGAACAACAACACATTTTATTCGATGGAAACAAAAAAGGCGTAGAGAGAGAGAGTACCGGAGAGAGCTGTTTCGAAGCCATCCATGATGATGCAAAGTGAGAGAAGTGGCGAAATTTGATTCACATAAGCAATGACTTCGTATTCGTTGCTGTATGCGTATCCCAACACATGTCGACAGCTTAATACAACCGCGCTTGCTGCTATGCACTCTGCAACTGAGACAACTAATACTGTGTAGAAGGCTGTCTGGGCAGCCTTTGGTCGCCTTGCTCCCAGTTCATTCGATATCCGAGTGCTATAAGTTCAATTTTCTTTATGTAGAGTTAGTGCAAAATACTATTTGCCGAGCACTGTTAAATTATGCGATAAAATTCAAAAGCAAACCTTGCAGCCGCTCCAAATGAATCGGGTATGTGATAATGCAGCGACATGGTCGTAAAACTACATTCACCATCGGCGCGTAAAATGATATAATTAATGTCAGCACAAGACAAAATCAACTAACAACATAATAGATGATACAAAATATGCTTGAAATATATCTACTATATAGGTTGTTATTACAGTCCTAACTATAGGTTGTTATTACAGTCCTAACTATAGTTAGTTAGCCCAGTGCTGCTGAACATAAAGACATATGCTAATATAATACAAATATAGAACATGAATACTATAATTGATCTCAGTATTAATAATACAACACATATATGAAATATAATAAACAATCTGCACCCTAATCATTTTTATATTGTACATCTCGTAAAATGGTACAACCATTATTTATAAGATGTAAATGATTCTTTTAATAAAAATAGAAAATATCAAATTCAAAATAAACATCGCATACCAAATAGACGATACAGATGTCTCGAGCTGTGGATTCGATAGCAGCCCAGAGAGTAAAACGATAATTTCATAGGACCACCACGCCAAACTACATCAACATACAAAATCCTCATTAGCAAGCCGAGCATCATAACTTATAAAATGCGCATATTTAAATCCAGATTACCAAATCATCAAGGCAGCCGGAATGGCCAAAGATAGAAATTGCCTTATAGTTAGAAAAACTTCCCGCGAGAAAGAAGTCGGATGTGTTTTCTTACATGATGGAGAATACACCACATAAAGCCCAAGAATGATTGCATTGAACCAATACGATATACCAATCGAAAGGGCTGCGCCTGCACTCCCTAGTTCAAGCCGAAAAATAAATGCCCAACAGAGAGGCAGATGGAAACACAGAGTGACTACCGTGCTTAGAAGCATAGGAAAGATCATACTCTGAATCTGCAAATATCGAACCAATGCTTGATATATTGCATATGGAAATAGTGAAGGGATCAACCACATCGCATATTTTCCTGCCTCGATTGAAATAAGAGGGTCTTGACCCACGAATATAAGCAGTTTGTCAATATAAATCCACATAATAGAGATGGGTAAAGCCACCAATAACAGACATATAATGCCGGTTAATGTGTATGTCCCAACTCGTTGGTGTTGTTGTGCTCCATATGCCTGTCCACATAGAGTTTCCAAAGCACTGGCCATACCAAACTACGGAAATTCGAAAAAAAAAAAAAAAGAATTTGTTAGAAAAAGTTCCATGAATGGAATAAATGACATAATGCAAAATCATGCAGTAATTTAGAGATGATTAAATTGCAGCCAATCGAATTAAATCAAATCTGAATTAATTCTAAAGAAATTATACAAAATATCATATCAAACATTAAAAATATAACAGAAATACAGAGTTCCATTGGACATATAATTATGGCAAATCAAATAATCTGTTATTTTGATGTTTGGTTTAAACATTTTTTTTTTCTTTTTTGTTTTATTATGAGCTATTGCAATTCCTCTAAAAAATGCATTATTTTATCGATAAAACATTACCTTTCAAACCAAAGCACAACCAAACCCTAAGTAAGCAATACCTTTTTAAAAATCAATTCGAAGTTAGGATCCATACTTAAAATTTTAGTTGGATATGATTTCACCACAGCGCGAAGTATTAAATATTAATAGCCACAATAATAATAATAATAATAATAATAATAATATTACTGCAACAAAAAAATATTTTTTTGTAATAAAATTTTTTGTCTCTAAATTTAATTTTTCCTAGAGATGAAATTACGGAATTACGTTAGCTACGTGAACTTTAGGGACGAAATTCCGTTACAAATATATTTTTTTTTTTTAGTAATAATAATAATAATAATAATAAATTCACAAAAAATGTTTTGTCTTCGACGTCATTATGTTTTTAAAAACATAGATCCGGACACAGCCGGCTAAAACCGTGCCTGGTCAGACCAATTTGATTTTTTAATTTTTTTTGTTTTTGAATTAATTATGGATAATTTTTTTATTATAAATAAATTATATTAATATATATATAAATATAAGTATGATAAAAATAATATATTTATTGATAATTAAAAAATTTAACATTAAATATATAATTATTTTATATTTTATGATATATGTATAATATATTTTAAAAATATTAAACTAAAATTTTATTCCATAAATCATGTTAGACCAGATACCTCTGTTCTCGCACAAGTCTAAAAATTCTTTTTCCAGCTATATTATCAATCATTCATCAATAATTGTATCAATAGCACTCTAAAGGTTTCTCTACACAAAGTTTATACTAATACTAGAAAATACTATATAAAAAAATAAAATCTCCATTTTTATGCATAAATAATTAACATTTTATTAAATATACTTTATTATATATATATAATTTTTACAATTTTAAACAATATATATATACTAGACGAAAAGATTACTCACGATGATGCTGTAGCCGGTGACATTAGCGATGGAAGTGGTGACGGAAGCACCGGAAAGAGACAGCTCGCCGAGATGTCCGAGCATAAAAAGCGGCGAAATGCGCAAAAGGTACTGCGAAACCGTAACCACCACCATTGGAAACGCTATGCTACTCACCCTATTCATCTCCGCCCAAATCGGAACCGAACAGAGGCGCCTCGTTCCTTTCTCCTCCGCCAGCAGCAACGGCGCTTCACAATCCTCCATTGCCTATTCAATCAGATTTCAAAAATTAAATTAGAACTCGAAATTAGGACGATTGTAATCCTCTTTGAAAAAAAAAATAGAGCATTGATACCATTGATGCGAGACTAAGTAGAAAGGAGGAAGCAGAGTTGCAGAGAAAAAAAATGCAGAATTGCAGGCGCCACTTCACTTTCCTATTAGAATGGTGGCTGCAGTTAGGGTTAGTATTTATTTAATATTATTATTTCTATATTTAGAAGCAGTTTTTAAGTTTTTAAGCTTGACTGGTCAAATAGTTGGATTAGGATATTTAAGTTTTTTATTGGGCTTTAACCCAATTGTTTTAATACCAGCAGATGGACTGCGTTGATGTTTTAATTCAACCATTAATTATGTTAATATATAATTAATTTATTTATCATCACAAATGATGAACTAAATAATACTTTTTCGTTTAAATACAGGACAATATTTGTTTTCGATGTGAAAATTTAAATGAGTAATTTTGAATGATAGAATAAAGTGTGAAGTGAATTTAAATATATTTAATTATTTATCATTTTAAAAATATTACATAATGTTTAAAAAATACTAAAAAGAAATATGACAGGATATTTAGAATAAATAAAATAATAATTATATCTGATTTTTTGTTAGAGTTGGTTGAGCAACAACTCATTGAATTTTTATTATCTTTTTGCAAATTTTAATCGGACTATTTAATCTTTATTTTGATGAAAATGTCAAATATATTATATAGTTTTTGGGAAGTTTGTTTAAAATTGGTGTGCTTTTGCTTCTTTTTAACTTAGTTATATTTTATTGTATAAATTTATAATTTGATTATATCATTAGAATTTATTTTTAATTTATTTTTGTTTGAGTTTATTTGACAGAGATTTTTTTAGAGAAATGATGTATTTAGAGTTTGCAGTTATTATTATTATTATTGAAAATATTACTTTTATAATAGCGAACAATATACTTTGTACGTATGGTCGTTCATATAATATATAATTAAAATAATTTTATTTTTGTAGAATTAATTATTATATTTATAGGTGATATTATTGTAAAAATATATTTATTATATATTTATAGAGCTTATAATTTAATTTTTGTTTAGGGCCTAAAAAAATTCGAGATGACATAATAATAACTACATGCTTACATTACTTTTGTAATGTTTATATAAACATAATATAATTGTAATTTTGTCTTCTAAGTGATGTTTCGTGTTTATATAAATATATGTATATACGGTAGATCTATACAGATTTTTGTCTTCTTTTTTTCATTTTAAAATTATTAGAATTTGTTAGTTTTATGTTTTTAGATAGATGTGTTTTTATGTAGAATTATTTTGATAATATAGAAAATGATATTTTATATTAAATTATTTTTTTATAAATTAGTATTCATTTGATTTTTTGTTTCAATGGGTATATATATTATTCTATTTGATTTTTTATACGTTCTATATTTTATATTATTTTCTTAAAAAAGAATTTCACATTTTAATAACATTTTAAAGGTTTGAATTGATAATATTTTTATATTAATTAGAATAATTAATTATTTTGATTTTAAATTATAATTATTTTAATTTATAATTACTTGTACCTATATTGTATTAGTACATGACTATTGAATGCGAGAGAAAGTATATATATATATATATATATAAAATTTTGGGATCATGAAAGATTGTATAATCAACAAAAAAAAAAAAAATACTGTACAATATATGTTATATTTTGTATAAAAAATAAATATATTTTATCAAAAATACTGAAATTGTATAGTAAAAAAATAAATTAGAACATAACATATTTCCAACTAATTAAATATATTTTATTTTTATTCTTTTTCATAAAAATGGATAAGTAACTTTATGTAAGTCATGAAATCTATGTGATATATATATATTACATATTACATAGAATAAGTTGCATACTAATTTCTAATTATACCTGTTTGAATATTGTCCCACATTGGATATGATGTGAGAACTTCATTGGCTTATAAAGGTCAAGGGTCACTTTACCTATCATGGTTTAGGTTGGAAATCTGAATCATTTCTTAACAATATAAAATATATATTTTGAAAGTGTTTTCTTTTATGAAATTTTTTTAACACATTTCTCCAAAAAAAATATTATATTAAATACACTCTTTATTTTTATATTATTTAACACAATTTCTACATCTCACATAAAAAAAAAAAAAAAATTCCTTCAAAACAAAAGCACCATTACGTGTTTTTGGTGAATATATATATAAATTATACTCCCTCCGTCCCACATATCGTGTCTGCTACACTGTAGACACAGTATTTTAGGAGGGGTGCAATTAGTAAATAATTAAGAATGTATTAGTGAAAATAATTATCCGATAATATAAATAATTATGAATTAAGATTAAGATAACTAATTAGTTTAATTAAAATTTAAAAAAAATAAAAAGTTTAAAATGAGATTAAAGTGTGTAGTGACATCATATGTGGGACGGACAGAAACGGTAACGTGGACATGGCACGTGGGACGGACAAAAACGGTAATGTGGACATGGTACGTGGGACGGGGGGAGTATAATATTTTCAATGAAGAATTAAGTGATAAATATGATTTTTAGACGGCAAAAAATATTAAAGAATAGACTGATAATAAATTTAAAAATATAAGTAAACAATGCTTAAGTCTCCTGAGTATGTCCATGAACAAGAAATTAAGAAAAAAGAAGATTACAAAACACACATATCTCATTAATTTCCATGCAATATATATATATATATGTAAGATATATTTTAGCGAGCAACATGAAATGACAATAAAAAATGATAAATAAAACAATAATATACTACCTCCGTCCAAGAAAATATGGGACTATTACTATAGATACGGTAATTTAGGTAAAATATAATTAGTAAATAATTAAGAAGAGTATTAGTAAAAATAGTTATTATTTAGTAAAAATAATTATAGATTAAGACTAAGATAAGTAAATAGTTTAATTAAAATTAAGAAAATTATAAAATTAAAAATTTAAAATGCGATTAAAGTGCATAATTATATTTCCAAAAATAAAAAAGACAAGTTATGTGGGACGAACGAAAATAGAAAATAGAGATAAATTATATGGGACGGAAGAAGTATAAAACAAGGCGGGGCGAGGTAGGTTCCGGCGTGATGACAGAAGACTAGAGAGCACAAAGGAGTGAGATGCGAATTCGACGCATTTCATCTTCGTCTCTGTGCTCTCTATCTTCTGTCAACAACAACCCTCCCGACTTCGATCAAACACAAACATCACAAAACCCTAAATACCACTTACGTCCGCATTCGAATTTTATTATCTATGCTCGATCAATCTCCATCTTCACGGCGTCGTCGCCCTAAACAAGAACTCAACATCCACAAGGGCTCATTTTGCAGAAAAAATAAACACAAAGACAAGAAATTTAAACACATTTTATTCAAGAATATGTATATATATGTATATAGTTTAATAGTTGTGTATATATTATCTATTTGTATATGAAATTTCGAGGGTTTTCCAACACTCTATTTATAGATGAAACTTGTGGTGTAATAATAAAATTGGATTCTATAAAATTTTGACACGAAACGGGTATATGTATGGAGGGGGAAAAAGGTTGAAATTCCCAGCAGTAAGAATACGAACCTTGCAAGAATGCTTTATTTATTATTTTATTATTGTTATTATTTATTTTTATTTTTTTTTAATTTTTATTTTTCGTCTTTATATCGTGCACCACACTTGACTTATGGGAAGACACTGCAGATTCCACAATCCTCACAATTAGTTTAATATTTTTTTCCAATTTGGTGTGTCGATTGTCGATTTGCTCTCGATTAAATTTCCTAATGTTTATTGGGAGGATATGCATGTAATAAAAAAACGAATAAACCTTTATTTATTGCGTATTAATCGATGAGAATATAATCTACCGAAATAAAAAAGTTGTGTACATATATATAAATAGATATTTATATAATCCAATCATTGTCTTGTTTAATTATACAATATTTATACACTTTGAAATTCAATTATCGGAGAAATTAGGGTTTTTTTTATTTCATTTTTTTTTTCTCAAAATATCATATCCAACATTCATTTTTCATATAAAATATTACTATTTTGCCTTAAAAATATCAAATTAATGAAAAAAAAAATTCACAAAAAGATGCCAAAATAACAACCTGTCACTAGTTCATTTCATGTGACACTTCTTGGATGTGTAATATGTTGAAGATATATAAGAATCATTGGTCATGATATGTTAGAGTAACAGTTTACTATTGATTAAGAAAGTTTTATCTTATTATTTATATATATATATATATATATATTACATCTATTACATTATCATAATATTGTAGGAGATTATTATACTTTAAAGTAGGAGTTTAATTTATAATGTTATGTGATACATTCATCAATCGTGCCTAATAAACAAGTCAATATATTTTTGTTCTAAAATTGATTCAATAAAAAATATGAATTAAATTTAACTCATGAATGAAGTTAGGGGAAAAAAAGGTCTCTTAGAATATCATTATGCTTACTACAAATGATAGGGTTATAATTTTGAGTACTATACTACAATCAATCAATCAATTACTAAGTCAATTTTTCAAATAAAAAAATTATTTGATAAAATTAATATCAATACTTTTGTATCTTAAAATAAAGACTCAAGGTTGGGAATAATTTCCAAAACTTCTCAACCTTGCATTAACAAGAAGCCAAACTAATATGTCCATAAATACTCAACAAATTTTAATGTCACAATTATAGTATAGAACCTAAATTAAAACCTAATATTACATCAAGGATGTTCGATATTTCAAGGCCTATATCGCATGTAAATGTCTTATAATATTACCAAAAAAGAAAAATGAAAATGGAATAAAATTAAAATGCAAGTGGGGTGTGGAAGCATGAAGAAGAATCGAAGAATCACAAATTCCAATCACACAAATGCCTTATCTGGTCTTGTTAATTCTTCGATTCAAAAAAATAAAAATAAAAATAAAAATACAAAACGGGTGTCACACCTATTGAGTTCCTTCTCCCTTGATGTGCCTTATCCGCGAAGCACATTGATCGATCATGGCAACTATTGATCCAATCCTCCACTTGTCTTCTCCCCACGAATCCCTTTTATACGTTTCTCCGATCATCTTTGATGCCGGAATCTCCATAATTGAACGCACAATTATGTACATGCACATACGCTCGATTAGTTCAAGATTGTGTCTGAATATGTAGTCTTATCACAAAATAATCAACAAGATAGTGTTTTAGTCAATATTCTTATTTTGAATTCGGAGTTGAAGAATAGAGATAAATCCTAATTGCTATTCATACTAATGGAGTTGCATGGAATAATACCATGCATATAAATTAAACAAGTGAAATGATCGATATGTGTGTTAAAGTATATTTAGAAGCAATATATTATATTTATGATAGTTATCTTATTTAAGAGATTTATAGGATTCTTGCATTATTTAGATGATTTGTATATCATTATAAATATATACGTATTCTTATCATTGAAATAGAGAATTTCAATTTCATATTCTAAATAGTAGAGGGTTTGTTTTTAAAGGTAAGAATTAGTTTACATTATTCATCATATTTATTTCTACAAAATTGTAAAATTGAATACATACTTTTAATTTAATATATTATACAAAAAATTATATTTTTATTTAAATATTTATTCCTATTATATAAAATACTATTTAAATTCAATTTTTAAAGTTTTCTCAAACTCCAAATTCATTCAAACTTTATAGAAATGCACTTTAAGCTTTCTACTAAAATAAAATTACAATCATTGTCATCTAAGCTTAGGGCTGTTTGGTTCAAATATTTGATGGAATTTCATGGAATTTGGATTTTAAAATCCTATGAAATTCATGTTTTGTTAAAAAGAAAGAAGGTGGAATTTAAAATGATGGAATTTGAAAAAATGATCTAAAATCCTACAAATAAATAATTTTTTTGTAATGGAGATACCCTGTTACTTTTAAATCTCATTCTTTGAAATTTTAATTTTTACATTTATATCCTCTTATAAAAAAAAATAATAGTATATATTTATATAAAAAATTAAATAATTTTAACATTAATTATTATTTGAATTATATACTTAATTAAATTCATATTATTTTTTATTGTACAATATTTTTCAAATAAATTAATAAATTCATTGTTTAAATTATTATTTATTATAAATTTTATTTGAATTATAAAATTATAGGGACGATCATAAGTAGGGTTCAGTCGGAACTGTTATTCATCCCAAATATATATTGTTAAATTTGAGATTCAAATTGAATCCGATTATACTAGATCCGACCGAGACTATACTCGGTAAAACTTGATGGATCCGAAAAATTCATTTTTTTTACGATTCTTAAATTTTAATTTAAAATTACACATTTACCAGATCCAATGTATATTAAAATTTATGTATTTTATTAGAAAAATATTATAATAAAATAATAAATGCGTTAAACTAAAAAACATATTTTTAATATAATTATATTATTCGAAATTATTTTTTTATATGTATGATTGACATATTATTATTATATTACCCTGATCATGATCCGGATCCAGGCCTAATACTCAAATAATTGGACTCAACTTCAAATAAATAGATCGGGCTCGGTCGGGTCTCGAGTTTACGCGAATCTATTGTCATCCTATAAAATTATTGATATCTTTTCAATTTATATTAATAATAAATTAGAGGTTTAATTTGTCAAAATAAATAAAATTCATAAGATGAGAATTATGTCATTTAAAATATAAAATATTCAAATCTACGAAATATAAATCCCACCACATTTTACCAACCAAACATAATATGATATTCAAAATTCTAAACATAATAAATCTCATCACATATAAATTATAATGTGAAATCACAATCCCACAAAAAAAGTCCATGAACCAAACAGCTCCTTAGTGTTTTAACCTCCGACCGTACTCAAAAGTGCACACTAGGTAAACCTCCGGCCGAACTTAATACCTTACAAATTAAATCCGACAAGACAAGTCACACTATTAAGAAAGATATGATATATTAGCATGAAAAGGGATGTATACATTTTAATTTATTTATATATTATTGTATATATATACATATATATATATATTTGTATCCCAGAGATTTGGGACAAATTTGGGGACAAGAGATGCTCCATTTGATGCCTGTCCCTGTTATTCTCTTAAAGATTTCAATTCTTTTCTACTTCATATTAATAATCCTCTTAAAATATACGGGTTGTGTTTGAGTTTCTACTTCATCCATCCCGCCTATCATGTCTACATTGTTGTTCGTCTCACTTTATGTTACTTTTATTTTTTGGAAAAAGATTACACATTTTAATCTCATTTTAAATTTTATAATTTATAATTTTTTAAAAAATTGTAATTAACTAATTAAGTTTTTTTTATCATAATTTATAATAATTTATACTATAAAATAATTGTTTTCGCTAGTAGATTTTTAATTATTTACTAACTACATTTTTTTAAATTTTTAAGTCCAACCCGAATACGGTAACTGGAACAAAGAAAAAGGAATATATTACTACATCAAATAAATATTTTAATTCAAATTTTTACTATTCAAAATTCAAACTAAAAATCCAAAACCTAACTACAACCAAACGCATGAAAATTTGAGTTTTTGTTTGCAGTAACTTCTTAAAAATCCCATTTAAGAAGGAAATACGGTCAAATGAGGATGAGATGGGATGTCACTAGACATTTTTGGAGTTTGGTTTTTTATTTTATTTTATTTTATTTGAATTTAATATCTAGCAAAAAATACTCCTTGTCACTAGAAAAAATGTGATCAGTTTACATTTTGAAGTGTTATAAAAATATTCTTAATGATTTTTTAGTAAAATAATTTCTCAATTGTCTCAGAGTTACCGTGGACACGACAATTTTAAAGAAATATAATTAGTAAATAATTAAAATTATATTAGTATAATTAATTGAAATATAATACCAAAATTATAAATCAAAATTAAAATAATTAGTCTAATAAAAATTAAAAATATTAAAATTATAAAATTTAAAATGCGATTAAAATGTAAATTTTTTTTCCAAAACAAAAAGTGACATATTATATGGAATAGACATAAAAATAAATAAATAAATAAATAATGTGACGTGATATAGGAGTATTACTCTTTAAGAGGGAGTATTACTCTTTAAGTAATAAACTAAAAGTATAAAATTACTATAAATTTGTTTTTAGAAAAAAAAAAAAAAAAAAAAAAAAAAAAAAAAAAAAAAAAAAAAACTTTAAAATAAGATTAAACTTGAAGCAAGTTGCCAAAAAAGGAATAAAGTACGTGAGGACATGACAAGACTCTGCAGATTGAACGGCACCGAAATAAATGGAAGAATGACTGATGTGATGATTGTCGATGACGATGTTGACCAAAATCACCCTACTTTGACTTTCTTTAAAAAGACATTTTTATTTCCTTATTACTATTAAATACTCCCTCGATTTCATATTCATTTGTTTTTTTGAACGAATTTTTATAAATATTAGTATTATATTATAATAAAATAAATAATGATATTTGTGTAATATATTATAAATTAGAAGGATATTTCTAATGTTAATATTAGATAGATAAAATGAAAAAATAAATAAATTGTTAAAGAATGGATGAAATATTTTAAAAATACCATGCATAACTTTTTTTTTTTTATCTTTCTAATCTTCGGACATAAATTTTTTGTAAATTTAATAATCTTAAATATATTTAATAAATATAAATTAATTAAATTAAATTTTAATTTTTTCTAAATAAGACTAATTCAAAATTCTTTTATTTTTATCTTTATTCTCAATAAATTGATATTTGTATCTATAGTTAAAATTTTTTATTTTTTATAAAACTAATTTATATAATTATACATAAATAAATATATTTTTATTTATTTTTATTATATAAAATTTTATTTTTTATAAAATTATATTCATATTATATATAATTTATTGAGATATTATCTTTAAAATATTTAAACACATATTTTAAATGTTTTTTACATATATTAATTTTTTTAAAAAAATAATAACAATATTTATATAAAAAATAATAAAATAATATTATAATTATTATAATTAACTTATTAAATTACTATCTAAAATATTGTATTTCTAACCAGATCATCTTAAGAGAAATAGAGAAAGTATGAAGATATCAAATTAATTTTTTTTATTAATTCTAATTTTTTTTCAAAAAAAAAAATTAAAATAGTTTCTAGCCTTTCCAAATCCACATTTCATTAATAAATAAGTAAATTCTTAATTTATTCATGTTATTTTCTGAAAAATTATTGAATCATATTTTGAATTTTTTAATTTATAATTATTTGTATGATATAATAACTATTTTTACTATTATTTTTTTTAATTATCTATCAAATTATATCTCTTTTGAATTTGTGTATTTACACTAAAATTAATATTTTATGTGAAACATTTAGAATATTCTCTTCATTATCTTTCAAACACTCAACGGTACGCAGAACCACTGAGTGTGTCTAATTGAACACATCACACGGTGTATCTGTTCTACAAAAAAAGTAATATATATGTATATATATATATACTTATATATAATCATATTACTATCATTATCAGTATCAGGTAAGATACATATACTTTTCGACATATTTATTCAGCACTGGCCACCCCTAATTAAATTCTATGGCTTTTCAATTCTCAAAATATCCACCATGGATCATATTCTTCAAAGCAACATGCTAATTCAAGTCCCCAATGATTCCATCATCAACTTGCATTCAAATATCATACTATCGATTTTTATAGCTACAAACCACAACAAACATGACCTTTTTTTTTTTTTTTCCTCATTATATATTTTGAAATTATTGAAGTATTTAAGCAACTCGCACGCAAGAGAATGGTCGAATAGATCGTCAAGATATGCGAGCATAGATTTGATCTATGAAGTTTTGCAAAATGAATATATTGCTGATGGATCAAAGGCAATTGGGATATAATCATAGAGATGAGAAGTTTGTTGTTTTGGGCTCATTTTGCAACTTTGGTTTTTCACAATTCAATATATATATATATATATATAATATTAAAAATACACAAACATCAACTAATTTATATATATAATTCATGTGTAGGATGAGAAAGAGAACTACACAAAATCAAATTGGCATATACTCTTTCTTAAGACAAATGATAATTAAGCTCATTTAGAAAATATATTTACATTTTGTTTCATTATTATATAGAAAATTTTATCAGGATAGATTGAAAATTAACGTTGCCCTGATGGCTGGACCTACTTGCTTGGCCTTAGATTATTTCAACCCAAGTCTGTATAAAATAGAAGTATCCCAGATTAAACTAAAAATTTATACATTATTCTGATCGATCCATGAACTGAATTATACTAGGTTGATTTCATCCATATAATTTTCTTTGAAAAAAAATTAAATAAAATAACTTATAAATAGGTTATATTCCGGACTAAAACAGTTTTTGGACCGATGTTACGCTAATTTTTAATAAATTAGTCCTTATGAGGGCTATATATAAGACTCAAGACCAAACTCAAACCAGAATTTATTATATTAGGCCCAATCATAGAGCAAATTAACCAAAAATATATTTTTGAAGTACATGAAGTGCAATGATCAAGTGGTAGACATATTCACCCTAGTATTAAGAATAAAGATTTTGCCAATTGAGAAGCTATCTTATCTGGAAATTGTGAAAAGATGAAGATTACAAATTTAAGAGGGGTATTAGGAAATAAATTGTTTTTGGGTAATTTTATTTACTGCAACTATTCTTGAAAAGAAGATATTTTTATATTAATAATGACTTCTTTTATATTTAACATAAAATATATATATATACATTAAAAAAGAAAAACACAAACTGAACATGTCATAACTTTTTTTTTTGTTACAAAATTATCTGAGCCCTGTTTTTTTCAGAAACTCTTTTTCGATCACATGCTCAAAATTTTATTTCCAACCACAATAAAAGATGCATCCTCTACTAAAATTATAATTTTCAACGAAACAATTAGTTAATATACTACAAAAAAAAATTGTAGTTTTCTCTAAAATATGAAAGGAGAAAACCATTACCTTCTAATGTTGACAAAACTTGTCCAAAGAAGTTCATTCCCAAACAACTTTTAACTTATGCATCGATTGTTTCAATAGATTGTATGATGAACGATAAAGCAAATCACAAAGAAAATGAAAAATCACAAAGAAGGTTGTATAAAAACAATCCTGGCCAAAAAGCCATGTCCAGAAAGATAGAATTGAGTAATATTACACTCTTCTTCATGTCGAGCCATCGGTACATCTTCTCTGTTAAAAAAAAAAAAAAAAAAAAAAAAGAAGTAGCTTAAGTCATTTGATCACACCAAGTAAAAATGTTGATCAATGCACTCAGATAATGTTTGTTTTTGTCTAACCTTGGGGCGACGGTAAAGACTGGATTCAATTGGATGTTTTGGAGGTAGATGCTGTGGTTGTGGGCGAATTATGGAACCACCGGGCTGTGGCCAGGTTTGGTTTTCTGAATAAAAGGCCTGCCGAAGAAAAATGAATACCATAAATAATTAATTCAATCGAAAGGAAAGTCGTTGCTGTGCAACTACAAGACAAAAGATTATAGAACAATAATGTTTTGAATTTAGAATCTTTGTTGGACTATGGCAATATTCAAGTTTTGCCTTGTATTTTCCCAATTAATTCATAGGCTTTTGTCCTCCAACTTTTGAATTTACACTTACACACACAAACATATACATTGCCTTCATAAGGACAAAAGTATGGGGCGAGAATAAATCCCGAGTAAACTATTTTTTAATCCCGTATATGACCTTCTTTATCATTTTACGACACCGTTGCTGTAAAGTTCTAAAATAATAAAGGAGGTCAAATATATGAGGCTTAAAAAGCAGCTTACCAAAACATTTTATAAAAAAAAAAAAATTATTAAAAAATTTTCATGTGTCGCTGTTGTGATGTCAGCACCACGTCAATAATAGCGAGCCAGCGTAATAAGTTTGACACGGAGGACCATTTTAGTAAAAAAAATTTATTTTCTGGCCTATTTTCAGACGAGTCCAAATTCTAAAATGGTAGAGAGATTAGATACGGACCTAAAAAAATAATTTAGCCTATATCCTGATAAACATATAGGACAAGAATAATACTGATCACATGTACATAATTAAATTTGTAATTCTTCTGTATAAATATGAAATCTCTATGGGCATCATCATCCTTCCTTAATAAAACTGTAAATATTGTGATGCACTCATAATACTCACACGCACGACCCACACAAATAACACAATAGAAAGTGAGAATATGTGTATATTTATAGTTGTTAAGAGCCGTGCGTGTGAGTGTACATACAATTCTCACACCAAAATTTCAAGCTTGGCAGCATCCTGGACGTAAATCAGTATAATCAAATTGAGTAACTAAATTTTTTGTTCCTTATTGGTTTTTTTTTTTTTTTTTTTTGTATTCCTATACATTTTTATCATAACATATACAAATAAATAAACAATGAAACATCCGGGATAAAGATCTTAAAAAACATACCTGAAAAACTTGATTTATGGCTTGAGCATTCATCGAATAGGCCTCAGGTTGAAATCCAGGATGCCCAAAAGGGACAGACATTAGAGATGGAGGATTGCTTATTGGTGCATACGCGGGCTCCTAAATAATAGCAACAAACAAAAAAGACGAAGAAGAAGAAGATACACATACTCTTCGAAAAAAAGATAAAGAAGCCATCAAATACAAGAAAAATAAAAGATTTAACCTCGCGATTTGGAGCTAGGGGAACGATGTCCTTGAGGAAGAGTAAGAGTTCTTCATCTCGAACTGCATTGGCCACATGATTCCGATGAATAGTTTCACTGTTACTTTCTTGGGCGCGCATCCATGCTCGTAGAGTTAACTCCATGATGAACAGCTCGCAAGCTTTCGCAAATATCACAGGTGTATCAGCAGTAACCATCTGTCGGCATTAGCGCAATAATGTTAAAAACACATTTACAAATAAAATGGAATTGTTAACTTGTAAATTAAGAAAATGTGATGTTCATTTGAGATATAGCCTATACATTATTGTTAATTGTAATTGATACTTCAGTGAATTTAAATTGAAAAACTTATGGCAAATTTCAATTGAATTATGGGAAATTTTCGAATTTGATCTTGTAGTTATGATTAATTATCATTTTATCTTGTATATTAGTTTGATTGTGTTCTGGTCCTAATCGTCATAAGAAATCATTGTCTTTGTTTTAGAAATGACAAAAAGATAACGTGATAACGGTAGATTTATATGTATATGAAATGCATAATATAAGAATGATGATTAGTCATACATATAAAATTAATTTGCAAATTTCTGGTAAAATTAGAGTTGGATGTTCTCAATTTTCGAATTTTAAAATTTCAAGTTCTATATGTATTTTTTTTTTTAATAATTAAGTAATTTTACCATATCTAATTCGCCTAATATAACTTGTCTTGTCGAGCCTAGTACAAATTTTCTAATGAAACTTCTACAATCTCATGTGTTATTTTTCAGTCATTCTTTTGTGATATTATCGTAGCAAAATAATTTAAAGAGATATATACATCTACAATTATATATTCACTTAAGCAAACAATTACATGGAGAGAAACAAAAAAAATGCAATAAATACTTACCTTAACTTCTTTGTCAAATTTTATTATTTTCTTCATACGCGCTAACGAGACTGAGTGAGTATGCATATCTGCAGAATCATGAGAATATTTTCGAAGTTGTTAATCATTCCCCTAACAATTGCTTTGCATATATATATTAATAGCCACCTCATGACCTTGCAGTGAAGGTTCACTCCACCATCCTTTTCGATTTACTATAAAATAATTATTTATTCTCACAAAATATTAAACGATTTATTTATTTAATATTTTTGTTTGAGATATTTTTTATGTGAAGAGAATGTGTCGGATTTTTTTATATTGACTCTTTATAAATAATAGAATATATATCGTATAGTTGGGCAAACAAACCCTATGTGTAATGTTGAATTAAATATCAAATACAAATATAAGCACAATCATAGCTAACGTAATAAAACTACACAATAATTATATTTTATTGAAAATAAAAATGGTTTTAAAAAATTACAATTTAATCATTATATAAAGGAAAAATTATTTTTTTAATTACGTAACTAATCTTTTATCATTTTAATCTGTAATTGGAGCTCGTATGGAGTTATCCTGCAACTGAAATTTTTTTAGTTATCACAATCATAGCTAACGAAATAAAACTACACAATAATCATATTTTATTGAAAATAAAAATGGTTTTAAAAAATTACAATTTAATCATTATATAAAGGAAAAATTATTTTTTTAACCTCATAACTAATCTTTTATCATTTTAGCCTGTAATTGGAGTTCGTATAAAGATTATCCTATAACTGAAATTTTTTTAGTATAACTAATTTTCCGACGCAAGAGATACCCTTAGAGCACATGTGTCCGCGGGATAAGCATCATCTAAAGGACATAAATTTCTTTTACATTCTGCTCAAAAAAAGAATAATAATAACTTTTTTAAAAAAAAATTCACATGTTTATCTGGTGACACCTATGTGGCAGACATGCATGTTCCGATTGCGGACTAAAAACAGTTTTCAAGAAAATTGTGCATTCCGGCTTAAAGAATTTGAACCAGCGAATTAGTAAAAAAAATTCAAGAACTGCATCATCACGTTTATTCATTCTTAAATTAATTCGGCTGAAAATGTATACATATATATCAATTAAAAAATGAAAATATTTGAAGAAATAGACCACCTGAAGCCTCAGATATTTCTGTCGATTGATCTTTCCAGAAGGCTTCAATGTTTTCCTTCAGTTGATTCAAAAAGTTCTGCACAAAATCATAATTTGATGTAGTTAGATCAAATTATAATAGCAGTAATATAAAGTTTGTTTTTGCTTGCCAAAGATTATTATTTATAGATATGGAACTAGGGTTTACATCAACTAGGGTTAATTACTTTGTGTGTGTAATGTTTTGTACTAAAAATGAGTATTAGATATGATATGTTCAGAAGAAAATTCAGAGATTGTCTGGTTAAAAACTTGTGGAAAAACAGTAAACAAAAGATCCAAAATGTCTACAATTATCATTATCAAAAAAAAAAAAAAAATGAAAGAAAAAAAAGGGTTTGAAAGCCTTATAAGTTTCAGATCTAAATAAAAGGTTTCAGATACCTTTGGTGGATTGTTTTCATGTCCCCCTCCAAGAGTGTTCATCTGCATAAAACTAAGCATCTGCTGTGTAGTCGGCTGCCCATACGACGAGGTAGTAAAATGCTGCATCGACTGATTCAAATCCATGGAAGGTGATTGTTCTTCGAGAGGGAGAGGAAGAGGAAGATCGAGGAAGAAGAAAAGGGACGGAGCAGATTAAACGAAGGAAACTTGAGAAGGTCAACACGGCGTTTCGAAGTTTAGTATCAATATAATGAGCATTCTTATTATGATTATATGGATATCGATAATATATGTAAAATCTAAGCGTGATAAATACTTACGATGTATGAACATCAAATAAATAAAAATAACAATATTGTTATGTTTGGTAACAAAAAAAAGACTGAAGTCTTACTTGTTTCTCAAATTCAGAGAGCAAGTCGGTGTCAAAATAAGAGTGCTGGTTTGGTCAAATTTTTTCGCGAGTTCATTCGTGCAAAATTTTTAAGGGATAAGTGCAAACTCGGATTCACTTGGATTTTGACGAGGATTGCAATTGTGTCCTGATTCACTTGTCTCCACCATTGATTCCCGGATTATTGTTCTTCCTTCTATATCTTGCTACTATTGGAAATGTGGTAAAGACAATTAATTTCGTTTCCATAATTGTGAGATCGTGTGATTCGTATAAATATCAAGAAAGAAGAATTAGTTAGAGGTTGTCGCCTTCTGAATTTGTAAGGATTATTTCGTAAATATGCATAAAAAGACGTGTAAACACTCGCTAAAGAATCTTAATCCTCTAGATCTCAAGAATCGATGGAGAATGTTGTTATACTGAAAAATCTCTCATTATCAATTTTGACATATGATACCAATTGGAAACAAGTATGTGCATAATTCCCCTATTGGTGTAAAAGAGTTCAGAGCTATAGGCTGGCTACAATGTTCATTTTGTCTTATTTTATCATTGTCTAGTAGAGACAAATACCGTGAACATAGTAGTCAATGAGATGTCTTATATGCCTAGAAAACCCTCCATTTAATTTCGGTTGTAAAGATAATTAATTGTGTTGTTTTACATAGTCAATACTAGGGTTATATAACTAGTCCAAGATAAAGAGTTGGTAAGAGAGTATAGTTAAGAGTAAAATTCTAGTGATAGAAAGTGTCTTGGGTGCTCTCAACTTTGCACCTCTCACTCTATATGTTTTGAATAGTATTCAAACTTCTACACTCACATGAAATGTTATCAAAAGAATGAGAAATCGAAGATTCAAACTCAAACGGAGATGTCAACCAGCTTGCAAATTACCTTACTCTCGGCTATATTGGAGATTTGATGGTGTTATTGCTTTGAAGTGATAATTAGTTACCTATGCATGATATTGCAAGATTAGTAATGAGAGATGTTGGTTGTGTTAATAGTTGTTAGATGGCTTGAGTCTTTATAACCGAGTGATATGTGATAGTAGACAAATTTCTAGATTAGTATCTCAGAGATAGATTATTTATAACAGAACTGAATCAACAAACACTTTGTGTTATTTATTGTTTTTCATCCATTCATATTCATTACTTTGATACTAGTTTATCACACATTAATAGTTGTGTTATTTCATTGTGTGGTTAATAACATCGTTATGCATTTATTCGAAGGAGTTGGCCTCTTTCTAGTGTTCGAAGGGATTTTGGACATGCGTGTTTTTTCAACAAATGTAAATCGATTCAAAAAAGTAGAAGAAACACAAAAAATTATGAAGAAAACTATTTCAAGACAAACCATAGAGATTAGAGGACAAATTCACAACATGGATGAATGATTTCAAAACAATTTATGATATAGAATATAGGGCATAAGGTATAGATTAAGTGTTATATATGTCGATATAGTATCCATTGCAAGTGTAGGTATATATGAATAAGTTGATTTCGATCCTAAATTGTATATTAACTATACTGATTTTTCGTATGCATAATATATATACTAAGCGATATGTGTTTTATGTTCATATTTAAAATGTATATGTTAAAAAAAATATGTTATATGTTGTTTATTTGTGTTATATTTGTATTATATTAATATAAATAATAGTATATTTGTATTAACATTGTGTGGTATCTTCTAACACATAATATATATATATATATATATTTACTAATATACTTATATATAGTGATGTTTTTTATTATATTTGACAATGCATGTATGCTGAAATTTTTATATATTGTTATTGTTTATTTGTAAGATTATGTTCTTATTAAATATATAATAATAATTACATATTAGTTTGAAAACTGTAATCAATTGACACACGCCACAAAAACAGCACATTATTGCTATTCTTTACCAATATGATTTTTTAATAAATAAAATTTTTTTTAAAAAAATTTATGATTGTTTGAATAAGTAAATAAATAATATATTAGGTCGTAACTTGTAAACAATTATACCCTAAATGACATCAAAACCATTGAATATGCCTTTATATGTTAGGCTATCAAGTTTTGACCAATCCCATCTCACAAAACAACAAGACATGATCAATTCTTGCTACGAGGACAAGGACGACAGTATTTATTAATCATTTTCAAAAAATTAAAATTAAAATTCTTGGAAAATCATTTCTTGCACCATCGCAGCAAAAGGAAATTAATATACATTTACTTACACATAAAGAAAAAAAATAAAATTAAAAATAACCTATTATAAAATTAATCAAACGATGAAGCTCAGCTCAGCTCAACTTCGAACAACGGCTCGGCTGAGTCACGGCTTTTTGCTGTAGCCGAGCTCGAAAGAAGCCACCATAGACTTATATATCTCGAAGACGAGCCGGTTCTCGAACTCGCTCCTCGAGTACGCCACGGGAGAGGCTCGAGCTTCCGGGATCCGCTTCCCGCCGAACTCTGGAGCTGAGCCGAGCCGAACCCGGAGCATCATGTTCATGTACGCGTTCTTGAGCCTGTACCACAGCCGCAGCGGCGACGCCGCCAGCCTTATTAGCCGCAGCTTCGGCGCGCCCATCCTCAGCCGCCATGAGCGACGGCTGCCGCCGAACTTTGCCACCTTCAGGCTCCTCCGGTGCGGCGGCGACAGCCTGTTGTACCCCCTTCTTCGCCGGCCGGAAAATGGGACTGTTTCCATTATGAGAGAGAGAGAGAGAGAGAGATGATGATGATGATGATGATGATGATGATGATGATGGAGGATATGGGAAATTAATTGTTGGAAGGATTATATAAGTGAGTGAGTCAAGAAAGCAGGGTATTATTTTTATTATTTATTAATTTTATTTATTTATTTATTTGTTAATGTGTGAAATCGTGAATAGAATATTTATGTAGGTTTTGTTTGGACATGATTTGTGAATGAATGGCTTTGGAATAAATTTCTTATGTAATATAAATAGATTTATTTATAATGTAAAGATGTATTTGTTTTGAACTTCTCGTATCGGACCTATTTGCAGGATATTAGGTTTGACCGGGATGTATACGTGTACATTTTCGGGTAGCGACTGCGGATTCTCACGTCATATAAAAATAAAAAATAAAAAAAAAAAAAAAAACATTCTTAAGAGTTTAAAAAAATATTATGAATAATGCAAATCCAAATCTACACCTGCTTGCAAGCAGCCAAGCACTTGAATGTGGTTTTAGGTAGGTTTTGAATATAAAATTACAGTTTAAAAATAGATAATGGGAATAGATAATTTAATTGCAATTTTTTTTTTTTTTTTTTGTGTGTGGAAAAATATTTCACTGTAATATTACTTTTAAAAAATGAATTTAAAAACATAAATATTAACATATATTTACGAGAAGTACAACTTCGTATCTTTATATTGTAGATATAAAAAAAAAAAAATGTAATAATGAAAAAAAAAAGTGAAAAGTAAAATATGAATTTGAAACCCACGGACAAACACAATCTAAAACCAGCTCATACAATTTTTACTTCATAGCTAATTTGATACTCCATCAGTTTTATACACCGCTACATCGTAGATACGATATTTTAGAAGGGTGTAATTAGTAGATAATTAAGAATGTATTAGTAAAAATAATTATTCTATAATATAAATAATTATAAATTAAGATTAAGATAACTAATTAGTTTAATTAAAATTAAAAAAAAATTAAATTAAAGTGTGTAATCATTTTTCGAAAAAGAAAAGTGACATGAAACATGGGACGGACAGTAGACATAATATGTGCGACGAAGAGAGTATTACTTTTGTTATTTTTTGTATTTTATTCAAAATATAATATAAATAATATAATTCTCTATTAAAAAAAAGATACACGATAATATTTTTTTATGACACTACAATAAAATGAAATAAAAAAAATAAAAAAATAAAAAAAAATTGAATAAAAAATGGAGTAATTACATTTAAATTAAAGAAAATATCTTAATTTAGACATTCAAATCTTGAATTTCGATGCCCCGAAAATTCTTTGGTCAAATAAATATTTTAAAATTCTGGCGGAGGAATTAATCAAATAAAGACCTCTATAATTAAATTACTGAGGCTGTGGGCCCCACTGATTTGCTGACTCATCATTTATGGAACGCCAATGATAATTATTAAGTAATAAATGAGCTTCTAGAAAGCCTTGTTTAAATAAGTAGTACATATTTATTAGTGTGAAGTAAACCGAAAGTTCACTTACGAATGTGTTTGTTTCGGGCTTTTGGATTTTGAGCTGAAATAGTAAAAATTCTGAATTTGAATATTGTATTATGTGATATAAATAAGTGTTGATATAATGTTTTAAATGTAAAATTAATTTTTAATACTCAATCCGTCTCACATACCATGTCCACGTTGTCGTTTTTGTCCGTCTCACATATCATGTTACTTTACTTTTTTTGGAAAATGATTACACACTTTAATCTCATTTTAAACTATTAAATTTTTTTAAAAATTTTAATTAAACTAATTAGTTATTTTAATCTTAATTTATTATTATTTATATTATAGAATAATTATTTTCATTAATACATTTTTAATTATCTACTAATTACACCCCTCCTAAAATATCGTGTCTACAGTGTAACAGACACGGTATGTGGGACGGAGGTAATATAATATAAAAAATGAAAAATAAATATTTGATTTAATATTTTTTTAAAAAAATATGGAATAAATAATATATTTAAAATTCAATCTCCAAAACAAAGACACCCTTATCGTGCAATTGTATTAATTCAATTGTCATAATTTGATTTTTTATTTAAAATAGTCGTGTAGTCTCACGTAAATGTAAACATTTTAGTAATTGTGGATTCATTATTCAGTATAAATACCTATACTTTCTTACATATTTATCATTATATTATCATATCTATTTTAAAAAATAATGAAAAAAATATTTTTATACTATTTTCATCCGATTTTAAAGATTTTATTTACTTTTTGTTTGTTGATATTTGAATATTAATTATTATGTTAAAACATAGTACAAATTTAAAAAAATTGCAAAAAATACTTTCATTAGTCTCTTATAATATTAATAGAAGAAACTTTATATAAAAAATTATACAAATATAAAAATATTTTTAATGTTAAATATAATAATGCAAAAGATAAATGTGACGCATACAGCAAACGGAGATAATATTATTTTTACTTTTACTGCAATTAAAATATTCTTATTTATTATATCTCATGCTAAAAGTGAAGAGAATATATATTTTATTGTCTAAAGAAAATTTTTCTCTAATTAAACAAATGCTTTTCGAGTATTGATACTATTATTAAATATATTTTTTTTTTCAAAAATATTTATTATAACTTATAAAATATCACATTAATCAAGTAGTATTAATTTTTTTAATTATCATATTTCTAAAAAAATTTAAAATTTCAAAACTCTTTATCTAAATGGAAGCTCTATTATTTTACCGGTATATTTTTGAATTTTTAATTTATCTTTGCTATCTTAGTTTTTATATCAAAATAATGACCAATATTTACTTTTTATATAAAATATAAATGTAATAATTATTTTAATCTAAAAAATATAAAAATAAAAACACAAAAGAGTTAAGCAAACTTGAAAATTTCATAAAGTAAATACTCCCTCCATCCCATAACAAAGTATTTATTTTTCCATTTTAATCTGTCTCATAACAAAGTATCCATTTTTTTTTTAATAATTGTACTATCTACCTAACATTACAAATACCCTTACAACTTACAATATATTACACAAATGTAATTACCTTTATATAACACATACTAATAAGATTATTTTAGTTATTTCTACTTTATTTTTATTACATTAAAATATAATACTAATATTTTTAAAATTATATATAAAAAAATAAATGGATATTTAGTTATGGGTGGAAGGAAATAGGATATTTGATGTTGTCAATTTTCTAAGGGGAGAAAACTTTTCACTTAATCATATATCCTTTACTTTTCCAAATTTTTTATTTGAAATGTCATAATCTTTTTTTGTATTTTTTGTTTATTTACCCATTATTTTTAATATGAAATGTCATAATTTGTAAACCAAAATTTATGATCCACCAACCAATACTTTGGCAATTTTTTAATAACACTAAATATGTTTGTTCACTTCACAAAAAATTTTCTTCCTACGACTTTCAATAAATACTTCCTCCGAAGAAGCGTCTTGTTGGGAGTTGACACGTGAATTAAGGAATAATAGTATTTAATTTAAAGTAGGTATAAAATAGAATTTAAAATACTAAAATGTCCTTAGTTTTCGAAGGATTTTAAAAAGTAGGTTAGAGTAATAATTAAGGGTAGTTTGGAAAAGTATGAATAATTTTGTTATAAAATAGGGACCATGATTACTAAATAAGGAAACGGGACAATTATTTTGGAACGGACGAAAATGAAAAAACAAGATAATTCTTTTGGGACGGAGGGAGTATAATATATAGATATTTTATTTTTGTATAAAAATTCAATTATAAATATTATTTTTTTTGATATATTATCGATATGATTTTCCACGCCACACACGATACAAAAATAACATTTCAAACTAAAATACTAAATAATTTTTAAACATAAATAATACTATATCCTTATAAAAAACTTTAAAAATTGAATAATAAAAAATATAATACACAGGTTTCACTTTTATAGTGAAGGGAATCATTGAAATACATAGTGTTCTCACTCCTAATGCAATAAGTCATCATAAAAGTGTCGGAGTAATTATTTACGAGGTTTTTCTTTACATTCCTGTATTTTTTCAAAAATTAAAACACTATATTTATTTATTATTTTTATATTTTTTATACAATTTTCTGTATTTTAAATAAAAATTTGATTTTTTAATTATTTCACGAAACAAACACACCCTATAACCAAAATTGTTGTCTTTTGTATTTTTAGTTTATATTTTCAAGTAACTTTGAATTTGAGGTTTTTATAATATATTTTTATACAGCGATTAGTATAGCTGTATGGTAATTTTTTTTTAATTATAAATAATTTTATGATTATGAGTAGGCTCCATCGCAACGTCGTCGTTTGGCCGTTTCAGTGTTTCCGGTCAAAGTCAACTTTCACTGCTACGTATTGCAACTTTAAATACACCTCAAATTATGTTCTTCTAAATTAATGTCACTCCACGTGACTTCTGACCAGGAAATTATTCAATAAAAGCAAAATAACAACTAGAAAAATGATAAATTTAAAAAATATATATATAGCTTAAAACTATTTCAATCAAATATTGTTCGCTCTCAAATACTTTTTAAATTATCATATTTAAAATTCAGCAATGCACTGACAACACACCGTAGCACACCGTGTTACTATCGGCAGCACACCATTTGTATTCATATAATACAAATACAACACATGAATTAACAACACTAATTAACATTACAAGTTATATTCTTATACAGCACAATCAATACTTGATTTCAGCCCATCACATATTGTTATACAACACACTTGTAATTATAAATCAATAACATAAATACTAACACATGAACTGACAGCACATGCTATAAGTCTTATACATCACAAATACTATTGATTTCAGCACATCACATACTGTTATAATTATAAAGCATGCTGTGTATAATAAGACTCTATATTGTTTGTATAATAAGACTCTATATTGTTTGAATATATTACAGATGTTGATTTGAAAAGTGTTTATTTTTTCAATTCAGCATCCTAACTGTTCCCTTTAATATTACATATCTAAATTCTCGTCGAAAATAAATATTACATCATATTTAAAACGAAAGTAGTATAATATATGTAACTACTTAATAGTAAGAGGTGTGTTTGTCTGGGGATTCTCTCCCAAATACACTGTTCATCCCATTTTTTTTCTTCTAAAAATATTAAATCAAACACCTATTTTTTATTTTTTATATTATACTAAAAAATCAATTTTACGTTCAAAATATTACATCAACATCTATTTATATTGCATCATACAACTATTAAATTCAAAATTTTTACTATTCAAACTTAAACTCAAAATCCAAATCAACGAACAAACCCATACAACTCTCGACTAACAATCCAATCACACCCCAATATTTCAAAAACAATAAAAATAAAAATATTACAACCCAATTTGATATAGTCCATGCAATCCAATACCTTAGATTCAAAAAAATAAACACTCACAACAATTCCATCTCCCCACTCTCCCTGCCGAAAAACTTAGCCAAATTCCCCATCACCTTCTTCCTCCTCCTAACCGTAGTCGTTCTCGCCGTCCCCCTCGCTGTCGCCGCCGTCATTGACACCCGCCCCTTCCCCCGCCTCGCCGGAGTCCCAATTTTCATGCTCCTATTCCTCATTTTCGCCGCCCCCGAATTCCGCCTCAAGTTTTCCACTCCCATATTTCTCCGCCACCTCTCGAACTCATTCTCCGGTGCCATCGCCGCCTCTTCTTTGAACATATTCTCGCCGCGCGCTTTCAACTTTCGACATTCTTTCCGCAACAATTTGCACTTCAACTCGATTTCCTTCTCGCTTGCCTTAAGAGCTTCGACCCACGCCAGCGCCGCCGCCACCTTCTTGTCGGCGACACCCGCCGCCCCGGCGGCGCGCCCCGTTAGGTACTCGTATTCGAATCGGGACACCGTTATTCCCGCGCTACGCATCGCCGCCGATGCTCGATTTCGCATGGTCTGCTCCGTAAGCGCCTTGAGATTCTCCAGCGCCGCTACCTCTGACAATTTCGCCGCCTTGAGCTCTTCCGTCACCATTTGTAATCGATCCTCGGCTGCGTCTGTTTCCTCCTCGATTCTCTTTGTCTCCGCCGTTACGGCTGCGGTTTCTTCGTCAATCACGGCACGTTCTTTGTCGACAACTTCGCCTTCCGACCTGAGGCGTTCGAGCGTATCTGACAGATTCGATGCGATCGATCTTTCCCGGTCTTCGGCTGCAGTCGCTGCTTCGAGCTTCGCCTTCGCCCTCAAAAGCTTCGAGTTGAGACTCTGAATCAACATCTCCGTTTTCTTCTCGTCGCTCTTCTTTCTAACCACCTGTTCAAAAACTACGTTATAAAACCGATAAAAAAAAGACAGAATTTAAAATGAACTAGAGAATATTACATGAAATAGTATATGTTCGATGCAGAATGACCGTCTTACTTAAAAGGTCGAATTGTTAGGGAAATTCAACAAGCTCCCTCAGGTGCAAATAAGGTATGCGAAACTTGCATATATCTAAAATTGGGACGATGAGACTCGAGACCTAGTCTAAGCTCTGATACCATGTCAGATGCAAAATGATCGTCTCACCTTAAAAGTTCGAACAGTTAGGGAAACGCAACCATTAATTATTTATCCACAAACGGAGTCTCCAACAAAATAATTAATGACTGCATTTCCCTAATAGTTCGAGCTTTTAGGTCAAATGGTCATTCTGCATCCGACGAACTTATAGGCGAGACGATCATTCTGCATCCGACAGTATCATTTTAAATATTTTTGAAAATATGAGAGTTTCACGTGATTCTCAGATGATTTTGTGCTATGTTTTTAGAATACGAGAACACGTACAGTTTTTTAAAATCACGAGAGTAACGTGTAACTTTTTCAGACTAAGAGTGGATTATAAGTAATTTTGTCATAAAAAAATTATCGACAAGTGGTGATCAAAGACGTTCTCGATCGGCACCTCATTGCGCATTCGCTCGAGCTCTTTCCAGACGACGTCCATGGCAGCCATGCACGCAAAGCTTTCCTCCCTCGCCGACACTAACTCCTTCCTCGCGACCTCCAATTCCTCCATAGTCGAACGCAACGACATATCCGATCCCAATTCATCCTCGACTTCGACTCGCCCAACCATTTCCTTAACAAGCTTTAGCTCACCAGCCAACACATTGGCGTCCGACACCGTCACAGCGAGTTTCTTCTCGAGCTCCTCCGAATCCTCTGTTTTTCGAACAATTTCATGCATTTTCTTCCGAATCTCATCCATCGCCGCGGCAAATTCGGCCTCCTTTTCCCGCCGTTGAGCCTCGATTTCGTCGAATTCCCTAACGGCTTCGATTCGAGCCAGCTCGACCAACACGTGCTCCTCGTTAATTCCCTCGATTTCTTTACTTATCGCCTCGATCGAACTCATGTAAGTGCGCGCTCGCGACGAGTTCTCGTCGCCAGCTTTCTCGGCCCGGCGCTTATCGTCGGAAGCCGACAAGGCGTCGAGCTTTAGCTTCATAAGCTCCTGCTTCACAGAGGCTAATTCTTCGATGATTTTTCGATCCGACGGCGATTTTTCGACGGAATTCGATAATTCGGACATCTTGCGATTGGCTCTTGCACCCGAATCCTCAATTTTGGCGGTTAGTTCTCTTACAGTCTTCTTTGCAACGGAGAGTTCTGACTGTGCTTCAGCCGTCGCCATTTCCGCTCGTTGCCGGCTGTCGTTGAGCTCGCCGGCGTCTCTTATTGCCCGACGGAGCTCCCTCGTCTTCTGAAACATGTTTGTTTGGGTAATAAATGAAAAAATTAAATTAATGGTTGTCTGAACAGAAGTTGAAGCTGACCTGTTGAGGATAATTAGTCGTCGGGGAGTTCCGCGCTTTGTAAGAAGTAATGGCTGCTTTAACGGAGCTTGTTTCGGCTTCAGCCATTGTTTGCAGCAAAACCTTGATTGGAGTTGGGAATTGATGCAGGATTTATGCAGCGGGATTTAAGAAAAGGAAATATATGAAGGATGTCCGTACCTTGGAAACGACGGCGTTTTGGTTGAGGTTGCCGGAAGATTATGGGGGAGGAGGAGGAGGAGGGGTGAACAGTGATAAGTGTGTTTGTGGAAGAGGATAGAGTAGAAGAAGTCAGAAGTGGTGATTGGCCAGTATCTGTTGTTCTATTTTGCTCTGTTGGGATCGGACTGATCCAACGCGGAGACTTTCGACATAAAAAAATATTTGCAGGTTACGAGGGAAAATTCGACTGAACCAACTCAACACTAGTATAATATTATACGGATGAAGGGGGAGTCCGCACCAATTTACTTTTAGACTTCCTCTAAAAAGTTTAATAATAGTGAAATTTTTGTTCGCATCTTCCAAACGTGAACTTGAGTTTGCACTCAAACATGCTCTAAAGGCCAAATAATTTAAATTCTCCATCGGTCCCCAAAAATTTAAATATTTGAGTCAACATGAAAAATTTTAAAAAATAAATATTGTATTTAAAAAATAATAAAAGTAAAAAAAAATAATTGAGAGTATTTTTAAAATTTTAGTTAAAAATTTAAAAAAAATATAAAGAGAATATAATAAACACAGTCATATTAACAAGTATTAAACGAAGAATAATAATTAAATATTAATTTGTTGATTTTGCAAAAAAAAAAAAAATTGATATTTAAAGTAAATTTAACGAACAAACTAAAAATAAAAATAAAATTGGCCTACTTTTATCAGTCCTCATCACTCATATACTTCACTAATAGAGAGATGAATGTATAATAATGTTTTCATAAGTTGTATTAATAAATACTCTCTAAAAATATGTTTGTATGGATGTAGATTAATAATAATAATATGAAGGTAACATTATACTAATACTTAAGAATACTTTGAGAAACTATTAAAGAATGTGTTTAATATAAATTGAATTTATTTTTTTAATAAATCACAAAGTATTATAAGTTGAAACTCTCAATTTAGTGCATGATATGAATTAAATTTATATATGTTGCATAAAATATTATTATATATTTATTTTATGTTGACATATATTTTGTGCTATAATCATTTGCAACATGCATAGAGTATTATTATTATTATGTTTTATTATTATTATATGTTATTTATGCTTATGTGTTAGATTAGATCTAATATGCACCTAGAGTGGTAAAATAAACAAACTTTTTGTGAGTTCCGTTTATTTCGATTTGTTAAAAATATACTCCTTTCGTTCCATAAATATATTTTTAATTGAGTTGGACACGAAATTTAAGAAATATTGATATTATATTAGCAGTTGGTAAAAAGTATAGCTAAAAAGACTTTTTTGTCCTTGTGAGTGTATTAATGTAAAAAATAGTGACAATTGTGTAATAAAAATAAAAAAGTAGAGGTGGTTTTACGGTGATATGATTATTTATGAAAATAAAACTATTATTTTATAATGGACAAAAATAGTAAACAAGACTATTATATTGGGACAAATAGTATTTGTTAAGTTAAACAAATTCAACACATATATAAATTTTTAGCCTGTCATGTTTATGAGCAAGAGCTCTAGCTTGTTTGTTAAAAAAAAATTAAAATAACATTTTTATATTTAATAAGTATATCTATTTATAATATTATATATAATTCTAATTGTTTTACATCAATATATAATGAGTGTGTTTTTTTTTTTAAATAAAAATTTTTACTATTCATCTAGTAAAATTTTCAATGAAAATATACTATTTTTTTTATAAAATATTAAATCAAAATATTATTTAAATCAATATTCAAATCATCTTAATTTCAAATAAATCAAAACAAAAAATATTAAATAATAATAATAATAATAAATTGAATTAAAATTAAAATTTAAAAATAAAATAAAATACAATAAATATTATAAAAATCCTCTTAATGAGCCTAGTCGAATACAGACAAAAGAAAAATATTTAACAAGCGGAACTTAAATAAAAACTTTAACTTGTATATCTTAACAAAGTAACACAAATTGACATTAAATCTTTAACGAATTTAAGTTCAAACATCGAAAGTAAGTTCGGCTCAATTTGACTCTTTTTAAGAACTCTACAAATGGCTAATCCACACCATTTTAGGCTCTTTTTCACGGTGTGTTTGTTTGGGAGTTTGGATTTTGAGTTGGGATTTGAATAGTAAAAATTTTGAATTTAAATAGTTGTATGATGTGATATAAATAGATGTTTATGTGATGTTTTAAATGTAAAATTGATTTTTTGTATAATATAAAAAATAGGTATTTGATTTGATATTTTTTGGGAAAAAAATGAAGATCCCCCAAACAAACACACCCGTATATGGAAGATCCTATCCTGTGACCAAAATAAAAAAAAAAACAACAAAAAATGAAAATTGTGGTGCAATTTTTATGCTCCCTCTCCATTTTTGTTGTTTTGTTTCCACTTCACAAATTAATAATATCCACCAGTTTGTGCAAAGGTAGGGAACAAAACACGCAGGCTAAATATATATATATATATATATTTAAAGTATTTTAATAATAGTGATATATATTTTATTATTATTACTTTTTTAAATTATAAAAATATTTTGAAAGATTATAATATTATTTGGTTTGAAGTAATGTTGTATTATCTTTTAAATATTTTATAAAAATAATAATAATATATTTTTATTAAAGAATATAATTAATATTTTTAAATTGAAAAATATAGTTCAACTGTTACTTTTGAAAAAAAAAAAGAAAATTCTTTTGAAATTTTGTAATAGATTAAGAAATAATACTTCATCCATCCTATAAAAATTATTCATGTTACTGTAGATATAAAAATTTAGATAAAATACAATTAGTAAGTAATTATGAAGTATATTAGTAAAATAATTATTATATAATAAAAATAATTATAAATTAAGATTAACATATATAACTAAATAGTTTAATTAAAATTAAAAAAATTATAAATTATAAATTTTTTAAAATATAATTAAAGTGTATAATTATATTTTCAAAAAAAAATGACAAATTATGTAGGACATAGCGAAATACAAAAAGTAAACAATTTATGTGGGACGGAGAGACTATTAGGGTGTGTTTGTTTGAAGGATTTTGAAGGATTTCCACTATTCATCCAATTTTTTCCCCCCAAAAACATCAAATCAAACACCTATTTTTCATTTTTTATATTATACTAAAAATCAATTTTACATTCAAAACATCACATCAAACCCTATTTATATCACATCATACAACTATTCAAATTCAAAATTTTTACTATTCAAATCCCAATCCAAAATCCAAACCCCCAAACAAACACACCCTTATTTTATTCGTTAGTGGAAATGTGCAAGAGATTTTGACATTTGATCATTTAACTTTTTGTATAAAGTAATTGTATATATAATAGTATGTGTGTAATTTAAATAAAAATTAAGTATTTTAATATTAGGATATGTTTACTTTACTTAAAAAAAAAAAAAAAAAAAAAAAAAAGTATATTTTTGAGGAAACATATAAAAATATTAAAAAAATGTACTTTTAATTAGGACAAATGAAGTATATAATATAGTAATAAAACTATAAAAGAATAAACCATCACTGTACTTTGTTATTAGGTCCACATAAAAGTGTAAACCAGCCCAACTTGTATAGAAATGTATATATATATATATATAAAGGCCCACAAAACAATAATATTCCCTCCGTACATAACAAAGTATTTATTTTTCTATTTTAGTCCGTCTCATAGTACTATCTACCTAACATTACAAATACCCTTACAATTTACAGTATATTACACAAATGTCGTTACTTTTATATCACACATACTAATAAGGTTATTTTAGTCATTTCTACTTTATTTATATTATATTCCAATATAATACTAATATTTTTAAAACTATGTACAAAAAGTAAATGAATATTTAGTTCGGGGACGGAGGGAGTAGATACAAACCAAATTATAGGCTAAATTTGTACACAATTTTCATAATTAAATTTCTATTGTGATAGTTTAATGCGCAATAAAAAGTCATAATTAATGTGTACTTAATACATAATAAATTAATAATGTTCATGGTACTTTATCTACACCTTTTGTATTAATAACACGTACTAATATAATATATATATATATATAACTATTTTGATTTTTATTACTGTATTATTTTTTTTAACATGCAAAATTTTACCTATAAATCTCATATGGCAAAATCACATCTAACCACCTATTGGAAAAATAAAAATAAAAAATTACCCGGGCTTTGTTCTTCAAATATTATTTTTCAATTACGATTTTTCAAAAATAATAATAAATAATACAAAATACATTTTTATAAAGGTCAACAACTAAAAAAAAAATTCAAATATTCATCACAAAAAATTAAATATTCAACTTCAAATAATATATTTTATATTTTTGACACAATTCTTTATATCACACACCAAAAATCAATTCATCTAAAATCTTCTGATGAACGAAGCCCACGTGTGTTTAGTTAATTTATGATATACATATTACATTTTTATTTTTAATTTAAATATAGTGGTTTGACATAACATTGTTTTTATAGAAAATAGTATAGATTTATTAAATAAAATAGAAAACAAATAAAAATAAAGTATAAAAATAATAAAAAGAACAAATGTCAAATAAACATTATATCTAAAATATTAAAAAATAATAATAATAATAATTATGACTCTTGTCTACTTATTTTTTCTAATTTTATTTTAAAGTAATTCATCAATTTTTATAATTAGTATTAGGTAATACTAAAATACATTCATTCTAACATAAATTGATAGCATTACATATAATATCTATTTAATATATATATTACTTCTAAAATGTGTTTGATTTGCACCGAAGTTTCAAATTTTATTATTTGAACTATAAATTTTCATGATTTCACGGTTCCGAATTCATCCCACACTACCATGTCACCCCTTACAGAAAAATATAAATTAATATATATGTTGAAAAGATTTTTAGAATATGCATTTAAATAATTTTAGCATTGTATTTCAATAAAATATATATATAAATATATTTATAATTATGTTAAACTAATTTTATAAAAAAAAAAATTTAATATAAGTAAATATTTATTTATCAAAGAAAAATAAAAATAATTTTTTTTTTTGAATGGTTCTATATATTTAATATTTATAATTTCATATTAAAACATATTATTTTATTTTATACAATATCATATTCAATTAAAAAAAATTATAAAATAAAATAATAGTGTATTTGTTTTATGTTTTAATTTGAAATATTTTTCCTATGTGTTGTATGAGAATTATATTGAAAAATAATATTTTGTATAAATTACTAATTTTTATAAAATAAAATAAAATATTATATATTTTATTAATAGTACAAGTAAAAAATTTATATATATATATATATATATATAAAGAATCGCCAACTACCAATCCCATAAATGCTTGTGCATTTTCAAGCTCGTCTTTTGGTGGCTATTTATTCAACAAAGAACCTAAATCCATAATCCACTTAATTCATTGCATCGAATTCTTCTAACAACATTGTCCTAATTCCCCTCCATATATCAAAATTAAATTTCACGGTTTCGACCCTCGACATTTATTATTTTCCAAAAATCATACAACTCTTAAAAAAAAAAAAAAAAAATGAAAATGGAGGTGCCATTGCTGCCGGAGGCGAATGGAAGTCGAGAATCTCCGGCAAGGTACCGCCGGTTTTTATCCGAGGCCAAAAAAGTGAGCCACATCGCATTGCCAATGGTAGTGGTAAATATTTCCGAGTACTTTCTTTCCATCTCCCCGCTCTTTATGATCGGCCATCTCAACCACCTCGATCTTTCTAGTGTATCCCTCGGCGTTTCCATCGCCAATGTGACCGGCTATAGCATAATTGTATGAATCCCCCATTTCAATTCAATTTTTTTTTTTTAAAAAAAAAATACTTAAAAAAAAAAATTTTGCGACCATATTTTTGACATCGTGTTAAATTGAGCAGTTCGGCATGGCGAGTGCATTAGAAACTCTATGTGCGCGTGCTCATGGAACCGGAGAATATGAAAAAGTCGGGACTTACACATTGAATAGTATTGTATGCCTATTTATGGTGTCTATACCCATTTCGATTTTATGGATATATATGGAGAGGATACTTATATTTATCGGCCAAGATGTTCTAATTTCTGTCGAGGCCGGGAAGTACACTACGTGGTTGATTCCGTCGCTTTTCCCATATGCGATATATCAATCATTGGTGAGGTATTTACAAGTTCAGAGTATGATCCTTCCGATTCTTATTAGTACGGTAACCACTTTGTTATTCCATTTGCCGATTTGTTGGATGTTAATATTCCCGTTGGAGATGGGGAATTTGGGCGCGGCGCTTTCTATTAATATATCGTATTGGTTGAATACGATCATTCTCGGGGTTTACATAAGGTGTTCACCGTCGTGTAAGAATACGCGGGAGGCTACTCTCTCCCGTGAAGCTTTCTTGAAATTCCTTTGGCTCGCGATCCCGACTACCTTAATGGTTTGGTAACGATCTTGTGAGAATTTGGGTTTTTTAGATTGATTTATACCAGTGTGTTTATTTAAGGTTTGGGTTAGGTGTGGATTTAGTAAAATTTTGAATTGAAAAGTATTTTGTGTAATATAGATGTGCTTATGTAATATATTGATTAATGAAGAGTGTTTTTTTTTTTTTTTTTTTTTGTATAATATGTCAAATAAATATATAATTTATTTCTCCCTCCGTCCTAGATACCATGTCCACGTTGTCGTTTCTGTCCGTCCCACATACCATGTCACTTTCCTTTTTTGGAAAATGATTACACACTTTAATCTCATTTTAAATTTTTTTATTTTATTTTATTTAATTTTAATTAAACTAATTAGTTATCTTAATCTTAATTTATAATTATTTATATTATAGGATAATTATTTTCACAAATACATTCTTAATTATCTACTAATTACACACCTCCTAAAATACCGTGTATACAGTGTAACAGACACGGTATCTGGGACGGAGGGAGTATTTTTTAGCTGATAAATGATTATTTCATTTTTGGAAGTTTTGGAGATTTTAAAATTTAAAATTAGTGAATAGTTGGCATTTGATGTATGTCGATGGGAAGAAAAATATATTTAATGTGATTTTTTTAAAAAAAATATTAAACACTATCAAAGTATTCAAAGTTGTATAAACAAAGTTTTACTTTTGAGTGAAACACTCATTTAATATGTTATCAGAATCAGAATATTTTATGTTCCAAGTTTTGCAGTTCCTATTCGTCATCAGCCACGTATAAGATTCGTATTTTGTGTAAATCCACCTTGTAAGTAAGGGGCATATTGAATGACTTTGTTTAAGCGTCCAGTCATTTAACATTGATAAAAAATAAAAAAATAAAAAATAATTGTTCGCCTTCTCTATTGAATAATTGTTCATATTTTTCTGTTGCGATGAAGTTTGGTGTGGTGGTCGTATGAGCTCGTTGTTTTGCTTTCCGGGCTGTTGCCGAATCCACAACTCGAGACATTAGTGTCGTCCATTTGGTATGTTTTTAAGTTTTGTAATTGTTTATTTATATTTCCAAGTTTGTTTTCGTGTTATTTATTTATTTATTTTTACAAAATATTATATTTAATATTATTTTTTACTTAAAATATTATATAAAAATTAAATTTGTGTTTGATGTGTTTTGTGTAGTTGGAACAGTAAAAATTTTGATTTAATTTATTGATATGATATAAATAGCATTTATTATACTCTAGTATTAATTTAAAAATTAAGTATGATGTAATATTTTTAAGGTAAAAAAAATAAAAATAAAAAATTCAACAAATTTATGTAAAATTAGTGTATAAACCACAACTCATCTAATTTGCATTCCCTATTCAAAATATTTCAAATTTTTATTTGTATTCAATTTTTGTTATTTTGAAAATAACTAACATTTTCAAAATATATCTATGCCCATTGTTGATGTGTCCTATTTATTCCATTCATTAAAAATATTATCTAAAAATATAATATTTTAAAAAAAAAGGGATAAAATTGACAGACATATAGAATATATTTCCTCCCTCCGTCCCATAACAAAGTATCTATTTTCATTTTAGTCCGTCCCCTAACAAAGTATCAATTTCCTTTTTTTAGTAACTGTATTATCTACCTAACATTACAAATATTCTTACAACTTACAATATATTACACAAATGTCATTACCTTTATATCACACATACTAATAAGGTTATTTTAGTCATTTTTACTTTATTTCTACTATATCCCAATATAATACTAATATTTTTAAAACTACGTGAAAAAAGTAAATTGATACTTAGTTTTGGGACGGAGGGGAGTATATTATAATACATAATATACTAAGCAAATATTTTTAAAGGTCAAAAATAAATAAAAAATATATATTCTCTCATCAAATAAAAATATTTAATTTTTTTTTTTGTAATGGCAAGGGCAGTTACACAACTTTCTTGTTGCATTCCCACATACCTGATTCATTTGGAGCTGCAGCAAGGTTTGTTTGTTCAATTTTTTTTTATTTTTTTTTATTTTTGAATCATGTGTATTTCCATTTGATGAAAGTTTTAGGTATAGTGGTGTGTAAGTATATATGAAGAATTTTGTATGATATGATGAAGCACTCGGATATCGAACGAATTAGGAGCCGGGAGAGCAAAGATGGCCCGAACAACTTTCTACACAACGCTTGCGCTATCAACCACCGAGTGCTTAATAGCAAGCATCGTTGTATATTTTTGTCGCGATGTTTTGGGATATGCATATAGCAACGATCCACAAGTCATCCGTTATGTAAGCAAAATCGCTCCTCTCCTTTCGCTATGCATCGCGATGGATGCCTTCGAAGCTGTACTTTCCGGTACCTCTCTCTCTCTCTATATATATATATATAGCATCAAGTTTGCTTTTAGAAGTAAATCTTGCATTATATTGGCACTAGCTATGGTAATTCAAATAATCGGAAAAATAAATTTTACTCGACAGGGTTTGTAGCTCTACTCCAATACTCATGATATACGTATATATACAAAAAAGTATATGTATAGAAATACATTATTAGATATGTGAGCTCAGGATCCTGACTCAATTGACCGCAGTTATAGTGAAATTCAGCACAATGTTGAATAATATATAGTGTGCTAAAAATATTATTACAGACAACAACAGTTAATTTTAACACATGAATTACTCTTATGCATCATGTAATTATGAACCAACAATATATATTTTTATTGCACCCTGAAAATAGAAAAAAATAAATAAATAAATGAAAACATAACCAAAAAAACAAAAAACCAAAGAATTTAATCACATGTTTCTTACATCCACAACAATAATTTCTATACGACTTTAGAATTTGCAATCTAGGAATGGTAAGAGGGAGTGGCTCGCAACATATAGCCGTATGCATCAACATTGGATCATACTATCTTGTCGGAGTCCCCTTCGCTTGGTTTGCCGGATTTGTTCTAGATTTGAAAGCCATGGGGCTTTTCTGCGGGCTATTTGCTGGATCGACATTGCAAGTTTTCTTGCTCTTTATAATTACGAATGGCTCGGATTTGGAGAAACAGGTCTTTCAATTATTCCTCTTTGTTGTATATTTATAAGCAATCAAATTTAGTTATTTAATTGATACGACGAACAACTTTTACGAGAATAATATTTATTGCAGGTAAGGATCGAAAAAAGATAAAGAATAGTTTCAAATCAATGGCGGTACTTTGAATGTGTTCGATGCGAAGGAAGGTGCTTCACATGTTATGATTCGAATTTGGACTTTCGGCACGCCTATAACTAACAAATAAGTTGAAGCTGTGAATTGTTGTGGTTTTGTTGAATCAATAAACATTTGAAAAGAAGATTATTTAAATGAACTTAACCTATAAACAAGTTCTTATTTTTTCTAATAAATTGGTACTCTCTAATATATATATATATATATATATATTTTATTTTTTTATTTTTTTATTTTTATATAACATGGGAATTCGCATCCGTTATTCGAAAGTATGCATTGGTAAACCTCCGGCTGAATCTAATTAGACCTGTTAATTCCTTGTCATCCTGCTATATCCGAACAAATAAAAGTAATGCAATAGAAGTTTACTTTTGATCGGGAAATTGCTATTGTCTTATACTTCCTCAGTCCAATTTTTATTATCCTAAAGTATATTTGCACGGTTTTTTTTTTATGTAATTGTCTTTTTGTTATGAATGGACAAATTTGCCCTTAAGTGTATAGTAGAGACTAAAAGTAATAAATAAATGAAAGTAAAAATATAAAATTTATGTTTAAAAAAGAAAATAAAATAATAGTCGTTGGACGTCCCAAATAGAAAAATAGGATGTGGACGGAGGGAGTATTTAATAAATATTTTTTCTTTCAAATTTTTTATTAAATTTTTATTTTCTTTACAATATATAACATCAATATATATTTGTATGGTCTCAATACATATCTTCATTTAGATAGTACTATTTTTAATTGATAGGAGAATTTGGATTTTAAGTTTGTATTTTTAATAATAAAAAATTTAAAATTAAATCATTGTATTATATTATTTTAAATATAAAAATAAAATTTAATATATTATAAAAATAAAAAACAAATATTTAATTTAATATTTTTTTAAATAATAAATGAATAATCTGATAAAATTTTACTCAAATAATATTACTTTTATATTACGTTATTACTAATAAAATTATTTTTATTAATATAATTTTTTAATATTAAAAAATCACTTTTCTTCTAAACGAAAGGAGTATTAATATTAGTTTTAGGATGAAAATAAATATATGTCAGTTAAAATATGGTCAAGGATCGGCATCGGCTGCTTCGTCAGATTACAGAAGCTATAAATGCAGTAGATTTATGGCGTCCATCGCTCAGCCACGTTTTGAGGACAAAGGGTACTGAAAATCCTCTGACTAGATTTCCCCACGCGGCAGATCGAGCCTTCTCCCACTCCTAATAATGGCGGTGCGGATCGTCGCATCCTAGGGTTGAGCTCCAATCTCGGAGACTTCCGATTGGCGTTCATTTCCAAATGGACGTCGAGAAATCGTCGCTCTGCAATTGCGTTGTCAATTTCTTGCTGGAGGAGAATTACTTGCTGACAGCCTTCGAGCTCTTCCATGAACTCCTCGATGACGGCCGCGACGATCAGGCTATTCGCCTCAAGCAATTCTTCTCCGATCCAGCTAATTTTCCTCCCGATCAGATCTCCCGGTTAAACACTCTTCGAGGTTAGTGATTAATTGCATGACTGCACACGCCGGCAGCTAAAATGTGCTCGACCTTTGATTGTTTATGTTTTGTTTGTCTTCCCCGTGATGTCTGCTGCTTCCCACGCCATTTCAGTACTCGTGGTTGGGGGAATCTAATCTGATGTTAGCCTTTATAATTGTTGGTAACTTTTTGGCCTTTTGAAGTGATATCGGTGCGTTGAATCCACATTCTATGATTGCTACATCGTATGCCGATTATCAAAGAAATCGACGCAAGACCTTCCTTGATCCTCTCGATAGTTAGTTGGATAGTTGTAGTTCAAGTTTTTTCTGTATCAAGATATAATTAGAGTATAACACCCTGCAGAATGTCTGTATCAAAATGTTAATTTTAAGCTCTGTTCAGCTTTAGAATCTTACACAGAAACCCATCATTGAAAATTCGTGTAGAATAAGTTTGTGTGCGTGCTCTGAAAATCAATTTTGTGGTGGATAAACATCTTGCATGAGGTAATTGAGAATGTAAGTCATGGTTTTGATTAAAATTTATTACTCACTTATTGATTTATGAATGCGGGCTGCGACTTGGAACAAAGGCACTTCCTGCTTCAAGCTAATTCACCACTTGGCAAGCACAGGAATTCTTAAAAATCTGTATTAGTGTTCTATATATATTTTTTAAATTTTTTTTAGTTATTAGATAAGATAGCATGGTGACTTGGCTATGCAACCTTGATTGAGTTACGTTCCAAGAATATCAAGTTGTTGACGAACTTAGTGTGATGAAGGCTGAAACACCCATTGGGAAGGTTCAGTGACCAATCTATTGATTTTAAAGTGTTGAATCTAAAAGTTGGTTGTCTTTTAAGCATCTCATCATGTGAATTTGAAGGATAAAATCCTCTTGATTACCATGTATCTTGTATTTTTATGATTTGATTAATGATTATGTTGGATCAGCTGCAAATGCATTTAAAATAACATTAAAACCAGTACGTAATTGGTGGTTAAGAGAATAATGACCCGCTGGTACCTTCTGCTGGGATAATCACAGCTGGAAGGAAATTGAGAGGTTGCATAATATATCTAAAACAAAAAAAATAAAAAAATCAAGGAGAACGGACCCCTTCATCTCTATGAAATTTTGACTCGGTGAGCCAATCCATTTACCTTACCCCTGCTGTTTTTCCATGAAACAGTGGCGGACCCCCAGAGTCTCCTTGAAGAGAAGGAATCACTGGAAGAAAAATTGGCAGTTAGTGAATATGGACTTCGATTAGCACAAGAAGACATCGTCAACCTGAAGGCTGAGTTACTGAAGAAAAATGAGCTCGGCCTTGATCAATCAGGTGATTATTTATCCTAATTTTGATTTACTCTTTTGCATATGCTCTTGAGTTCTTTAATTGGTAGATTGATGTTGTTATGTACACAGAAAATTGTTGTTCCGGTTTCTTGCTTTAGGTGCCATGCTAACAGTATCTTACTATATCATTAAACTTAATTCCTTCTGCTAACCACCAATGTTGAATTTACTGGCAGCATTGTTGGCTTCTCATGAATTTGTTCAATGATATTTCAGTGCCAAGTGTCATTAATTCTGCAAATAACGGATCAGTTATTCAGCCAACAAAGAAGGATGTATCTTTCTCAGATTTGGGTCCTCTGAAGGAAAATGAACGACTAGATATCAACTGTGCAGTGAAGGAATATTTACTATTGGCAGGATATCGTTTAACTGCTATGACACTCTGTGAGGAGGTTTGACTGGTGTTCTTTGCTTTTTCATCTTTTACAATCAATCTGCATCAGACTTATGTTTGAGTAATGACAAGTCTTTACATAGCATTTTTTGAATTGGTGGTATGTTGCTGGCGAACAAATCATTCTTATTGAACTCACACTTTTAATGTTTTCTGCTACCTGACTATGGAGTGACCAAGAAGGCTTTGTGTCTCAGAACTTTCACTTTAATTGTGACTATTAGGTAGAATAAGGAGTGCATCCTGTGTTTTTTTTTCAATGCTTATTCTGATGTCCTAAAGTAGGACATATCGAATTTTAGTTGATTGTGTGGGGAGAGCTGATCACTTCAGGAAAATGTGCTTGTATATATTGAGGCCATATATCATTAAGGTGATTGAGAAGGCCATGAATATGGCCTTGTTAATATTTCAGACCTTAATAGGGTTTGGAAAATATATATACATCAATCTTATTGCTTTCTATTGGTTATTGCAGTTCTGTATCAGTGTTAACATATCTAAGAGTATTAAAAGTATTTTCTGTCTAACAGGTCTCCGATCAGAACTTAGATGTATGGCAAAAGTCACCAGCATGTGTACCAGATGCGCTACGGCATTATTACTACCAATTTCTTTCATCTACTTCGGAAGCTGCTGAGGTACATGTTGAATATTCATTAGGAGGTGAATTTGGTTGTTACTATTATTAAAATGAAATAAACACTTCAAGTAGTAGATTTGATAATCATGCCACGACCCAAGATTGGATGTAACATATTCATGTTGCTTCTTGATCTGCTGAAGTCTGCTCTATGACCGCTCTTTACCTTCTCCAAAAACAAAACACCTGTTTGGTGGTATATATGTTTATTAGGATTTTATTTTATTTTTTTTTACAATTACACTGCATTAAATGAAGTCAACAATAGGACTTTTGGCACTGAAAGTAAATTGCAGTTTTAAAATTTACTTTGTCAAGCTTCAATACCATGGTGAATCAGTTTTTTTGTCAGGACATAGTAAAAAAAAAAACATGTTTATTAATAGATTCTCAAATCGAAATGGATTTCTTATGAAACCTGGTAGTTATGATGGATTAAAAATCAAGTTACGGTTCATAATAATTTTACAGTTGTCTGGCACTGAAACAATATGATTTTTCGTATATTTGATGCTTGGGGCATCCTATTCTGTTTATCTATTTATGGGATTACTAAGGATCTGCTCATTAGAGGCTTTAGTAGAATGTCAAGGTTTTACAATGATTTTATTTATTTATTTTCTTTTGCTATAGTTCTACTAAACCTCTCATGCTGGCAGGAGAAAATAGCAATGCTTCGTGAAAATGAGTCGTTGCTGAAAGAAAATGATAGGCTAAAAAGTAATGCACAATCCATACTAAAAAGCAAGGAAAAATCAGATGCACAGGTCATGACTTTGACAAAATCTTTGGAAGCACTGCAAAAAGATATCAAGGACAAAGAAAATCAGGCAATTCTCTTGACTCAACAAATATGTTCTTCCTTTCTCGATTCTGTATCTGTTTTCAATTGGTGATAAATATATGGAACTATATCTCAGGTTCAAGATCTGACGAAGACTTTGGAAAGCCAAAGAAAAGAACTAAATGATTGTAGAGCTGAAATAACTTCACTAAAAATGCATTTTGAAGGAGCTCTATCAGGAAAAAGTGTTTCACTAACGGACTCAGTAATTATGCATACTGTGCCAGAGCACCATAGTTGGGATGTAAAACAAGTTCAGAATGGATTAGGAATATCCAAACCAGATCCTGTTGAGGCAATTGAGAGAGAAGAAGGAAGTCAAGGAGGAGTAGATGAAACTAGTGAACCAAAATCAAAAAATAATGCATCATCTACATTTAATACATCTGCAAATACTGAGATAATGAATAAACAGGGTTCTGATGACTCAATTATCAAATCTGAAGAATTGCCTGTAAATCAACAACCCTCTTCCAGTGGAAGTGAATTTGTTGAAAAAGATGGACATTTTTCCAAGCATGATGGAGAGTCTTCCCCTGAAAATAGTGGATTGGATAAACTTGATGCTGAATCAAATACTGAAAATATGGTAAGTTCTTGTTCTCTTTCCAAACATGTTAAACTAGTTGCTCGTGGAAAAAATATTGCTTGAACCTAACATCCACAACCTGCTGTTCTTTTACAGGGCTTGGATACTATCGAGATATTGTCAAATTCATTGCCTAAAATTGTACCTTATGTTCTAATCAACCATCGAGAGGTTTGACTATCTATTTATCGTTGTGTTATTTTGAAATATTATGCTTTCCTTTCTTGTTGCAAGTATAATATTGAGCTGATTTGTTATAGGAACTTCTTCCTCTTATTATGTGTGCAATTGAGCGACATCCAGACAGTGCTACTCGAGATTCCTTAACCCACACATTATTTAATTTAATAAAGCGACCAGATGAGCAGCAAAGAAGCATTATAATGGATGTAAGTTTCTTACAGTCAAGCAACTGCATATTTTTTGACTTCTGCTCTAATCATTAAGCTCTTGTCATTTCAGGCTTGTGTTAATCTTGCCAAGAATGTAGGACCATTGAGAACAGAAACCGAACTGCTACCCCAGTGTTGGGAACAAGTAAGAAACTTTAAACTTTCCAGCATCTTACCTATACTTCTTTCATTTAAAGTGCCCAAAATATAGCACATAAGGTGATTTATTGCTTGTAGATTAATCATATGCATGAGGAGCGTAGACTCCTTGTTGCCCAATCATGCGGTGAGCTTGCAGAGTTTGTTCGGCCAGAGATACGCGATTCCCTCATATTATCAATAATGCAACAGCTCATTGAGGATGCTGCCCCAGTTGTGAGGGAGGCTGCTGCTCATAATCTGGCTGTGTTGCTAGCTCTCTTCCCAAATACAGACAAATATTTCAAGGTCAGCCTCACTAAATATGCTTCGAGGCAATCATGGAGAAGATTTCTGACTTGACACTTGCATACAATGTAAGCTCTATGATCGAGGGAATGGAGCATATCCTCTGGTCATAATATGATGCCTTACAAGCAAACTAGACCATAAAAAACGATAAGTAAAAAGAAAATTACATCTTCTCCAATCATTTTTTTTTTTTCTTGTTTCTTGATAGGTTGAGGAGATGATGTTTCAACTAGTTTGCGATCCCTCTGGTTTAGTTGTAGAAACTACAATTAAAGAGTTGGTTCCCTCTTTAATAAATTGGGGAAACAAGCTGGATCATATTTTAGAAGTTTCACTGTCGCACATTGTGGGTTCTGCTCAGGTATAGTTCTATGTTTCAATATATATATTTCTTTTTGATTGGATTGTATGTTTCAATATCGACTGACTGCTTGGTGTCATGCTTATTGTGCTTACTGTTATATTGTGTCTTCCAGCGGTGCCCACCTCTTTCAGGGGTCGAAGGTTCCATTGAGTCACTTCTACATGTTTTAGGTGAAAGGGAACGATGGAACATTGATGTTTTGTTGCGGTTGCTATCTGAACTGGTTTCATACGTGCACCGCCAAGCTGTTGAGACTTGTCCTTATTCCTCAGTTTCTGATTCTAAAGAAATATCATTTACTACGTCTTTATTTGAAATTTACGCAGGGTAAGCTTGTGATTTAGCCTTCTTCTGCCATGCTTTCTTTTATGTGTCTGCACGTGAAGTTATATTCCTAGTTTAATGGTTTTGGAACATCAATCTTTTGACATTAGTACTTGTGGATAAATCATTGTTCAGGGGACTAAAGGAGTGGCCAGTCTTTGAGTGGTTGCATCTCGAGTGCTTCCCCACTTTGATTGAATTTTCCTCTCTACTGCCTCAAAAGGAAGATAGTTTAAGAAATCGTGTAGTCAAGGTGATACCTTCGTTACTTGTTTAAATGTGTTTCACCTTCCATGTAATGCTTGCGATTGCTCTTATTAGTAGTTTCTCTTCGTTTTCATTTAATCAAACACTTGGACAACCAACTGCAGTTTTTGCGCACAGTGGCTGAATATTTTGGGGAACCTTATTTGACTCACATCATGCTGCCCGTGTTTTTAGTAGCTATCGGAGATGATGCAGATTTCAAATATTTCCCATTGGAAGCCCAGCTAAAACTTAGAGGCAATACATCTTTATCTTTAATTACAAGCTGTTGCTGCTCTTTTTGTGACCTTTTTGGCTCACTTATTCATCTGAATTAAGCCCTGTTTGTCGTAACCATAGTCCGTTCTATTCACAGGGTTGAGGCCACAATCTGAAATGGCTCAGAGACTCGCAACAATGTGCATCCTACCGCTTCTCCTAGCCGGCATACTAGGACACTCAAGCAAGCGAGACGACTTGACAGAGTACTTGAGGAATCTGCTGATTCAAAGTTCTGAACAGGATGGTCAATCACCGAATCATGAGATTATCAACTCTGTCCGCTTTATTTGGTTCGTATCGGTTCTGACATTTGCAAATTTTTTCGCCAATATTTACTCTTCATTTGTTGATTCCTGGGATTTTCTGGCAACAGTACCTACGAAGAAAATCATAATATAATATTCAACATCCTGTGGGAAATGGTTATGAGTACTAATGTAAAATTGAAGATCAGTGCAGCCAATCTTCTCAAAGCCATGGTGAGGCTATTCTTTCCAATGATAAATTTCGTATTCCTCAAATTTATTATATGCCTCGTTGATATCTTTGTTCTTTAGGTACCGTATATCGATGCAAAAGTTGCATCCGCTCGTGTTTTGCCTGCTCTTGTGACTCTCGGCACTGACCATAACTTGAATGTGAAATATGCAAGTATCGATGCCTTTGGTGCTGTAGCGCAACACTTCAAGAATGACACAGTATGACTTATACCTGAGCTATTAGGTAAAACTAATGAAGCATATTTTTTACAGTCGACTGACCAAACGTCTTTTTAGATTGTGGACAAAATATGCATTCAAATGGACGCTTTTCTGGAAGATGGATCACATGAAGCTACCATTGCCGTAGTTCGTGCACTGTTATTAGCCGTGCCACATACAACTGACAAGCTCCGAGATTATATCCTTCTCAATCCTTTGCCTCAATACTAACTTTACTCTTCTTTTCAAATGTTTCGAAAATGTGGAAACTTTTTCTCCTTAACTTTGCGTACATCTTATGGGCAAGATCGTCAAATTCACAGCGACACCTTTCCCTTCAAGTGATGTAAGACGTCGGCGAGAGAGAGCTAATGCTTTCTGCGAAGCAATCCGCGCACTCGATGCAACAGGTCTTTCTACCAAAAACTTTAGTCAATCTTAATCAGCATACTTTTCCCATATCATTTGCAGCATGTATCTTAACTGGAATGTGCTTCGATCATCTTTTTTTTTGGTTCTCCAGATCTTCCAGCTTCGAGCGTCCGTGATTTCCTCCTCCCCGCAATTCAAAATCTAATGAAAGACATTGAAGCGCTCGATCCAGCTCACAAGGAAGCTCTAGAATTCATACTAAAGGAACGATCCGGAGGAACCTTTGATGCTCTCAGTAAAGTGATGGGTGCTCATCTTGGACTTGCCTCCTCCGTCTCTAACTTCTCTTCTGTCACAAGCTTTTTCGGTGAAAGCGGGCTGCTCGGGAAGAAGGAAAGCGGAGATCCAGGGAGCTCGGCTCCAGAAGCTGTCGAATCCCCGACACAGCCGGCTGAGGACACCAGATTTCGACGCATTATGCGCGGCGGCTTCACGGACATGCTCCGGGGGAGAAGTGAGCAGTGAGGAACATCAGACCATTCTCTTGTCAGAAGTATGTGTTATGCTTTCTACCATTCTATTTTATGATAATTTCTTTGGCATCATATGTCCTATAAATATATTTAATTCTTGTCACATTTCTTTTTTTTTTTTTTTTTTACTTTAAAATTTTCAGGGCAGTGAGTAGAATCATAAATCATTCCCTTATACTTACTGTATAGGCTGTGCTTCATCGAAGGTAGACAGTTATTCATTTCTATTATTATTATTATTATTATTATTATTATTGATTGGAGTGTTATTTTGTTGGTATAATTTTGATTTTATTTGTTTTTGTTATTGTGTATGGAAGGATTTTGTGAATTGTATTTAGAATGTTTTAATAAGTTGCACAAGTTTTAAGAAAAAAATTTAGGACGAGGTAATAATATCTATAAGCTCTCAATTGTATGAAATGGAATGATTGAGATAGGGATTTTAGTAAGATTTGGATTTGGGTTTAAAATAGTTTTAAAAAAAATAATAATAAATAAATAAATAAATAAATTGAAATCATATTTGATGTGATTTAATTATATCTTTTATCTGATTTTTTTTAATAGAAAATTATTTTAATTAATTAGAGAATTTGATGGAATGCAAGAAACCATAGTCCAACTCCAAGTCAAGCAATTTGCATTCGTTTTTCCAACTCCGTGTAAATATGGGAATGGATGACAGACAACGTGACATCCTACCAATTACCAAATAATCAAAGTCAAGATCAAACTAAACTATACGTGTTTGTATTTTATATTTTAACATTAGTTAGATACGATTTTTAATGATTAAAATATATTAAAATTGTAAACATTATGGGTATGTTTGTAAAGTTTTGGTTTTGATTTTGTTATTGTTAATTTTTCTTAAAAAAAACAGTTATATCAAATCAAATCGCTTATTATTTATTTATTATATTATATTAAAATTTAATTTTATATTAGGAATATATTATTATTATTATTTTCGTTTGTCCATTAAAAAATATATATATTTTTTATATTATAGTAATCATATATAAATATTATAATACCTTTTAACTTTTACATTAAGTTAAAAAAAATATATATACTAGCACATATACAATTAATTTTTATATATAATATAAAAATCTTTTTACACACATACTCTATAGTATTCCTTCCGCCCAATACAATAGTATTATTTACTATTTTTGTCCGTATCAAAATAATAGTCTCATTTTCATAAATAATCATATCACCGTAAATTTATTCCTACTGTTTCATTATTATTAGAACGAATGGAGTATTATTTTTAATTTTAAAGTAAGACCTTGACTTGGACTTTAATAAGTTCCACACACTTCCCTACCAATTTATAAATGTGCCTATTAGCAACCATATCCCACAAATTTTCCTCTCAAACTTATTTTACATTTAATAGACATGAAAACCATAATCTGGTGTAGCACCGTCGTCCTTGTATGTCTCCTGGCGGCGGTGGCGGCGGCGGCGGAGGAGGAAGAGGAGGTGAACTGCAGCTCGTTGGAGATGACGGTGTGCACGGCGACGCTGATCGCTAGACGGCAGGCTTTGACGCCGGAGTGCTGCGACAAGCTGATGGAGCAAAGGCCCTGTATGTGCAGCTACAAGAGAGACCCTAACCTCCGCCAGTATTTCGGCAGCTCCCTTACACGGAAGCTCACCGATGCCTGTGGTGTCCGCATGCCCGATTGTTAATTATGTGTGTGTATATATATATTTCAAAATAATTTTGTATGATTTATTAAAACTTCACAAGTTTTGTATATTTTTTCTTTTTTTATGATGCAAAAATTTGCAACCGTTATTCTTTGAATGCGCTCTGAACAAAATTTCGATCGAATCTAATAAATTGAAAATCAGACTGGCAAAACAAGTTATACTAAGCTTTTCAAATCTTGTTTTTAGTTTAGGCTTTAGAGTTGAATGGTTAAGAATCTCTTTATATACATACTATTCAAATTTTAATACTTTCAAAGTTCAATCATGACTTGATGAGGTTTATACTTTAAAAAGAAGTTTGCTGATACGTCCGTAAATGATGACCTGGTGGTGTGGGGGTTGAAACCCCTGACGCCTCAAGTCACCTGTCACATATGGTTCGCCGAGTGTGACTATTCGGCCGAGAGTTTACCCAGTGCGCGCTCCTCATCATTTTTATATATAGTTTTGTCCCATGTCGCCTCAACCACATTTATGTGCCCTAATTTTGATAACGATAGTCTATTTGGATCTTGATCTCGTTTTTTTGTGTACATCCCACCAAAAATACTTATCTTGCTTCTTGTGCACATATGTAAAGCTCATTTGTTGGTAATTGTATATTTTTTGTTTTGTTCATGTGTTGTCTTTACCATAAAAAATGTGAATATCTTCCATAAATGGGACTCTTGACTATTGATACGGGCAAACTTTGTCTAAATCACCTAATTGTTTAATATAATATAAATAGATATTGACGTGACCAAAACAGATGGCCCATCAAGGATCTCCATTAATGATATATGAAAAATTGGATGTATGGGCTTAAATATATTAATAGTCAAGATGGGCCTGAGCCTAAGCCTAAGCCTCAATCAAAATTTTCATTTATGTAACATATTCCGTTTATGGTGAGTTAGGTGGGACATAAATTCTTCACATTTTCTTTTCTTTCATCCCTTTCATATACCAAACATGTGTTAGTAGTCTATTTGCATTACAAATTCACACCATGAGGCGACGTTGGTTCGTGTAAGAACCGTGTTCTTTTTGTAAAGAAATGGGATCCATAAAAAACATAAATAAATGACAAGAATTTGAGAACTGATTACCACTCCATTTAACCATCATAATAATATTCACAAGTTCTAATAAAAACCAAGCACTAGACCAGAATTGGTGTCAAAATTTACCAGGAAGAAGCATCTGGCCGTAGCCGTTATCAAAACTGTGCTTTGTCAAAATGACGCCCTGTGGGAAGCCAAGACAAATGAAATTTGGCTTAGCTTGTGGGCGTGCACGGCTCCCTGACGAGTGCAATAAAGAGGGATGAAGTTTGGAGTCATATGTCAAGGTCATCATCGGGGTCCTCATCTGAGTCGGGCATTTCATCATCTGAATCACGGAAATAAATGATTTCGCCCTTGCTAGAATCCGAGTTCTCAACAACAGAATGTTGTTGTAGGTTGGTGTCGTTCCCATCCTCGCTGAGAGACTTTCGACCATCATAAATTTGAATGGTTTTACCATTTCCTGGAGATGCAAATTAAAAAAAAAAGAAAAAACACGAGCGATTAACAAGCAGCTAAAAAGGTATAGACAGATGGTTCAAAACACTCCTGTAGTTGTAGTTCGGACTTCATTCGTACCCTGATGCTCAAATGGAAGAACAACTTTTGCTCGGTCATTCCGTTCTTTTTCAGTCAGCTGTAAGTTGAACTGGACCTGGCAATAGATTAACAACATTATCGATTCACAGATAAATCATTTCACATTATTCTCCATTTATATGCTCATCAGTATTCGTACTTTGACATAAAGCATCACACCTACCTTAGGTACGAGGTTTTGAGCAGCTACATCAGCTTCAGAAGAAACTGATGTGAATTTGATGCCGGATTTCTCGACATAAAGCTCTTCAACCTGGTAGAATATGTTTAATTATATAAGATAAGATTAAAAAAACACATATAGGCACAGCAACCATATAAAGGGGGAGCCAAGGATTGCAACAAAAAGGGGAGGTGAATACCATCATTCTAACGCGTCCATTTCTACGCTTGACACGAACACAAAACTTTGCTCTTCTTAGATTTTGCTCCATTGCAGAAAGATTCTCAGAGCTTCCACCCTGTTGATCCACCAGTGGAACTGTAGGGTCAATGGTAGCCTTCATAGAAGATAGATACTCAATGGCGGCAGTAACTGGAGTCTCGTGCAGATCTGAATGGAATAACCAAAACAAACTGGACACCCGATCTGTAGTGAAGAGGAAAAAAAGAACACTTAAGGAGTACTCGTGCTGGAGTTAGAGTAAGAAAGAAAGGTGCTAAAAGCAATCAATTACATACAAAATCACTTTCTTATGAATTATAAGGAATTTATTAGTATTTAGTACCATTACTCCGAAGTTTGCTTAAAAGGGCAGCAACCGATGAGATAGTCATATGCCTTAGCAACTCACTAACCTGGTAACACAAAAGAAAGTATGCAAACAATCAAGAATAGGATTAATTTGGTTTTACTTTATTTATTTTTCTAGTTAAAATAAGGATATGGAAAACTTTTATTTGATCTTTCTTTTTAAGTTTCCCTATCTCATAGCCAGTGCCATCTGCCCTCCTAATTTTAATCTCTCCCACTTCCTTCTGTCTCACACTGTACTGCCGATCTTCTGCCAGGTAAGGCAGCCTGCAGCAGCTATTTCATTTTTCATTTAACTACTTTTATTTTTCTGATATATATTTTTTCTATTAGCATGTTAAAGTTAAGGTATCTATTTTATGTTTTACATATTGTTTTATAAGATGCTTGAATGGTTGTTTGTTGAAGAAAATGTGCAATATTAATTGCATTTAAATGTGTTCATGTACAATAAAGAAACATATGAATAGTTATAGTGAATGCCGTTTACTACTATGTTCATGCATTTAGGTGCATCAATTATGACATGGATCAAGTGACAAATATAATCGAAGATCCACATATTGATTACAATACCATACTTCTAGAGTCACTATAAATCACATTATTACCACATGAATTCTAGGCGCATAGTGATATCAAGAAAATCAGGTTCCATTTCCAGCATACTAAATATAATGCAAAGTAAAGCAAACCAGAAACAAATCCAGATTACCGAATCAAAGGCGACAACAAATCGTCCCTTCCCATCTTCTGATAATTCTGTTGCAACAAAGGGCACCAAATCCTGTTATTAGAACAAGAAAAACACATAATAAAAAGAGGATATCAGAATTATAACCTCTTCCAAGTTCAAGAATTTGTGCCATTAACTTCTCCACATCCCCAACATTTTTACATAGTTTAGCTGTTGTGGACGATCCAGGATGCATATTGCGGATGGCTCCAGTCTCCATAATCTTACCCTTCCAACCCAAAGGATCCGTGTAGCAATCCAATACCTTAAACCTAATTCAATCAAACAACACCGAAATTTCAGAAGCTAAAATTCAGATAAAATACTTCTCATAACCACACCGTCAAAACCCCAGACCAGGTATTTGAAGATACAGCGCCGTATCCTTTCCTCTTCAACAGCTGCGCATAATACAATGGACTTCGAGACAACGCAACCAACAGAAGACCACTACACACGGATTAACATACACACACGGTGAGCAGAAACCATGGAAAACTTCAAAAACAAATTTAGTTTGTAACAAGCTCCAGAGTTTTACGAGACGTACCTCGACTGACATTTTTGGAAGAAAATAAAGGAGGAAAGCTGGGAGAGGACGTGATCGAAAGTCAAGGTGCCAAGGGGACAGTTGATTGTATCACTGATGGCGAGCGCTGGTGCATGCTCTCCTTCCAAACCGCCGTCTCGCAGTGTCCGGCAAATCCATTCCGCCATCGTCCGCCGGAATGCCCTGGTGGTCGCCGGAAACCTTCAATTTTCTCCCCCCTAGGGTTTTAAATCAATCGGAATTTATTATTTCTTAATCCCCTAAAAAAATACTTTTCGCTTACGTATATTTAATTTTTTATTTTTTTTAAATTCTAAAATAAAATTATTTATTGTTCTTTAGTAATGTATTATTTATGTAATATTAATATTGTTACAGTTTACAGTATTATATATTTTTTCTCTTTTTTTTCGTTCGTTCTCATGTATTTTTTTTTAATATAACTATATATTTTAATTTATAACTATATTTGTTATATTATAATTATTTTTATTAATATATTTTTTTATTATTTATTAATTATATAATACTTAAAACAATTTTTGTGTCTAAATTAAACTAAACAATTTATGTTATTGTTTGTTTGAGGATTGGATGTTCATTCCATTTTTTTTCTTATGGAATTAAATATTTATTTTTTATATTATATTAAAAATTAATTTTATATTCAAAACATACATCAACACGTATTTATATCATATTATACAACTACTCAAATTCAAAATTTTTACTATTCAAATCCCAATACAAAATTCAAACTTCCAAAAAAACAAACACATTGATTGAGTCGAAAAAAATATAAATTTGATTATATATATATTAAACAAAATTTTGATAGAGATAATTCTTTATACTATCCATAAATATAATATTAATATTAAATAAAATTAGGAATGCAAATAGATAGTTTATTGGGTCATCGAAATTAAAGAATGGGTCAGCCCATAAAATTCAGGCCCAAATGGATATTGGGCCCAACAAAAACCCAAATTTAATAAATGTCCAAATACAGTCGTCTTCCCTGAAATTCATGTCCAGTTTTGGGGGACTTTCGTCTGCGTTTACTCCATCAGAGGGAGCCAGAGATTCCTTCGCTGCTTCAATCTTCATTACGCCAGCGTGAATCAAATCCTGTATAGTTTCCTGCTGTTCAAGGAATCGAAGGAAGGAAGTTTGAAAGAGGAGCAGAAATGATGTCCCCAAATCAAATGCCCGAAAGTCGGGGCTCCTCGCATCCCTCTAATTTCAGGTAAGCCGTATGAGCACTTCTCTACTGATAACTGGTCGTTCTTTTGGTAATTAATCAATGCCTTTGCTGTCTCGTGCTTTTTGTTTTGTAAGAAGCATTCCCATGGGTGGTTCAATTTCTGCGAGCTTGTTGAAATTTCATTTGTATTCACGATTCACATTGTGTTATATTGCCTAGAGGTGTTTACTGGTTCATAAAATTTTGAATAAATTTTTTTCCGTAGCAATAAGCTAAAACCTTATATTTAGCATGCAATAATTAAGTGGGCGCCACTGTACGTACATGTATGTATGTATTGCCACTCAAATTTTAGTGTAAACACTTTGAAAACTGATCTTAATCTTAATCCGACGATTTTGTAGAACCATTACATATTAGTGTTTTACACCTATTATGTTCACATCAAATGTACAAGTTGTTTTACACCTATTTAGAATTTTTTAATCCTACAAACCACACCCTGCTTCCACAAAAATAATATTGAAAACAAACATAATGAATGGTTTGAGTTGCATTAAAAAATTGTGAGATCATCTGAAATGGTAAATATTGTGCCATTTAAGGCCAGTTCTGACTTGGGATTATGACATAAAGATAAGCTGTTATCAGTTAGAGGAAATATAATGTGTGTGGTACTGAGTTAATTTTTACCTATTCAATTGCATGAATACTGCTGTTTGAATGCAGGCAAACTCCCTTGCAGGTTATCCACATTATTGGTAACCTCATGAGAATTTGGTCAATCTATTCTGTCTACCAATACTTGTCTGAAACGGGGGCATCAGTTATTTTGTTCATCTTCTGCTGTCTTCTTCCTTCATCTGTTGTGTTCTTACTTCTACAGAAGCCTTGGAAGGGGAGGTCTCTTTCTAATACTCAGGTCGTCATAGAGTATAATGCTCTTTTAAGTTTTTACTTTGTCTGAATACAATATTAATTTTACATGATCTCTATTTACAGTTCTTTCCTTACTGCATCGTAGGTTATTCCATCAGTGATAAATGGTAGTGTAACTGCCCTATACTTTATCTTATGGGGAAAGGGGCTTAAATCTGGTGGTCCTCTCAGGTAAGCTTTTAGCCCAAGAATATCTGAATGCTTCATTCCTGCATCTTGAAAGAAGATGCCATTCATGCTGCATGCACCATCCAGAAGGAATTGTTGTTTGCTAAAAATATGTTGAAATGAAACCAATTTCTCCTTTAAATTATGAGGCAATATAAGTGTAGCTCTATTATGGAGCTGGAGTAGGTAGGGTACTGGAGCAGATCAAAATTATGTTACAAGGATACATTTGGCACATGATTAAAACAATTTACCAAATCCCTCTGGTTAAAATGGGAAATTTCAATTGCTGACCACCTTATGGTGCTGAGATAAAGTGGATATTGATTGTTTGTAGTATAATTTGGCTACGTAAATTATGCTAATTACTTAAGAGGAAAATGTTTATCATGTCAGGGCCATATTGGCTGAGTATGCTGGTGCTATTCTTGGAGTGGTATCTGCTATCTTGTATGGTAGAAGTGGCAATATTTGGAAAAAGGTTCTAGCTTCTTTATTATTTTATATTTGCTCCCTCTTATTATTTAAATTATATCACTTGCTTCACTCATTCAGATTTGGTTTCACACTTAACAAGTATATATATTGCATGTTAATCAGGCATGATTACATAGCATTCTGCCATTTGTATAATTTGGATATGGTTTTCCATCAGAAATTAATTGTATCATCTGAATAATCAAATGTTATGTGGTAATAGGCAATGATGAGAGAGCTGATTATTTAAAACAAGATTATTCGACCACATATTGTTTTTCTTTATGAACTTCTAACAACAATGTCAAAGAAGTAAAAATGTTTCACTCTCAAACGCCTAAACCAAAACAAACTAAACCACCTAGAAAACTACCAAATAGAGAATGTATGTTTTTCCTTGGTACAGAACTACGGATGACTTTTTCTTTGATAATGATCTGTACGAAGGTGTGAGGTTCTGATATATTTTGGTGGATGATTTTTTAAGCATCTTTAAGATAACAGACATAGTTTCTGTGATGTGCTTAAAATGTCAAAGGCTCTGCTAATTATATAGGCCAGTGGCAGTTAGAAATTGAGGAAGAAAGTGGGCACCTTATTGTTTTGGAAAAAATGTTGCTTTATTTTTTCTTTCAGTTGATGTTAAACTTATTAAAAGTTTTCTTCTCTACTAGGTAGGTGGGTTCATTGCAATGCTGGCATCATTCTACTTCTTAGCACAAGGATGGGCTATGGCCACACAATTTCCCTTAAATATCCTCTCTATTGAGCTATCTATTACAAACCTTTTAGTGCTGCTGATAGACAGATTGATGATTAATTTCTTACCCTTAGCATGCCTACATAATCATCAAAACTGAATTAATGTGAACTTAACTAAATAATACCTTTTAGTGAAAGATCAGATGAGGAGGTCAAGTCAGAAGAAGTTTTAGGTATTAAGGATATGCTAATTCTCATCTTTGCTGGAATTTTATCAGCATTACGAAGGATAATTGCCAGGCGTGTATCACTTAAGGTATTGATGACATCTTTATCACATACACCTACTTTTGATATTTCTACAAATCTTGACCGCTGCCATCAATACAGATGTAGGAATTGAGTTGTTGATTCACACTTTATTCATTTGATAATGTCAGAATCAACTTAAAAGGCGGCTCAATGCCATTACTATTGCTTCTGCCACCTGTTTTATGTTCCCGGTTGCAATGTGGGATATGATTGTTGTGAGTTCCTGCGTTTCTCATATATCTAATTTCACTAATGGTTTGGATTTGTATATATTGTTATCAGGATTTATTTCCTTATATTTCTTAATTATTCTCGTTGATTTGTATATATTGTTATCAGGATTTATTTCCTTATATTTCTTAATTATTCTCGTTTTCCAGGTGATTTAGCCATGACCTTGTCCATACTGATATTTAGTTTTCTATTTGTTCTATTAAGGGATCAACAAATGTAGAATTGCCGTTCTCAGTATGGGCATTCTCAAGTTTTATCCTTTTTGGAATAATCTTGATATTTTATGTTGACAGCATAGCAGAAGAGAGGTACTTCATTAATGCTTTTTCTAAATTTTAATGAAAATTTGTACACACCATGGATCATGTTTTAATTTATACTAGTATTTATTATTTTTATTATTTTTGTTAGTTATATTGATGCTCTCTCACTTAGCAGTACTTGGAGGATAAGTACAAAATATATGTTGTGCAATCAATCTGTCAATTACCTTGTACATAGATAATAACTTTCCCAATTTAATCTGATTTTGATTCTTGGTGATCCAATTTATGAGTTGGAAAAGGGATCGAAAATCTGAGCTGAACACTACCGGGCAGAAACAATGCACAAAAAGTATATTTAAAATTAAGAAAAACAAAGTAATAACATACAAAAACTTACCTTCACAATGGAATCACATCTTGAAGCTACTGTACAATTGGTTTATGCTCATGAACTTATGATCAGCATGCGCAGAGTGCTATTGCTGATTTTCTAAAGACTGATATCCTAGCTGAGAATAAAATATACACATCACCAGCTTCAGGGAGAACATAGAAAAGTCCTTAGAAACTGTGTGCCCTACTTTTTTCTAAAGGGTCTCTGAAAAGTGTGTTATAATGTATTGTCTTTAATTTCCAAAACATTTGTTATGTTTGTTCCTATTATGTGATAGGTGGTATGTATGTGACATTACTGTGTTGGGTGCTATTAGTGTCATGATTGTTGTCCAACTCCCATTGCTTTTCGGGGCATGCATTTTTTCAATTCAACAACACACAATACAATCTTTTTCACCAACTTCAGTTATCTCCTGCTACTTCCAATGTATTTTATGTCACGAACTTAGAATTTCCAATTTGTATCTCACGATAAAACCCTTTGTGTAAAAGCTTCGTACTACTATGTTTATCATTCTTTTAAATCCTTATTGAGATTGCAGTCGGTAATACTGTGGTCATTAAGTAGTGGTATGGTATCAACTGAGTTGGCCTTCTCTTTTATAATTAGTCTTCTTTATGGAATCAAATAGCTTTTAGACCTTCTTATTGTTCAATGTGCTGCATATAGTTTATTTTGGGCATGTAGTTTAATTTCCAGTCTATTCCAGTGCCCGACATTTTGGTATTGCTGATGTATTGCAGATTGCATATGGTTTTCTCATCACCAAGGCATTTAATGGTTGCTGGAGGATGCATTATATTAATGGAAATTATGTACAAAAGGGATTTCTCCCTGCCTGGTTTTTTGGTTTGTGCTACCATTTTGGGCATCGGTATGAATGGAAGCTTTTCTTTTACTTGTTTTTGAAAAAAAATAATATAAAAATAAATTAATATATCATACATGTTTAAGTTATATCTTAGTAGAATGTATATTTTCATAGTGCTCTTAATTTTTCAGGGATACATGAAGCAACTTCATTGGATCATAGGAGGAAAGATGCCTTTCAAAGTTCTGACCTGTCGAATGGAGCTTACGACGATCGAATTCCAATGACAGTGCTTCCAAGTTAATGTAAGCAAACCTCTGTAAACCTTACAACTTCTACTAATTTATCAGATGGACTTTTATATTACCCATAACCTGCAGCAAATTTGAGCTGCTCGACTTCTTCTGAAATGTCCAATGTGGTCGGGCGTGGCTGAAAGATAATCTCAACGGACTGCAATAACCCATAATCTCAGGTCCTTGTGCAGAGCTGCGAATATCTTTAGCCAAGCAACGAAGATGGAACCATATATGTATCACACACACAAATTCAGGTTAGATATCTACATTATTTTGCCGTTGCCATTGTCGTGCCCAAAATCAAATTGTGTCTGTATGCTGTTCAGTGCCGTATAGTCTTTTAGGAAAAGAAACTGTAAAGATGCGCCGCTTGCTGATTGCAATTGAACAATCCTTCCCGCCCGGTTCATGTAACAATGCTACACCTCTTCTTGCGGTATTTGTCTAAATTGGCTTTGATGTTCTAGTAAATAGTTGATATTCATTTGTAGCACATTAGGCCTGTGTAAACTCCAAAGGTTCTTTCATTCGGCTGGCAGAATTGCGCGGCATTTGAGCATAGGTTACATATATTTCCGCTAATGTATTAAGTTTTCACGGAGCTAATTAGCACATGAACATAGTATTATTATTGCATTGAACTTATGACTTTAAAATTCTGAGTTATCTTCACATCACTAGACCATTTTTTGTGGAACCGAATTGAAGTTTTTTTGTGCGCCCAATATGAGGATTTCTCATAAAGTCTAGTATTATTTTCATCAAGTACATTAAATTTCCGCACATAGCTTTAGGCTAATATTATACTCTCTCCATTCTAATTCAAAGTATATTTTTTACTATTTTTGTCTGTTCTTGTATGACATATACATTGACAAATAATAAATAATACTTAATAACGAAATATCTTTAGTTTTTTTGCTTAAATTACAAACATATTATATATACAATTAGTTTATCAAAATCTCTTAAACTGAATTTGTATTATCTTGTGTTCTATCTTGTGTTATCTGTTAGCAGCGCATCGTAGTGCTGTCAGCACTGTGCTAAACCACCGTAAATTAAAAAATGGTTGCAAAATTGTGCAAAAAGAAGGCAATCACAAAAACATACATTTTTATGTATTTATAGTATACATAAACTTTTATTATATGTAAATAACATCAAGCTCTTTTGGAACACGCAAAGATGCACATTACACAAAATTTGAAATACATATAACAGGTACACTACAGTACAGCACTTGTCTAACGTCGTATAACTACATTTTATGTATAAACTTTCAATTAACTTGTCCAAGTGCAGTTCCTCACATGGCTGCGTTTACTATCACTCTATGCTATAGTAAAAACAAACTTCACTATTATACAACACCAACTACCTTCACCCTGTAAGATCCACCGGAGGTTCAACGACGAGAAGTAACGACGACAAAAGCAAGAGGAAGACGGAGAAGAAAGCGAGGGATTTGCAAGGATCCGTGTACTGTTTTACCAGCATGACTCTTTTTTGCCCCGAAGATACATCCTTCACTTGTATAGTCGGACAAGTGAAAAATCCGTATGCTACGCCAGTTAAAGCCGCAGCCAAATGAGCCCTGCATGCGAGTACAAAATTTTTTCATTTCATACTAACCAACAAACGAAGTTAGATAATAAAGGGTCGCAGCTCTGACTATTGTTAAATGACCCTTTCATTTAAAAACTTAAGATATAAAGAAATGCATAGTTAACTATATAAACCCTCCATCTACTAATTATATACATTTTTTTTTTTTTTTTGTTTATACAAAAAAATTAAAAATGTCATTTTTTATTTATAGCAAAGAAATATCATACACTTCATAATTTATTGCTTTTAAATATTATATTTATTTACAAAAATGTCATAAATATCTACACACTAGATTTTTCAAAAATTTTCTATCACCTCGTTTAACTGATTCATATACTCTCCACAATATTCCTAATGTATGTAATAATCTACTAATATAATAATATATTTATTAAAATCTGTGTTAAGCTCAAACAAGCATAGAATTCGTGGATGGAGAGAGTATTATGTAGTCTTCCAATATTACCAGTCGTCGATCAGACCAAAATTGCTCAGAGCACATGTCAGAGCTGTCATGATGATCGCGTTCCGGAACATTTTGTCAGAAGCCGACCTTGGAATGAAGTCTTTGTTTTGAATTTGGTAAATAAGCCATGCGCCGATTATGGCGAAAACTGGCCCCTGAACAACGACAGTTGAAAACATGTATCTTAAGTTGAAACAGAAATATCGATTAAACTACCATTACGGCTGTAATATAAAAGAGGGTTCGTCAAGAGCATTGTACCGTCCCCCCAACAGTTGGCTCCGGCGTATGCAGATAGCTAATCAGATTGCCGGAAATTCCTCCAAGAAGGTATATCAGTAGAAAAGTGAAGGAACCATATTCTTGGGATACTTGAAGCCCGAGAGTTAGGAGAATCCAGCTGCCAAGGGACATATGAAAGAAACCCGAATGCTGCAGCAAATAACACGAGTTTTTGTGAAGTAGAATTCTGATTCAACAAAATGATCTTTTCGATCAGCTCAACCAATGGAAAGCAAATTAAATAACATCATGTTTTTACCAGATTCATATGATTCAATCTGCTGTATTTGCAAGCACCGTAAAGTAAAGTGTCGAAAGCATATAGAATAGAATGAAAACAACCTAACGGAGACGTATGAGATTTCATGCTTGTATTCACTCTATGCAACATTATATAGAATCAAATGTCAAAGAAATAAGTAGAAATGGCTTTGCACCTATATAAATAAAGAAAACAAACGAGGTTCATAATTTCATTATCTGTATTCGGTAACATCATCTAAATAATAATGAAATACAAACTAAAACCTGGTTTTGGTTCTACACTATTCATAAATAATTTTCTCCTTAAAACCATCGAAATCAAACATCTTATTTTCCTTTAATAAATTACACAGAAATAAATTTTCATTCAAAAAACTAAATTAAACTCCTATTTATATTGCATAATCAGATACTATTTCAATTTACTGTTCCTAAAACCCATACACAAATCCAAAGCTTAAAAAAACAGATGCTTTTTCAGAGGATATTGAATGCCTGTACTTTCATTTGACTATGAATTAACCCACCCATGGAAGTTCATATCGGTCACACTGAGCATTTTCCATCAATCGAACACTAACCAAAAAACAGTAATGAAGCACGGACCAAGTCATCAGTCTTGTACCAGAAACATTGGTGTCATTAGCCTCCACCACTCTCCCATGAGAATCGAGGTATTTAACTTCGCTCCATAAACCATTGGGAGTGACATGAGCTCAAAATTCGAGTTCTTTACCGGCGTCGCCAACTCAAACAAGAAAACTGCAATATTTATAGAAGCTAATATACCTCTGCAGAAAACAAGCGTCACATAAATCAAACCAGCAAAAATTAACTGTCATATTACCAAGTACGACAGTATAGTAAATTAACATTGATAGCATTACACTATGTAGAAATCAGAGACATCTTCTTCAGATTTCTGCCTGTCCTCCAAATCCTCGAGCTTTAACTTCATATTATTTTTCAACATTCCATCCACTGCTTGTTCTTGGTCTTTATTGACCTTGATGTTCATTGATGCCTGCAAATCTTTGTCGACAAAAAGACAGGAAGTGCCGTCAATCAATAAGTTCTACATTCTACAAGCAGGAAAAACTTCGATGATACTATCATTACCACTTCTAATTTTTCTGAAATAATTCTCTAGTGATCTAAGGCTGTTGTCTGCTTTCTGTTGGTCATTTTTACCAATTGATTCCATTTTACGGCGAAAGAATTCCACAGAAGCCGGCTTGGCATCGCCATTATCATCACCATCACCATGAACCTTTTCAAGATAAGAATCTAAAAACTTCAGATGCTTTTCAGTAGAACTTTGTGCATTTTGAACAGGGTAGAATCTCCTCTTTCGAAGATTCCTGCAAACAGAGAAACTGTTGGAGCCTAAATTCTTTCCGAGAAGTATAGATGACACCATCATGATCCTCTCCAATCGAGATCCAGCATTGCCTTTCTTCATATTGATTTCGATCTGCGGCAAGGAGGCACCATCATAGGAAGCATATTCACGTTTACCTGAATCAATCGAATTGGCAAAAATAGTAACTACACAAACTACAATCTAATGCCAACAATGCTAAAATCGATTTCTAGGTTTTCCGTCTGATACCTTTTGCAATGGCGAAACTATATTCTCCATAGAACAATTTATGGCCGCTTGTTATCGTAGCCATATGTGTATGTATATCTGAACTTGCACCAATTTATCAAAAGCAAATCAATTATCCAAATTGCATCAATAAATCATCAAACCACAAAGTAAACAATATCAAATTCGAACTAACTGTTCAACATAGAAAGAACTGAAGCAATTCGAGTTTCATTGAGGCATTTCGTCGAACAATTGGTCGGCTGCCATGAGAATCGCCGTTCTATGTTAATAATGATAATGATAGTGATTTGAGTTGGTATACGGTACCTTTTTCACATAAGAAGACAGAGGGAAGGGGAAGAGAATAGCAAGTCCAGAGGTGTAAGCTGCATTTCCATAAATGCAGAAGCTCCGAAGCAGGCGGAAGTGCGGGGAATGATGTTGGGTGGGTCTGGTAGGCGCAGGTGTGGCCATTGGGGCAGAGGGGAAGAATCCAAGGAAGAATCCGCACCTTATCCTGGGTATGGCCGCCATTGAGAGCCACGTGTGCGCAGAGGAAGAACCACCGCAGCTTTGGGTACTTGGGGATTTCCACAGACCCCACACAATCTCAACCTTCCGTCCCACATTGTACTTCTATTATTTCACTTCAGAAAATTAATGTTTATTCTTTTTAATGGACTATTTGGTTTTTATAAATATCTTAGCATGAAATATAACACTTAGTCTGTCCGTAAATTTTTTAATATTAATATTATATTGATTTATAATAAAAATAATAAAAATATTTTTATTAAATTATGTGATATTAAAATAATGATTGTATAATATATTAAAAGTTGCAAAAATATTAATTAAAAAATAATAATAATTTATTTGTTAATAAATATATATAATAATTTTGACAATTTTACAAGTTCATTCCAAGATACCAAATCATTTCTATCTATTTTTTTATTATTTTTTATAATTCGCTTTCGCTATTATTATTCGATGAGTAGACTTTAAATAAACCTTGTCATACCTAATAGTTTACCGAGGCTATTCCTTATTCTTATTATTATTATTATTATTTATAATATGAAATCCGCATAGGCTATACAGATATACGTTTTGGTAAACTTTAACTGCAAATTAGGTTTTATAAAACAAGTCACGAACCATATGTGGCATATCGACCTAGAGGCGCTGGGACTTCCTTTAATATGTATTGTGACATTAGATATGTTATTTCTTCAAATGTTAAGAGTGCTAGAGAATATAAAATTAAGTTTCAACCTATAGGTTTAAGGACTTCACCACTCTATTATACTCTCATTTCAAAATAATAGTTGAATAGAATGTTTTACAAAATAGATATATCGTAAATAAAACGAAAAAAAAAAAAAAAAAAAAAAAAAAAAAAAAACTTATGAAATCCATGGATGGATACAAATTTTTGAGACAATAGATCTGAAAAAGTAACGGAAAATATCAAATTTTGATATTATATGAAATCCATGGTAACATTTTGATGAATCAATAGTTCCTCTAAATCATCGGCCATTGCCACTACATCCACTCACATATATACATATGTATATATATTCAGTCGTCGGCAAGCATGTCGTAGAAAACCTCGGGCTTCTTCTGTTCCGACAAGCACAATGTCTGAACACACAAACCATATATATATGCACATCAATATTCATTAATCCTCATTCAATATTTTTTACTTAGAAATATGAAGGTCGATGTCTGAATTACCTGCATAGCCGATGCAATGTACATCAACAGCGATTCCGACCACGGCTTCCCGATGAACTGCACCCCGATCGGCAGCCCCGACGAGTCGTATCCCACCTTTAAATATTGAATGCCATACCAAAAATTAAACATACTAAAAACAACAACAAATATATATATATATATATATATATGGTCGATGTAAGGCATACCGGAACCGTTATTGCAGGCAATCCTAGAAAGTTTCCGGCTATCATATACCGTACTAACCCCGCTGAAAAAAAATAAAAGAAAAAAAAATCGAACCATCAGTTCTATCCTCAAGAAACTCTTAAGGCGTTTCGCGTTAAGATATTCTTTCTTTAAAGTTTGAATTTAAATTTCAAATATGAAAATAATAATAATAATAATAATAATTTAAAATTTTATTTAATACTCTCTTCGTCTCAAAACTATAGTTTGAATTATATTTGATACAATATTTAAGTAATATTGAAATTATATCGGCAGTGAATAAAAAGTACAAATAAAATATTTTTTTTGCCGCTGTGAGTGTATTAGTGTAAAAAGTAGTGGCAATTGCGTAATAATAATAAAAAAGTAAGAATAATTTAGAGATTATTATTTTGGAATCGACAAAAATGATAAACAAGAGAGACAGAGAGAATGATATAAATAGATGTTATAAATATTAAAAAAAAAATACAAATTTGATTTATAATTTTTTTTTTATGACGTGGGAACCAGCAGCTGCTATCCGAAAGTGCACGTAAACCCCCGGTCGAACCTAATACCTTAAAAATCAGACCCGACCGAAAAGTTACACTAGGCAAACCATGTGTGGCAGGTGACCTGAATCATCTGGGATTTGAACCCCTACACCACCGTGTTATCCTTACGGAACAATTTGATTCATAATCTTTGGGGAGGGGGGAGTGATGAACAATATCGTACCAAAATCAGACCTAAATAAACAGAGCCTCAATGTACTCATAGATAAGCTTTACGAGCTTTTTTTTCTTTTTTTTCTTTTTTTTTCTTTTACCTCCGTTTATGTAGTCGAGTTCTCCGGTGGCTACTGCATCGTCCTCGATTGTGTATGCTGTCACTCTGTCGAAACAGAGCAATCGAAAGTTCTAAATCAAAATGATCGAAAAACATTTTCACGAGATATTTTAATGAAGAAGGAATCGGAGATTTACCCGGTGGATGGAGTAACAATGACGTCTGCCATGGAAAATATCTTCCGATGGATTTCAAGTTGCCGATTCCTGCAATTAAAGGCAAGCAAAATTATCGCCAGCCATAGAGGAAGAGCTTGGAGCTACATAAGATCGCCTACCGGATTTTTTGAGCGTTTAGGTACTCATTGGTGTCGAAAGTAGCATACATCGCAAGGCCTACTCGGATATCCCATCCCATCTCCGATTTATCACTGTCTTGTTTCGATCCTCCCGATAAATTATTCACTCGTCGATCACAAGAAATCGAAAGAAAGCTTAAGAATATGAAAGTACAGAACTCACAACTTATCGAGGTAGCCGGAAATCGCGTTGCTGCATTCGGTCGCAAGTGTTACGTAGTGAGCTAGCCGCATCGATTCTATGTCCAGTATCGTCACATCTACCGTCTAGAAAAACAGAGCAAGAATGATCGATTATTCACTCTCAGATCGATGATATATAGTGAAATAATTATGTATTTTTATCGCATTCCAGTACCTTCCAGCCGTATGTCTCGCATAAATTCGCGACAGCATCCGAGCAGCATGTCCTAATGTTGTCGCTGCAGTCGTCGAACCACTGGTCGAGGAGGAAAGATCGATGCGATGAGCGAACCATTCGAAGGTTTTTGTTTAAAGCTTTGATCTTGAGAACAAACCTTTTCGTATCGCGCCATTTTGATGTTCAACGATGAGTAGTTTGCGGATTTGAGCTCGGGGAGACCTATTTTCGGCTGGTTTTGCGTCGAACAAGCGATGAAAGTGTTACGATTCGTTATGTTTTTGAAAAAGAGGTTAAGACATGTAAGATCAATCTTACGACTGGATTGTCGAAGGGGCGAGACGAAGCATCGCCGCCAATGGCAGCGTAGCTGAAAAAGGTCGAAAGTATTGATCGTTAGAACTTCGAAAGAATTATGTAAGAATGCTAACGAACGGGTCGAGGAAACTAACGCGATGAGCGCATCCTCGACTGTGGCTGCGAGAATCCCGACCATCCCGATCGTATAGTTTAAGGGAAGAACTCTACAACCATCGAAATCGACACATGATAAATTGATTTCGAACGCAAGGAGAAAAGGAAAGGAAAGAAAAAGCTCAATAGTCACCCGTCGTGTGGCACGCATGCGAAAGTTGGCTTCATACCGACAACGCCACAAAGTGCTGCGGGGAGTCTAACCGATCCTATCGAAAGTCCATGAACGGAAAAAAATTTCAATGATCAGTTTGATCTCTTCGAATCTTATATTAAAACTATCGCAAATTCTTACCTCCTCCATCGACACCAAGCGCGACGGGACACAATCCCGCGGCGACCACAGCAGCGGAGCCACTCGAAGAACCTCCGGTGATCTTGCGCCGGTTGTACGGATTTCTAGCAGCCCTTTTAACAAACAATTCGAGAAATCGTTACTGTTAAAATACTATATAATACGTAATTAATTATGTATTTTTCTTACAAAGATTAGACTTTTATAGGATGGAAACGGTTTGGGTATGGGTCCGGTCCAGCCGAGACCACCCAAACACACATGGCTGGACCAGAAATCCGAATTGGATCCGATTATATCCAGACCCAATTTGAACAATATCCAACAAGATTTTATGGACTCAACAGATTCGAAAAATCTTTTACAACTTTTAAAATTTAACTTATCATTGGATCCGAATCCACCCGACATATATTAAAATTTATATATTTTATTTAAAAATATTATAATAAAATAATAAATATATTAAATTAAAATAATATTTTTAATATAATTTATGTTATTAATTTTTTTTTCATATATAATTAATATATTAGTATATTAATCGAGTCCAGGTCGGATTCAGGCCTAGGTAGAGTCCACCATTGGACTTGAGACCCGACTCGATAATCATATACAATACCGACCTTGACTTAGACCTAATATCCGAATAATTGGACCCAATTCTAAATAATCTGGTTAGATTTGGATTGGGACTACTTAAACCCATTGTCATCCCTAAATTTTTAGGTGAGATGATTATTTAACAGTTACGATCAAAACGCGTACCCGTAATGAGGATTGATGCCGCTAATCCCTCCTCCGAGCTCATGCATATTCGTCTTGCCTACGATCATTGCGCCGCACGACCGGAGGCGACTAACGCAGGACGCGTCGTTCGTGCATTTTCGTACTCGATGCATCCATTTCGTGCCTCCTGTATATGGTTTTCGTCGAACGATGGTTAAGCGACCAGAAATTCATCGAGGGATCGATCAAAGATGAACTAGAATGGCCTTATTACCGGTAGTCGGATATGGCAAGCAGTCTATTTCATCTTTAACAGCTACCGGGACACCATCGAGGACCGAGATAGGTTCGCCTGGAAGAACATTAGCTTTGAGTCGAGAGACGAAATTTGAAAACGAATGAAAAGGTCGCGACACGAACCTCGCTTGTAGCGCGCAGTTGATTCGGCAGCTTGTTTCAAAATATCCTCGGCGTCGGAGTTAATGAAGAAGGACATCTGCAGATCCTTACTCGACGATTCTTGTAAGAAGGCGATGAATCGACGAGCTACCTGTCGCAGAGACAGGGAGTTTCCATTACAAGTTTTTTGTCGATGTAATGTTTCGTTGTGAAATCTTAATCGATCATTACCATCGTCGGAGTTGTTTCCCCTGAGGTATACGCCCTGGCGTAGTCCATTATCGTCCAGCGCCGGAAATTAGGATTTCGAGGAATCGGGGGGCTTAAACAATCCACTGCCTGTTGGACCTTCTCCGGGGGCGACATATCGGCGTCGAGATATTTTGTATCTTCGCTGCGACTTTCTGTCATACAAAATATGATCCATAAGCTTGAAATACGTCGAGATTTGTAGTAGAGGAAGATAAACGATTCGATACCTAACCTTGATATGGATGCGATGGGGTAAAGTGTGGCGATTCTTGCAATGATGCGAACGAGACAAGCTACAAAATCGACATGCTAACACAAAGTGAGTCGACTTATAGATCGGTTTTGTACACACACTTGCATATATTCTAAGATCACAAAAGAAAAAAGTTGTCCTATTCGATCTTGACGAGGAACTAAAGATCGACGAATTTCATTACATTCTATCGTTAGGTGTGAGTTGTTGAAAAACTATATCATGTCTCATTAATTGTACATATTCCTATTGGTTTAAACTTTTAGGTGAGATGATAATTTAATATTATATCAAAATATTTTAAGTCCCATCGGTCTCTTTAAAAAAATATATTTTCACCGTCCATTTAAATTAACTCATTTGGGCATATTGATTACAAAAAATAAAAATTATTAAAAAAGTGATAAAAAAAAAAAATGTGATTAAAGTAAATTGTTGAATAGGTCAAGCAGAACTCCTTGGCTTACAAGGTGAAAGACCATTCTACTTAATATCAATTGATTTTAGATTGTAAGTCTGGATCACTCGTTAACATAGTTTAAGAGCCATAAGTCTCGAATTCGAAAGATGAAACTCAAATTTATCGAAAAAAGAAAAGGATTATCGACGAAAAATGTTACTTTTTTGGGGAAAATGGTATCGAGCAAATTCAACGACAAGAAGCTGTTATTCTTTATTTGTTTCGATCGGGTAGTTAGCATTGAGCGATGTTCTTGCGTAGAACTTCGTATGCGTTACGAGGACCACATCGATCACATCGACCGGTTGCATCTCATCTCATATCATTACATTCTTTGAAGGCAAACATTAAATTCATCGATTTTACGTAGTTCAGATGTCACTTTGAGCTAATTATTGTCACGTTCAATAATTCCCAATTTGTTGGAATCTCATGGCATTGTCCAGACCATTAATTGAATAGGAAGTTAACCACTTCGATGGCTAACAATTTCAGCTAATTAACCTCACACGCAATGATAACCTCCAAAATAAAAAATAAAAAAAAAAAAAAAAATAAAAAAAATTGACATATATGAAATATTGCATTCAATAATTATTTTATTTATAAAGAAAAATCAAAACCTAAAGAACACATAATATTATCTAATTAAGGTGTCGATCGGATCAATACCTATTAGATCATGGGTGTGCTAGCTTGTGTTTTAATTTTAAATATATTTTATATTTAATATTTAAACAAATAAAAACATCATATACGACAACAATATCTTCATATTATAATAAATTAAAAAAAAAAAAGTCACAAAGGGACACATCCTATATCCTATATTTTAATATATGCATCATGCACTTGCCTAAATATTTATTAAAATTTATTGAGATAATAGAGAGGGTAATTGACCATTGGCTTTAAATTTTGTGGTCCATTTAAACTAAAAATATTTTTATTATTTTTTATATAACGTAAAATATATAAAAAATAAAATTAAAAAAAAAAAAAAGAATAATTACATACATACCTTGTGAACTAGATTGTTCTTCTTCAAAAAGAATGATAGGATGCCTCCAAAAATGGGGGCCTCCAGACCCCAAGCAAATACTTTCACCAGAAGACCAGTCATTCGAGGAGCTTTCAATTTCATTGTACATAAAAATTAATTAATTAACTCTCATTTAATTTAATTTAATTTAATATTTAAAAAAAAAAAAAAACTGAAAATTCTACTATGTTCTTTTAACAAAAATATATTTCTATACAATTTTTTTTAAAAATTATTAATATATCACACATATTCGGTATTATTATTATTATTATAATCCCTCCGTCCAGTTAATAAGTATATATATTTCTATTATTTTGAAACGTCTAATTACAAAGTAATTATTTCATTAAATATTCTATTTTTTTTTTACAAATATTACATTAATACTTTTGTACCAAAAAATAAAGACAAAAATGTTATTATACTACCTGATGGAGTATTTTTTTAGTCTCACATAAAAAATAAATAAATAAATAAAAAACTTTCCTTCAAATTATCTCACAAAAACAAATACACAACAAATGAAACGGATGTTGTGTTAATTAATATATATATATATATATATGTATATATAAAACACAGAAACACCAACGGGTGTGTGTGTGAAGCACTAGTGCATGTCACAACAGATCAAATGGATCTTCCAAACAGACATTGAGCATAAAGAGATGAATCAATTAATTCAACGGAGAAATTAATAAGAAAAAATAATAATAAATTAATTAATTAATTATTATACCTTTAACATCAGAATGGACATAAAGGTATTGACTGTGAGGGCCAAAATCGATTTCCTGGAGGGACTTGTACACCATTCCTCCTCCTTTCTCTCTCATAAAATTACCCATCTAATAATGTTTCTCACTCTAAAACTAATCTTCTTCACAACTCTGCACAGATTATGATCTATATGACACTATATATGTATATATGTGTCTCTGTCTATATATAAACATATACATACATACATATATATATATATATAGAGAGAGAGAGAGGAGAGAGAATATGGTGGAGGGAGGCTGTGAGAGCGTAGGGTGGGGTTGGGGGGCGGAGATGGCAAGAAGTATTTTGAGTAAATATAGGTGCTGAGAAAACGATGAGAGAGAAAACGAAGAGAGAGAAAACGAAGAGAGAGAGAGAGAGAAGCATTGGCAATGTCGTGGTGGTGATCGAGATATGAGGAGTAGCAAAAGAGTGTGTGAAACTAAAAGGATGTGTTTGTTTGAGGATCCGATTTTAAATTCACTATTCATCTAATTTTTTTTTTTTTTTAAAATATCAAATCAAATATTTATTTTTTATTTTTTATATTATATTAAAAATAAATTTTACATTAAAACATCACATCAACACCTATTTATATAAATCGTACAACTATTCAAATTCAAAATTTTTACTATTCAAATTCTAACTCAAAATCCAAATCCCCAAACAAACACACTACAGTATGGAAGAAACAATAAGGAAATCTACAAAATACTTTCATTGCCATTTATTTATTTATTCATTTATTTATGTTACCAAGGTTATCTTTTTGTTTGTTATAAAAATTATTTTAGTGAAATTGTTTCAATAAATATACTATTATTTTTTTAATTTTCTTTTAATGTAAGACATAAAGAATTGTGTAAATAATATAAAGATAATAAGCATGTGTAATATATTAATTTTTTTAAAAAAATGTATTTTTTAAAATTGATGAAAAACCACATTTATTGACATTATTGTAGACACAGAATGTAAGAGTATAATTTTTAAATAATTAAAAATATATTACTTAAAATAATTATAAATTAAAATTAAAATAATTAATTAGTCTAATTGAAATTTAAAAAATTTTAAAATAAAATTAAAGTGTATATTTTTTTAAAAGAAAATGACAAAATAAGTGAGATGTATAAAAATTAAAAAAAAAAAAATAAACATGATAAATAGGGACGGATGGAATATAAAATACAAAAGTAAAAAATACAAATACACTGTAAATAATAGATATACTATTAATCGAGCTTTATAAGCAATTCAACAAACTTCCGTTAAAATCAATATATGTAAGTAAATGTTCAATAAATGCATCGTACTATATTTTAATTGATATACTATGGGTGTGTTCGTTTGTAGAATTTTAACAAAATTCTACTGTTCATCTAATTTTTTCCCCCCAAAAATATCAAATCAAACACCTATTTTTTATTTTTTATATTATACTAAAAATTAATTTTACATTCAAAACATCACATCAATACCTATTTATAGCACATCATACAACTATTCAAATTCAAAATTTTTATTATTCAAATTCCAACTCAAAATCCAAACCCCCAAACAAACACACCTTATATGTCTATCTTTTGTATTTTATTGTTCTGCGTCTGGTTATAATTGTAAAATAATAATATTCCTTCCCTCCCAATAAAAAAATATTTATTAGCTTTTTGCACGTAATTTTAAAAATATTGATATTATATTGGGATATAGTAGAAATAAAATAGAAATAACTAAAATAACTTTGTTAGTATGTGTGACGTAAAGGTAATGGCATTTGTGTAATATATTGTAAGTTGTAAGGGTATTTGTAATGTTAGATAGATAGTACACTTACTAAAAAGAGAAATGAATACTTTGTTATGGACAGACTAAAATGAAAAAATGGATACTTTGTTATGGGACGGAGGGAGGGAGTATATTAATGTTAAAATAAGATAGATAAAAATAAAATTAGAGTTTTTAAAAGAAATTATAAATAAATATTTAAAAATTAATTGTTATTTATTAAAATAAAAATAATAAAATTGTAGTGATGCCGCAAAAAAAAAAAGTTACATTAGGATTTGTTTGTTTAGTATTTTAATTTGAGGTGTATTTTTGTATGTGAAATATAAAAAATTATGTACGTAATATAGAAATAATAATTTTTATTGAATATTAAATTTTTTATGTGACGATAGAATATATATTATGTGTATTAAGAATCGTGTAAAAAAATATATTATATAAATTTATTAAAAATATTGGATTGGTTACAATCTAGAATGTTGTATTGCCGTACCAAAGTCTTAGTTTCCTTTTTTGCTCAGTCCGATTTTCATAAAATTTCTATATTTCACTTTTCAACCGCTTTCAAATAGATTTGGTTCTAAATTTTGTATTTTTAATTAATATATTTTTTATATTATATATATAAATAATTGCGTCGGTAATATAAAATTGATATTTTATATGAAATTGTTATTTTTTATAAATAAAAATATACATTATATTTATAAGAAATTACGACAATAAATATATATATATATATATATAAAGTGAACACAACATTGATGTTTCTATGTTGTGGAATTAAATTGAATTAATCTTCAATTTCAAAACTGAATATTCTACACACATATAATGTTATTTTAATTTTGGATGTCTATGGTATTAATTAAATTAAATATCAAAATGAAATTATCTGTTTCATCTTTCAAGTCATTTGAATAATTAAAATTAATAGTATTAATTGAAGTAATAGCACAGATTCCTCAAGTCAATACAGTATGGTACCCTTGACTATTACATAGATGGGTGAGAGATGATAAAAAATAAATAAATAAATAATAAAACATAAAAATAAATGGTTCATTGTTGTAAATAATTATAGATTGGAAAAAGGAATTATTATTTACAATATTTTACTATCACAAGGGATTTGTTATTGTTAAACTTGTCAACTTAATTTTATTTTATTTTTCTATTTCACTATTTTGTGTTTGTATTTGAATTTAGACGTAACTCGCGTGATTAATCAATAACAATCCAACGATTCAAACTTATCGATTATTTTATCACAGTATGTTGATTAAGCACTGCGCTGAATAGTACACCGTGTGCTACCGGGCAACACACAATATACGTTAATATAATACAAATACAGCGCATGATTTAATAACACATGATATAATCTCATACAGCACAGACAATATTTGATTTTAACATATGACATATTCTCATACATCACACGTTGTAATTATGAACAAACAACATATGTCTTTATTACATATATCATATAATGTTTGTAATAAAAGCATGTGTTATTTCTGTATTTCACCGGTGCTGATTTTTAAAATTCAGCACCGTAATCTTTCCCGTTGATTAATCAATAAAATATTGATTCTAACAACTGTAAAACCGTAGAACTAAACTCTAAAGTTACTAATATATACAAAAATCTAAATGACAATCTTTTTAAGTTTGTCTTGAATATGAACCACCTTTGATCGAAATTAAATATATTTAATCAGACATAACAAAATACATTTGACTTACGAGTTACTGTTATCTAGAATTTGTACGAAAAAATATCATAGATTGCATGAAATGTTGATAGCATTGAGCTTAATTTTCAGAATTCCGGCGCCACAACCAAGACTAACTCGAATGGGTTGTTAATATTATAATAACCAATTTTATTTATTTATTTATTTATTTTGTAATAATAGTTATTATTATTATTATTATCATCGACTCTAGCATGCCTAATGAGAATTGAACTTGAACTCCAACCAGAGCTGTAAACACTCGAACTGAGCTGAGCTTATCATGTTTGGATTCGACTACTCAAACTTGACAAGACAAGAATTAGATAACGGAGATAGTAACATTTAATGATAACTTCGTCCTATTCACACTGGTAATAGACATTTTCGGCAAGAATTGATATTCTAGTGGGATCAGATCATCTAGCATATATACTAAAGAAGGGTTCATGAGCTAAGCTAGTCTACAGCAACCTAACAGCTGATACGAAACACAGAAGGACACGACGTAGCCATTCAATGATCAGTAGCAACTTGTGTTCATGGTAAATAAAACTGACGGCTGTAGCAGCGGGGAAGAAAGAATTAGGGATCATCAACAGCAATGAAAATAAGACTTATCAATGATCAAAAAATTGCTGTACAGGATTCTCAGAGGCAAACTAGAAATTCAGCCTCAACTCCCGATCGAACTCTAGTGTGACATCAGCTGGTTCACACAGAAAATTCTGCTCAAATCCAACATTATATACAAATAAACACAAGTTCGAAAGACTAACTTGCATATATATACCTGCAGCCAAATCTGAAAGAATCCACCACATTTGTTGCAAAGCCCTGATATATCCATCCGTAGCCTCCACCCTCAAACTTGTGCAAGCCGAGTGCATTCAAAGTGGGGTAAAGTTCAAATTAATGTTGATTGTTCAAGAAAACCAGTTTCCAGTAGCCAAGACTGGCAAAGGGATGCTTGTCAGTTGAGATTACTGACTTGCTCCACGGCATTGCACATCTCCAAGCTATACGCTTCGAGGGCCTGAAGTACTGGAACAAATCCCTGTTGGATCAAGTTTGGCACAGCATCTTTCAGTTGTTCCATCACCGTGCTGTGCTTGGAATATGCTTCTCTAAGCTTCATCCTGATCGGCATCAATGCCGTATACTGTGTGTGCACAGTGTAAAATCTAGATCCCATAATGCAGGCATTGGCCGAAGCATTGTCGGCCTGTGTGATGAACAATGCATACTCTTCCCATTCGACACCAGACTTCAAGCATGCGTTCTTCAGCTGTTTCTCGTGGTAATCGGAGAAGTACTCCATGTTGAACCTCTGGTGCTGCTCCTCTCGCAGCTTTAGGTGTAAAAGCCTCAGAATCAGACTCAAGTTATTGACGGTGTGCATAACCTGAACTGCTGAAACTGTCTCAACCACACTGCACCACCTGTAGCAGATGGCTAACACAGCTGGCGCGGAGGGGCTAATGGGTTCTGAAGCATTGTTAGGAAGGAATTTCATGAGCCAGTTTTTCATGAGATCTACCAATGATCTCTGGCTCTTGACCCAATCAAAGAAGGCATTCCCGAGCTTTGTTATATCAGCTTCCAGCAATAGAATAGCCTTCAAGCTTAAATCACTGCTACTGCATGTTACGCCGGTGCTTGCTTGGGCATTGGTGAGAGCATTCGCTTGCTTCTTGTGAGCTTCAAACAGCTTGCTCCACATTTCGTGTAATCTGCAGATTCATCAAGACAGCGGGTTAGTCATTGCCTGTTGAAATGCATTCTAAGTGCATATGTACGATGTCAAACAAGATGTTGATACTCAAATTCAAATTTTATTATAAATAAAAAATGAAAAAATAGAATTGATATATGCAAGGTTGTCACAGCGTCAAAAGGGTGCTGCGCCTGTGGACCGCCATATAGCCATGGTGACATGGCGCCCGCCATGGCAACAATATGGTGATCACGGCGTAAGTATATAAAACTTATATGTACATATTATATCTTATATAAAATTAATGTTTATAATTAATTTTATAGTAACATGTTAAAAAAATACAAAATAATTAATAAATAAAATTAAAAGATGATTTACAAATTAAAAATAGTAACTGTAAAATAAATAATAGATAATAATGTAATGCACTAAATAATAATACTATTAATAGTATTTAAAAAATAAAAATAACCCCTAAGCCCATAACAAGAGAGAGTAAAGGAGACCGGTTGTACGCCATGGAATGAAGCGGTTGTACACAATGGACAACCATGGCTAGAACATGAGAGAGTAGAGCAGAGCGGGGAGATAGAGGGTAACAAGTTAGATTGAATCAGATTCAAGATTTACGGGTTGAGGTCGATGCAATTTGGGGGCTGGGCTGGAGATCTACAAGGCTCTTGGCTAGCCTGCCTAGTGCCATGGCATTGCCATGGTGTTGTTGAGGCATCGCCATTGCCTTGCTAAGGCCGACCCAAGTCACTTTGTTTAATATGGCGAGGCGAGGAGTCCTGGCGCTCCCCAAAAAGCACCAGGATGCCATGGCGTCACCATGGCATGGCAACGCCATGACAACAGTGGATATATGCAAAGCAATTAAACACAAAAATGCACTTGCCAAAAAAAATATTTGAAAAATATGATCCTGTAAGAAACTAACTCATGGTCCATTACTCCATTATATGCTATTTTTATTTTTCATTAGATGCTTTAGCAATAGATTTAGGATTGATTATAAAGAACACAAGACATAAAACCCAAAACAGAAAACTAAAATTAAAAACACTTTAAAGAGCACACCCTGCATTATTCACTTTCATGATATTAGGAGGTCATTATTAACGTGTTAACAAAATCAAAATTCAAAAAAATTATATAAAAATAGAACACGGCATATGACAAAACCAAAGTACACAAGGTTATAGTGTAAAAATAAATACACTCTCTTAATTTATTTAATTAAGCAGTTAATACAGGTAGTTTAAACTTCTAAACATGGAAAAGACCGTAAAAGGGTCACATAGTAATATCCTACAATTTTTATTTTTTTTTCATCCAATATATTTTTTTCTTGACACGATTCTCAATATATATAATATTTATATTCTTTCTCTCACAAAAATCAATAAACAAACAAACCCTTGTTCACATAAGTGAGATTATTTGCCAATATTTTTTCTAATTTCACATTTCAAGTGCAAATTGTGAACCTTCTAACCCTTCTTTTTGTGTGTGTGTGTGTGTGTGTGTGTGGGAGTAGGAGATATTTTTATTAAAAGGGAAGTATACAGTATACAAGATAGCAGAGTTTCATAAACTCATTTTTAGGAGATATTTTATGAGTGTTGGAATAGAATCTTGTTCAACATAACTTCATTTTTCAAAACTCCTAAACATTTTAGCTCGAGATTTGTTCATTAATCGAAATCCAACAACTTTAATATCCTTAATCTACTGTTTTGTTTAATCAGAAGAGCCATATCAATATCATTGCAACTCACAAAAATTGGTGTCAACTACTAATTTGAATATTAAAAAAAATTCAAAATAATTGATTCTTACATACCTTCCAATCATGTCACATAGTTGGGGATGCAATTCTTCATCCCTTATCTTGTGGACCCTAGCGGCTATACCTTCAACCACTGAGATAGCTACCTTCGCTCTTGGAGTCAGCCTTTGTAATGCTACGTGGCTGGCATCCTTCATGCACGAATCCGCACCTCTATCATACAGCTTTTTCAGCTTTTTGTGCTCCTTGTCGAACTCTTGCCCAAGTTTGTCTTCAACCTAAATTTGCAGGAGTAATATTTTATTCAGGTGGCATTCATCATAAAACAACAAAATAACTACATAAACTCTAAGGTCAGTAATACACAAAGAATAAATGTTGCAACATATTTCACAAGTATTATTGTGAAAAACCTGTGCAAACACTGCCGCATAACGCCTGGAATTGCATATACTTAACCAAAATGCTCTGTACAATAATAATAATAATATATTAATCGACAAACCAAAATGCTCTGCACAATAATAACAATAATATATTAATCGACAACTATCATCGAGAACATATAAAGTGGGACAATTACAATATAGGCAACATATTCAGAGAATTATAAAATACCTAAGAGAATCTTCCATTACAAATAAAAATCACAAAGTTCAATTCAAATTATAGGAATCAGCAGGTTATTCTTTCAAAGTACTAGTATATAGAGACCTTCATCCAAGGATGAAAAGCAATGAATATAGAAAGAGGATTAATCAATGTGGAAATCATGGAATGAGTGACCTCTGTCAAAAAGTTTATGTAGCTCCAGATTGTAATCTGTGGTCTCCTTTTTGTACAATTTACATATTCAAAATATTTCTATACCACATTAGCTTGACAAAGTTACTGTTTGCCAAAATGAGGGAGAATATTTCACTCAGTTCACATTTAACCAAAATATATAAAATGTTAGCATGACCTTCAACATGCTTTTATCACTTCGGAAATTCTAGAAGTGCCCTTAGTTCATAGGCAACATCAAGTGTTGTCTATAGTTCTTACCAATCAAACACACTACTCAAATTCATATTAGATACACGCTTCATTAAGAAAATTTGAAACAAAATAGTAAGGCCCCAAATTTAGTTCAGAAGATTTTTATTATTATTTAATCAAAGAGTAAAAGTAGTTTATTATTAGAAGATATGCATCTCAAGTCATAGCATTTGAAGATCAATCTCATAAAAGGAGATCAAAATAATCAATGGGTTAGTTCTTAATGATCCATAGCCTAAAAGTCGGAAAAGCAATTAATCTAAGATAAATCATTGAAATACAATCACGTATGAAGATTTCAAGGATAAATGACTTTTCTCTGTATTAACTGAATTACACATTGGAAAGGAAGTGTAAAAAAGGATTTATTATGGCATAACCACTTTAAAGTACATCTGATGAAAAAAATTAAAAAGTATTATTTGCGACATGCCTACTCAATAAAAAACGATAAAAACAAATGAAAGTTTGACCTTCACTTATCATATACATTTTGAATATGCATCTCTATATTATGTTACAGTGTAAGATGTTTCTCAGCAAATTATGATCAAAACCATGGACACGGAAAATTATCATAAGGTAAAGAAATAGGCCTAAAACAAAGCAGCAGAGCACAGCTTTGACTCTCTTTGATAACTTTGTAGTGAACTATGGTGTAATAGTGAGGGGGAAAATGAGCAAGAAGTACTATTGGAAAATGCGGATGGCATAGTCAAAGAATGCTCTAGGGAATGAGAAGACAATAAAAGAAATCTACTTATTAAATAAGAGAATAAAAGGTTTAAATGTGCTTTTATTTATGACTATATTTTTAAAAAATAGAGAGATTCTCATAGCATGACAGTCCTATGCCCATGCCTTCCAAGATATGCATCATAATACATTTTACATGCACTTTATATCATATATGATTCGACAAGTATTCGCATAAAATTATGTTGTTTAGAGCGGAAATAAATAGTATGCATTGATTGAAGAAGTCAGTACCCTATCACACCCTGTGATTAGATTATTCTAGAAGTGGAAATTGTTTCCCATAATTGGGCAATTTCATCTACAATAGATTTGTCTTTATGTAGAAATGTTTTTCACTGTGTACAAATGAAATGCGTGGCCAATCCAGATAACATGACATGTGTTGAGACTTAAAAGCCCAATTAAGGTTCATATTGCCAGGTAGGATTCAGAAAAGTTTATTTCATGATATCCAATAGGTCCAGTTATAATGTACATGACAGTGGAAATGTGAACACATCTACTAAATAACTTTTATATTTTAAGCGAATCCTATTGTATTAATTTTGCATTATTATATACATTAATGAATTTCTCACGCCCCCATTGTTTTTTTCCTCATATAAGTTGCACTCCATTACTCAGAATGGGATTAGAACTCAGACAAGTTAGAAAGATTAGTAATATGAAAAGAACACACACATACACGCAGAGAAGATTGCATTACTTCAACATTATTACTTTCGAAATAGCAATTAAATCATGGACAAAGCGATGCTACAACATTGTGAACAAGTAACATCCAAGAGAAATGTACTCTTTTTAAATAATAATAATGATAACAATGAATGATACTTTTCTCTCATGTACATTATATCTAATTTTAGCAACTATTTTGACATTGATACAGAGCATTTGAATAAAACAAATATAATCAGCTGAATATCCACTCTAAGCCTACACGACCTCTTTCAAGGTATAAACCATGCTTTTAACATACTTCATAGGACCGGATGAATTTTTAAGATGTGTTATGCGAGATAAAGACTAGGCTAGACTCAATCCTGAAAGCATAATAGTTGCAATGTTCATTTAATAAGAAATAGAGAGCTCAAGATTAAATTAGCAAATGTGTAAGCTAAATTGAATTTTGTCCAGCAGTGTCTAGCAAATCAAAAGTAGCATATGGTATGTTGTTCAGAAATTTAATGCATTTCTTATACCACTTTAGATGTATGTTTTTGTTTTGGTTTTTTTTTTTTTTTTTTTTAACTGTGGAGGTTACTTAATTATAAAAAGAATTTCAACAATGGCCCAAGAGCACTTGGCTTAATGAATAAGAAAGATAAAATGCTATGGAAATATAATTTCATAATTTGTAATACTTGATAGAGAACTAATGGATTATGACTACTTTTTTCAGTTGAGCTGAGTTAATAGCTAAGGATGCCAACCTACACTTCAATCTCACCCTTTACAACCTGTCATCTCAAATCTCACAAGGCAGGTTACTGAAACTACGGAGTAATTGTGTTAGAACACTTGAAAATAATTTTATCTATGTTATTTTTATGTGATTTCCCATTCAATGCTCGTACATAGTCATCTTGTTCTATGAGAACAGAAAATTCACATATTAACCTAGCCTAGAATGTTGAATGAACTAATTTTTCTTACAATAATAAGTCTAGATGCTAAACTCAGATGTTCAAGGCTAAATTATGAGTATGTTTACAGGGTGCCCCATGCTATCCATTGTAAGATTTAAAGTTAACGAGTTCATTGTTATTGGTTGATGATGAATTCTCAAGCTATTGCTCAAGTTTAAAAGAATCTCACCTTTATCATCCTGTGCATATATTTCTAGTTTAACTCCATTGGGTTCATAAGTCTTTGATTTTTTTTCATCTTTCTACTCATTTTGTTTTTAATAAATAGATGAAGTGAGGCCCTAGGGCAAGATACATAGGAAGCAGAACTACACTAGAAACAAGAGAAAAACAAACAAATGGGGGAGACTAGAGCCAGGCCACAAAATCAGGTCTGCCCCAAGCCCCTCTTTTTGCAAAATGGTCTTGTCAAAGAGTTCGCACTTCTAAGAAAATTGCTGAAAATCAAGAGAAGACGCCTCAAAGATGAACCCCTTAAATTTGTTAAATGTCAACGTTTAAGCTCCAAGGAACCGAGGCTCCTTGGATCCACCTTATGGCGTTTGTGGGATCACTCTCAAAACTAGTTAACACCAGGTACTCCAAGGTATGAATAATAACAAAAGTTTCTGCCACTAGGAGTTGGCCAAACCAATATATTTGGACATGATGAAAATAGTTTCCCTTTAATAATCTCTAATATATATCTTGTAATATTTACACGGCAAGGGGAGGAGATCATTGTACCACTCTTCAATAGCAAGCTGAGATCTGAAAATTATACACTCAACCAAGAAAGCTTCCCCTTCGAACACCTTCCATGTGATACTCCAGGAGTTAAGTCGTTGCTTGGCCAACTCCCGTGTGTAGATGGGCCGGTATTAGGCTATTCGAAGTTGATTAGAGGTTAAATGAATTGAATAGATTACTCATGTAACAATGTGCACATTTCTTTTCGGTAGCCCTACTGAAAGAACTCTAGAATTAGCATGCTTGCCCTAGAGTAACTCGATGGTAGACGACCCTCTGGGAAATCTCTCAGGGTGCGTGTGAGTGAGGATAGAAGCACATTGGAAAGACTTGTGCTGACTTGTGGGGCCAGTCTATGATCCTGACATGCTCGGCTTCGCGTGGCTTGCGGGCCGAGGTGTTATAGTTGGTATCAGAGTCGACCTGCGACAGTCCACAGTCGTTGACCTGGTTGTTGAGAGGCCTAGCAGTTGACGATTATCGGGGTGCAGCGGGGGAGGATGTGATACCCTCAAAGCTGGATCGTTGCTTGGCCAACTCCCGTGTGTGGATGGCCATTCGAAGTTGATTAAAGGTTAAATTAATTGAATAAACTACTCATATCAACAATGTGCACATTTCTTTTCGTAAGCTCTACTGAAAGAACTATAGAGTTAAGCGCGTTTGTCCTAGAGTAATTTGAGGATAGGTGACCCACTAGAAAGTCTCCCAAGATGCGTGTGAGTGGGGACAAAAACACGTTCGAATGACTCGTATTGACCTGTGATGGCAATCTACGATCTCGACATGCTCGACTTCGCGTGACTTGCAGGCCGGAGTGTCACATTCCTTACTGCCTAGCAATTCATCGACACCTTTTAGAACTTTGCTAGTACAACCTCACGACACTATCAAAAAAGCACACTAAGCGCACAGGAAAGCAAGAACACAGAGGCTCAATAAACTCACTAATTGAGCGTAAGTGTATTGCTCTCTCTCAAAGGTGGTTTAAAAATGAGAAGTGCTCCCCTATTTATTAACACAATGATCGGTCGGGCCTCAGGCTATCTATCACGGGACCAAGCCTATATATTACAGGATAAACATAGACTAGGTCAACATTATTGGATAAACATCAACAGGGTCAACGGTTTGGTTCTTGGTATTCTCTCGGTCACCTTGAGGCTTCATTTCTTTTAAGGCTACATTTTAATTGTTCTTGGCCACATATTTGGTATGTGACACGTGGAAGCTTAATTTTAAGATTAATAAACTTCGTTTTCTCTCTTTATGTCATATGCCATTTCATTGTTTTGATCATGTGTCTTGTTTCTCGCATTGATAAGCCCAAAAACATCTTTCGCTAGCCTTCGCTCTTGAATACTCTAAATACAAAATTAATTTTCAAAGTTTCTAATTTATTATGTTTTATTTATGTAATTTGATTGTCAAATCTATTTGATTTTTATACACATCCAAATTTATATTTTAAGTACATTTTATGCTTCGTTGTGTTGAATTTGGGAGAAACATAGGGTTTGTTCACCCAACAACTTTTGTTACACAATTTCTGATGAATATTAATAAAAAATACAATATATACATGCATCCACATAATATAAGTAATATATACTCAGTCAACAATTCAACACAAAATATTATTTTTTATATTATCGACACAATTCTCCATACCTCACACAAAAAAAATATCTCAAGCTAAAACAACAAACAAAAACACCCATAATTTCAACATTGTTTTTCATAAATAATTGCAAACATCATGTGTGGCACAATTTACCAATTTAAATGCAATAAGCTTTTTTATTCACGCCTCACGCTATGACTAAGCTTCTTAAATTATAGCACACATTGTAGAAGCTACCTTATATGGGATGGTGGAAGATCAACATGGACGGATCAAATTTTGGAAAACTAGGCTCGACAGTTATTAGAGTGGTCATCCGAGACCATCTTGGTCATCTTCTATTCATTTTCTCTCAACACATTGGTACGACCAACTCAAATAATGTAGTGATTTTGGCAATTGTAAAAGCCCTTAACTATCTTGTCAATGCTATCTTAGGCCCCTTCCCATAATTTGAAACGGGAGTGGCTATAAAAGCACATCTTAGGCCCCTTCCCATAATGTGAAACGGGAGTGGCTATAAAAGCACACTCAAGTGGATCTATGGACTTGACACACATGACAACATGAATATGCCCAAATACATCTTTCATTAGCCTTTACGATTGAATTCTCAAGCAATGGAAGTCATTTTCAAATTTCCTATTCTATTATGTTATATTTATGCATTTTGATTATCAGAGTCAAGTTGATTTTTATACTCATCCAAATTTATATTTTAAAAACGCTTTGTGCCTCCTTGTGTTGAATTTGTAAGCGACCGAGTTCAACAACATTGTTGGTAACTGGTAAATATTACAATTATTATGACTAGCACAAATTACCAATTTCAATGCAATTTGCTTGTTCTCTTCACGCCTTATGCCATGATTATGCCATGATTACTAATGTGTTTATCGATATTTTTTTATTTGAATAGTAATTTGAATGTGATGTTTTTTTAGAGAGAAATAATATATTTTTATAAAAAATCATGAGAGTTGAATAGTAAAAAAAAGTAGACATAAATGATAAGTGACCAATGCATAAATTTCTTAAATACTAGCAATGTTATAGAAGCCACCTTCCGTGGAATGGTGGAAGATCAACACAACGGATTGGATTTTGAAAAACCAAGCTCAGCAAGTATTGGAGTGGTCATCCGAGACTCAAATGATGCGGAGATTCTGGCAATTGTAAGTGCCCCTAACTGTTTTGTCGGTGCTCATCTTGAGCCCCTTCCCTGAATTTACCTTGAGAATAATTATAGGCACACACTCGATTGGACCTACGTATGCCCCTCCTGGTAAATTTAATATTGAGATTTATAAACATCACTTCTCTTTGCTAAATTTCTTTTCATTGATTATGATCATGCACCTTATTTCTCCAATGGTGTAGCTGATTTTTTTTTGCTAAATATGATGCCCCTGTCTCTTTGGTCAGAAGGATTATGATATTGGAAAGTTAATATTGATTGTTTGGGTTTCGGCAAACTCAATCCAAATAGGAATTGGAAAGATCATTAGTGATCACAACTGGCATATCATTTTTACCCCCTCAAAGCAATTGCGATATTAATAAGGTTCAGCACGGCACTTCTAGATATCCATGTATCATCTTATAGCATATATCTCCAAGTGCCAACAAAAAGGAAGACCTCCGCAAGGTGTGGGCAAGAGGCCCTCTCTCCAAAAAAAAAAAAAAAACAAAAACACAATCTAAATTCATAATAGTGAAACCGATAAGGATTAAATCTGATGAAATTGGTAATACCTTAAAATTCACCCCTACACAATATATATAAGTTGTTATGATAAGGCCAGCAAGATTGTGATAAATGTGTGTCATCTATTAACTTATTTAGGATATCAAGGAACAAAACTCATTGAACTAGCCATCAAAAGATCAATCGCTGAATACTGATTGACCATATATCAAGCCTCACAACAACTTAAACAAGAAATCATCACAAAAGAAATCCCATCGACATGAATAAAATTGGAAAGCAGTACATACGAGCTGACACATCAATACTCACAAGCATAAAGAAACAGCAACATTCAAAGCAATCCCGACACAAACCATTTTGATATGGAATGTGATCTGAAAAAGTAAAACATCATAAAGAATAGAATATCCATATATAGTATTCAGGGAAGCAAAGTATATAAATGCCTGAACTATTTCTGATATGGGCAATCTGCAATAGGACAATTATGTTCTTAGACAAGAGCAAGTATGAGCCTCCACAGCAACAAGGGGGAAAACAACGGCATGAGATAAATCATAGGAGGTACATTATCACCTCCCAAGGAACACACTAACAAAGCTGGGAAAAAAAAACACTTTTTTCTCTCAAAAAACATCACATCAAACATAATTTAAATCAGTGAAGGCATTACCTTGACCTCTTTGTAGAGTTTATTTTCCCAAACACAGAGTTTCTCCAGCGTTAACGACAGACTGCATGGCATCATGTTTGTTTCATTCAGAAGATTCTGGCTGCTAGTCCTCCTATGAACAGATCTTCTGAACATACCACATGCCAAGCCCAATGTTCCTCTAGATGAGGCTGCAGAGGAACTCTTGCATAAAGAAAAATCTGCAATTGTTCAAGACAAACAAACATTGGTTTAGAATAAACTCCACTTTATACAGACCACACAATCACAAATATCAACTTGTTTACCTTCATTATTTGCAAATATTAAAACACATTAAAATTGTTTGTTGTGGCTCCAACATGTGCAAGCACATCAGTTACAAATATTAATATTTCCTCGCTAATTCTGATTTTAGGAAAAACCTGATAATCAATCAATGCAGGATTTGCGTCCACTTTGGAGAGTATGTATCATTATTTTGAGTAATATCCATATCATTTTAATGAACAAGAATAATAAATATGATGCAAGATACATTTAGCATTAAGAAATAGCACTGGATTAGCTGATAGTAGGAACAGTTTCTTTTTTCTTTCAGATCTAAATTTTAACAAAGTTGATGAACCTGTCTATGCCACACCCTGCATTTATTTTCTTTCAGAAATTTTAGCAAAATAACAAAATGTTTTTATGGATGGCATGCACTAGCACATGTCAAAGTTGTTACCTGCGCTTAAAGCAGTTCCAAATTGGCAGGGTTCAAACATCGTTGAGACATTTGCTCCATGTGTAATAATGTCAGTAAAAGCATCATACACTTCATTAAGCCCTTCCTGCAGATCCCACGAGCCACAAGAAGATGTTCTCAATGTGAAAGCAGCATTTGCATCTGTTTCAGAAGGAGCTTCATGTATTCCCTCATCCTCTGAATTCCCCACCTTCTGTTCAATACATTCTTCTTCATGATCAGCGCTCTTAGATTTATTTATTTCTTCCACTTCCAATCTGTGAGACCCAAAAGAGCTGGAGTCACCGATGCTCCGATCTTCCCCACTTTGGCCCCAACAAACATCTGGTCCTTCATTCACAACATCAGCCTCACAATGACACTCTTCTAAATCTTCATCTACCTCCACGATGTCATCAGCCAGAGTATCTGCCATTCCTGGGTCACCAAATTCAACTTCAAGATCTGGTATTCCTTCCATCTCCCTTATTTCTCCTAAATCCATGTCATTTCCACCAAAACTAATTTCATGGATTCCCCGAAAATAAGAATCTGAAAAAGAATCAACAAAGGTAAAGGGATTCACACTATCCCAAGTTGAAGCATCGTGATACAGGGGCCTCAATGGATCACCTAAATGTGTTTGATAGCCCCTAATATTATTAAAAGGAGTATCCAATAAACGATGATCTAATTCTTCACCCTCCTGTTGAAAGAGCACAGGGGTGGGCATTTGCTCGCCTGAAAATGGTTGGTTACCGCCCAAATCAGACCCAAAATTTGGATCCGAACTCCCCCAGCTATTCAATTGTGTAATGGTTTGGATCTCAGATGACCCAAACCTGTACGGAAGAAGAATCATCTGATGATTTGTGGAAGTCCTAGTAGCACTGTTAGCCTGACCATAACTTTTGCGCATGTTATATGCAGAATATCCAATTGATGGCCATGCTTGTCTGATAAACGTTGCTGACTGAGGCCCGGATGAATTTATATCTGCATCTATAAAACCAGTTGATACAAGATGGTCATCAGCAAGTTCATCATCCTTTTCATCTTCCACACCATTATCACCATTTTGATTACATTCCGTGGTGGGACTTTCAGATCGAGGGACCTCCTCCAAGATCTGATGATCAGAACCTGCATCAGATACGGAATTAGAAGAAATCACAATGGATTCCTCCATAAAGCGTTTAAGTTGATTTTGAACGCCACGCACGGATTCAAAGTATGCCGAATGCGTAGATGCAAGGGAACACCAAGAATCCATGGCAGCCTCAATCAACTTTTTTCTTTCTCTGCACAATTTCACTGCTTCTGAATCAATCTTCGACGCACTACAACCCATCTTAACTTTATGAAGATTAAGATTTTGACAAAGTAATAAACAGAACAATCCTGAAGCTTCCACCCAATGATTAGTTTAAAGATTGGATGAAAAACTGAAAAGCAAACAAACAGCCTCACACCCAAACCCCTCAAAAACACTAAGCACCCACCCAAAGAAAACTGGACCTGATTGATAGAATGCAAATGCGGCTTCACCAAAACCAATTCAACATATAAAAAGAATACACACAAGCATTCAATTGCAGGATTACAAATACAGGATTACAAAAATGCAGATAATAATATTACAGTAATACTTCAATTTGAATCAAATCCAAAGCAACCAACTGAGATATGAAAAAAATCAAATAAATTTTAAAAATCAACGATACATTAAATTCACCTAAATCCAGACTCGCAAGCGCCAAAAAAAAATTATATATCGAGGTCATAATTTTCAAGCTGCAGCTAAATTAGGAGAAAAACCATCAATGCGGATTAATTAGTCCTAAAAATTAAAGCCATGGAGCTTTGCGGGTACACGTATTGCATCAGATTGCGCGGACTTGAATACTTACCGTATGGTTTGAGTGGCAAGCGTCGTCATCCGATTCAAGAAATTCAAGAATCGGATTACATTTGCGCTTCGATTGAGCATCCCCGTTCCCTCCCATCATTTGCTGCGGATTCAAATGATTTTTGGTATTACAACGATCGGATTCACTGACGTAGAATTGCGTGAATCTTCCGCTGGATTCGCCGAGGGTTTTGAGAAAATCCAATTTATGTAATGTGTACGGATTTCGACGACTCAGGATTTCTTTTATATATATATATATATATAATAATCCCAACGGTCAGATCTTTTATTTATTTTTTAAAATTGTAATTCAATTTACGGACAATTGGGCAAAAATCCCTCTGTCTATTTATCATTTGGGATTCAGTCCCTAATGATAAAAAATTGTTCTGCACTCCCCCCTTTTTCCTTCTTCCTTCTTCTTCCTCCCTAATCGTATTTCTCAAAAAATTCTTGTCAAGCCGTTGTCCTCTTCCGTGAGCTCGAAAGCCACATCCCGCACAGGTAAGGTTCTTAATTGTTCGCCCGATTTTACATCGCCGCTTCTTGTCTGGTTCGATTGAAAAATTTTCTAGGGCACTCTTCGAATCCTGTTCCGGTTCCCTGTCGTCGGCGGTCGGTTGATTCGGTCGAAGAACTACCGAAGGCTGTCACCGGTTCCGTGGCCCGTATTTCTTGGTCTCCGGTGAAATTAGATGTACCAAATGTGTTTTTGTGTCGGTTGATTCGGTCGAAGAACTACCGAAGGCTGTCACCGGTTTCCTGGCCTGTCTTTCTTGTTCTCCGGCGAAATTAGATGTACCAGGTGTGTTTTTGTATCGATATCTTAGTTGAAAAATTATTATCTGGAAGAAAATGTTTGGGTATTATTTAGGGTGATTTTGATAATAAATTTTGTTGCTATTTAGGGTTTAAGGGTAATATTTATTTTGTGAAATGGGTAATGTGTTGCTATTGAGGATCAAGACATTTCTAGAATTCCGTAAGAACATATGATTTTAGTGTATTTTGTGTAAGATTATCTAATCGCCCATACGACCTAATATAGTTCATACATTCACCGGTTGGATCGCTAGGTTCCGATGGACATGGAGCAAAGTAGTCTGAAATTATTAATTATATGTTCCTACGAGGGTGAGCATCATGTAATTCGTTTAGAAGAGGGCACCACGCTGGAGGATCTTTACCGGAATATATCGAAAAGATGGAATAAAGTGAGTATTGAGGCGGTAAAACTCCAATATATTGCACCTATTCAGAAAAGCTACGTGACATTATTGTGTGACGATGATGTCGCCAATATGTGGAGAATGCATATCTTGTTAAAGGTAATGTTTGTGGATATGATTGCACGGTGCAGAAGCGAGCACCAGAGCGTGCCTCTCCGAAGCACGGTTGGACGCAGGTACGTTACTCATCATTTGTAATTAAGTAGTCTTTATTAAACTTTGTTATAGAATGCAGTCACAATTGTTCCTTATGAAAGAATGCAGTCTGTAAGCACTTATAATGTAGTATGTAAGAATGCAGTCTGTAAGCGCTTATAATGTCATGTTCAACACATGTAAAAACATATTGTTTATAGGTTACGTTAGTAATAATTCTTTCATAATATTGGCATACAACAATACCGTGGTATATTGTTGCGATGTTGTTTGTAGGTAGTAAGTATCCACCTCCGCGATTTTGTAGTAGCGCGGTGCAGAACGAACCACTGAAGAGATTGTAAAGATATGTAGTGGGGCTATAACGTCTTGAAGGTATTTAACGATTTTCACTCCTTCTTCACACGCCACTGTCAATATCCTCTAGCAATCCGGTTTAGGTAGGTGTACCATGATCGATGCGTTGAAATTTCTGTAGCCCATGACATTTACTGCATCACGTAGCCTGCTGCGGTGAATAGATGCAGTTGTTCTTTTAAATACCCTGGATGACACGGTAGGTAACCATAGACACCGTGGACATACTCGGTTGAGTAAGATGGGTACCCATGTTTTTCCATTTACTCTGAAAATATCTATTACCATATAAAATTAGAACTACTTACATCTGATATAATTTTCATTCTTATTATTGTATTTGTAATGTAGGGGCGAGGCCGAATGTTCTGGATTGAACGAAGATTGCGCCGATGGTATCTTTATTCCCGACGAAAGTACTAGTCTAATTGCAATGCAGAGATGCATTGTCGGGGAAGGGCAGACATTCAAGGGACCGCAGGAGTTTAGAAAGTTACTGAAGAATTATTCTATTGCCACTCAGAAACACTTCAGGTACCAAAAGAATGATTCGAGCAAAATTATTGCGGTGTGCATCGACAAAGGCTGTGGTTGGCGTATTTATGCATCCTTCCATGCTCGTGATGCATCATTCAGCATTCGTAAGTGCAATTTACATCACACATGTACTATGAGTCTATTGCAATCAAGAGATCATCCAGCAGCCGATGCGAACTGGATTTCTGAGGTCTACAAAGATAAGATACGTTCTATGCCAGCGTATAAGGCATCCGACATCCGGGAGCATATCCAAACAGATTATGGGATTGACGTGAAATATCATAAAGCATGGCGTGGCAAAGAGAATGCGATAAGGGCAATTAATGGTGGAGGTAGAGACAGTTTCTCACAACTTCCATGGTACTGTCATGCACTTCGGGAGTCAAATCCGGGAAGTATTATAGACTGCGAAGTTGAGCAGGCAACCAAACGTTTCCAACGCCTTTTTGTTTGTTTGGGTGCATGCCGGCTGGGTTTTTTGAGGGGTTGCAGGCCCCTACTCTTTCTTGATGGGACACATATAAAAAACAAACACAAAGGGTGTCTGCTAAGTGCAATTGCAGTGGATGGGGATGATGGGATGTTTACTTTAGCATTTTCTGGTACGTAATTTGATATTAGCTACAGTTGTCATTTTGTTAGAATGCTGGGTATAGCTGTTCGTGTATGCTGTTTTCCATGCTCTCTTTAGGCACGTATGTACCCTTATACGTTGGAAACCTTTGTAGTTATTTGTGTTCTTATTTGTTGACTTGCAGCTGTGTCTACGGAAAATGATGAAAATTGGGAGTGGTTTTGCTGGAAGCTGCGATCTGTTTTAGAATGTGAGGGACGTACGGATTGGAAACAGTACACATTCTTCTCGGATCGGCACTCGGGTTTACTAAAGTCAATCTCGTGCGTCTTTCCCGGAGCACATCATGCGTACTGTCTCCGACACTTAGTGGACAACTTCCGTACCCAGGTATATGTACGTCAATATTAATCTGTAATGAACATCACTGGTTATGATCAGCCATAAAATGTCTTTTTTTTAGGTTATGCGGAGATACCCAATGCATAATAAGAAACGATGGACCGTTGTCTTCAATAAGGCCGCCTATGCTCCGTTGAGGAGAGATTTCGAAAACCACATTAGTTCTGTGGTCGAATCAATGTCATTGGCCAGGGACTTCATTACCCAATCACACCCAGAATGTTGGGCAAATTCACTATTCAGAGGCACTCGTTGGGGAATAATAAATAATAACATTGCTGAGTCATGGAATAGTTGGGTGAGATCCGCGAGGTCAATGCCATTCGTTGGGATGTTGGATACCATTAGAAGGCAAGTGATGGTAATGATGAATGAACGCCGCGAAAAGTCGGAGATAATGCACGGAAGGCTCTGTCCAAAACAGGAGAGCAAGTTGGCACTATCGTACATGGCGTCTCGACGGCTACAGTGCAGTTCATCCTCTAGAACTGTATTCGAGGTAACAGATTGTAATGAAAGATACGCAGTCGATTTGGAGGCGCGCAAATGCTCTTGTCGAGAATGGCAAATGTTCCGATTGCCCTGCAAGCATGCCTACTCTTGCATTGAAAAATGCAGTATGTCAATTTATGATTTTTGCGATCTTTACTATAGCATTGAATCTTACAGAAAAACGTACCAGGAGCCAATAAATCCCGTACCGACGCATGATATGGACGTGATTGTTGAAATTCAGGCGGACCAAATTCACCCTCCTCCGTCGTCTGTCCAACCAGGCCGGCCAAAGAAGCGAAGGTTCGAGTCCCAGCAGGTAAAGAATGCACGGAAATGTGGTCGTTGTGGGCGTCTTGGACATAATAGAAGAAGTTGCAAGCAACAAATAGCTTAGCGAACCTTTTTTTCATTGTACATCTTTTTGGCTTCCAGGAGTATATATTAAGACAGTAGGTACATATTCAATAGCTATATTGTAATTGTTTTTTGTGTCTCTAGGATGTAACCGGTTGGATCCATCGACTTATTTGCAGTAGTAAGTGGTATGTAGCCCTCTCACGCAGGTATATGATGAAGTTGTGAAGGTTCATAGTTATATTCTGCAGGTATATTTTTCATGTACTGAGGCATTTGATGATGTAGCTCTGTAGGGACGGATGGTTAATGTAATCTCTAATTGTTTTGAAAGTACATGCTATCCTATTTTTGGGTTATTAGTAGGAGGTATAGTTGTTGTATTACACTCGTCATACTAACCAAGTGCATGTGTCATACAACTTAAGTATTTGTTGATGCCTTCTTTAACCATCAGCAGTAAATACATGCTATTTGAAGAAAAAAAAAAAAAAAGACCGTTTCTCCAGCCACAGGTAACCAGGGCATACATAATTGCAACTGAAGTATAATGTCACGGTTGTTGTAAGTACGCAATAGCTTACAAAGGGTATATGAATAATGATTCCAACATATAGGGTTGCGGTCCGAGTACAAACCATATTTTATTTTGTTTATACAGTATTCTAATTGTATTACCGTGTAATAACTTGGAGGCGTAGCATTGATTAAAATTCAGCACACAGCTACGTACCAGACTTCCATATGCCACACAACTATATTGCGGTTATATTATCGTGTCTATTCTATTGTGTTCTAATTCAATTAACGGGTAAGCGATGTAAGTATAATCTGTGGCCTAAAACACGCCATTCAAGATTATGGGGTTAACGAGCAACACTACCATGGTTAAGCCAATACACTCTTACCATCAGTTCATGAATATTTTAAGAGAAAAGGCCGAGTCCCCACCCGTAGGGTACCAGAGCATTTGAAATGGTAACGGAAGTATAAAGGCTATTTCCGTAGGTACATAATAGATACTATAGGGTATTTGTAATAATGACTCCGTTACTTATGCATCCGAGCTAAGTACCAGACTCGCTGAACGAGGTACACAGATTGCGTATGCGGGCATCTGTGTTGTAGTTGTAGGTATCCTAGTTGTAGGTATAGTAGCACTTCTCTGTAACCACGTGTTGCTTAGCATTCCGCAGGAAATAGTTGATTGTAATCTAGACGTTGGCCCACACGCAATTACCAGACACCTATGTCCCGCACAAATATTTTGTTGTAATATGATCATGTTTTTTTAGTATTGTTTGTTTTAAATTAACGAGTAAGCCCTTGCAGTATCTCCGGTCGATTAAAACATGGCGTCCAGTAGGGTTTTATGAGAAACGCCGACACGGTTGAACTGATTCAAAGTGAACGCTATTTCAGTGATCAGTGCAAAAGAAATGACCAGTCCCACAAACGCAAATGACTGGAGCATGTAATATATAAATGGAAGTACATACTAGTTTTCCGTAGGCACATAAAAGCTATCAACGGGTATCACCACACAACGCAGGTATATAATGAAGATGACAAATCAATCCACATAAAAGACATTTACCAATTCCATCACCTCGATACACAATGCAATAACTTCCCAGATCAATCCAAATTGAAGACGTTAAACAAATCCATCACCTCCACACAACACAATAACTTCCCAGATCAATCCAAACTGAAGACATTCAACAAATCCATCACCTCGCCACACAACGCAAAAACTTCCCAAATCAATCCAAATTCATTACATGTGTTAACCTGCCCTATTTTTCCATCGGGGTCTACGTTTCAGAAGGGGGGACCTTTCAATATCCTCGCTGCAATCGTGCCTCGGTAGCTCTTGACATCGCCGAAGTCCTCGCCGAGGACACCAACGAGATTGACATCTGGACCTGCCCGCGCATAACACTCTGCGAACATGCAGACTAAAGGTCCACAGTCCAACGTTTCACCCTGGTGTCGGCATCTAATGTACTCGGGCATGTCGCTGACCATAGGCCATAGTCGTGACGCGTTCATATACAACGATAAAAATCGCGTCTGCACAAATAACGTTACTCTTTCGTTAAGGAATTCACCCTACCCATAGGCAATTAATTATGATCATTCGAAAGACGTACCAATTTCTTTGCATTCCCCTGGCCGAAGGGGTCGCGCATTGAGTTACACTCCAACACAACACGTTTGACGGTATCCAGTATGCAGAGATGCCAGTGGAACCGGGTGTGTACGGGTAGAAATATGTACCGGCACCCAGACCGGATTTTGTCCATGATTCCGGCAATCTCTTGGCCTACGGTCACTTGCAGCGAGTTGGCAAACGCGAGTACATTACCCTTATTGATGCTCGGCTTTTTCGCTCCCCTGCTTGGTCGTGATAGCGCGTCGTTCACGGCTTTCTGAAAATCGAACACAGCAACCAACGCAATAATAACAATGTGATTTGTAATACTAACCGTATAAATTCCAAACAGGATACTCACCGCTACGAACCATGGCACACAACCACACCGCACCTGCGGATTGTGTTGGAGCTGATATTCATTGCTGCATAGATGATATAGGTACGCGTCGATGACTTCGCCTTTCACAGCTTCGTCAAACAGTAGTTCTAAAACGGCATCGGACGAGACAGACACGACGCCCTACTGCCATACAGTGTCCCTACAACATGATAGTCGCAAACGGATAAAAACATCGATTGAGAAAAATATATAAAGCCTTAATAGTGAATAGCAATACCGGACAGCGAATGACGCGAGAAAATGTTCAATGGTGTTCGTCTCATCCTCAGATAAGGAACCCTTTCCACAGTAGCTGCCATTATTGCGATATCCCTCCCACTTTTGTGCTCCAGGGTCTGCTACAACCTTAGCATCCGAGTCCCCATCGTCGCCGACGACAAATGGTTCCTGAACCAACAATGAAGATAATCATGTTTCCGTAGGTATCTGTATTTATTGTACAGGTATTGACGCAGAAACACTAGGTATTTAAGAATCTATCTGAAGTATTTTGAGCCAGACGACTTATATTTGTATGGAACTACGTACCTGCTCATTATTGACGTCGACCGCTGACTTTCCTTTCGCCCTCCGTGTTTTTCTCGCTTTCTCAATTCGCGGTGTCGACACAGGTGTCACGAATTCAGGCTTCTTCTTTCTCTTCCGATCCTTACGTGCCATTACACCACGTACAATCAATGAATCTGCGGCCCTGCTACAAGTCTCACGGTCGGAGTCATCGCCCTGCTACAATTTCAACAAAGCAAATAATCATTCAACAGATAGACAACTACGATCTACAAATTGTACTTACTATATTAATTAGCTTACCTTGACATCTATCGGTGCAACATAAGGAACAATGGCCATCAATTGGTTAAACTCTAGCAGGCTACCAACCCCTTCGTCATCTGACTCGTTTATCGGATCAACTTCGGCCAAAAGGATGTCCATTTTTTTTTGCTTCGGCGCTCGGTATTCGCTTGCTCTTCCGCTGCCTCCTCGGGATCCTCCTCAGTCTGCCTCTCCTCCTCCCCAGTTTTTTCCTCCTTCTCCTCCTCCTCCTCCTCTTCACCCTGACTCTCCTCCTCCTGACCTTGCTTCTCCTCCATGTCGGCCTGCTTCTCTTTCCTCTCAGACTCCACAGCCATCCGGTCTGCTGTCTCTTCATCCCCATAGTTTGCATCACCCTCCTCGCCATCGCTCTCGTCCTCACCCTCACCTTCACTGTCGTCATCGACAACACCGGCTCTAGATCTTTGTAATTTATGAGCAAGTCTGGCAATTGCAGTGTCTTTCTTCCGCAGCTCCACCTTCAATGCCGCAATTTGCTGCGCTGCTTCCTGCAACATATGTTAATAATGTCATATAAGAAATTATTTTATCCATTTACAACGGTAGCAACATTGAATAATGCATTTACCTCTGAAGCATGACAAATTGCACGAACGAACTTTTCTTCCGTGCCTATCCGATAGAATTCCTGAACATCTGACCGCTTTAGGGATGTCAATTCACCAACTGCATGAACCCTGGACATTGGACCGAGGCTATTCAACCACCGAAAGAGACGCGGTACCTTCGGAAGGCACCGTGCCTTGTCCAGAGTTGGGACCCTCTCATTGAACCACGCCTGCACATATTGTAATAGACATTACTGCCAACAATAATACATATTGTGCAATATACCAAAATAAGTAGAAAAAATTAACAAATCCGATATTACATTGCTTACCAACAAACCCGCGGTGCAGCCTGTCAAATATTTTTTCCCGGACTTGAAGTCGCTTATAGACTTCAACAAATAACGGTGACTCGCGGGTCCCCACGCGTAGTCACCAATCGCACTCAGGTCTTCCACATACGGTAACAAAAAAAGGGGTACAGAATAATTCGCAGAACAAAATAAAATATTTGCAAAAACAAACATAATAAAAAGACGAGCAACATCCGCAACAGAAAGAGGCTCCAGCCCCTGCAACAGAGCCTCACGCAGCTTCTGCAACACCTGCCCGCGGGTTACAGAACGTGGCTTGCTCCCAAAAATTCGAACAAACCATTCGCTTTCGACCGATGTATTTTCGGTCACGTAGACTCCTTTCGCGTGTAGTCCTAAGACTACAGAATATTCTTCAACTTCAAACGGAAGCTCAATGTCACTTCCAATCTTAAAAGACATAGATTCCGAACTGAAGCTATTGACGAGGGCAACAAGTCGGTGCCATGGAAACTTCATTTTCGGGCAATCCAGAAAATGCCCGAATGGTGTCATGTTTATAGCTGCGATGTGTTGGTCTCTCATGTGTTGCTTCAGTTTGGCCAGCTCATTATGAAAAAAAGGTAATGCAAATCGGCTGATCACCGATTTGTGCTCCTTGCCTGGCCTGTAAGTAAAAACCATAAGTCCACGTTATCCAAATCTCTAATTTAGTTAAAAGTTTTTCACAATTTAGCAGGAGTAAAAACGCATTCCGAGTATACAACAGTGCCGTTCAGGTATATTAATTGGCAAATTAGACCAAACAAATGAAACTCCTGGTGCCTAATATTACCGCATTTATCAACCCACAAATATGACTATTTACCGAACAATCCACCAAAAAACCTAAAATATGCAACTTCGAGTAACTAAACAAAATATACATCTTCAAAATTAACAAAATCAAAGATAAAAACAGATAAAATCACCCAAAATCGGCCGAACCGGGTTTCCTGGCCAAAAATTCGAACAATTTCAAACTACCCGTTGAACTAACACAACACCGAACACCCAGGGCTCCTCATCACTAAACCGAGGCATACAAACACGGGACCAAGGCTTCTACCCCAAACAATCGAGTAAACTACGATATAAAATTCGATTGTCAACAAAATCATAAAACGAAAAGGGTTTCGACCAGACACTTACTTTTTTGAACTCCTCGTGGGGGATCGCGGCGGATTCGCAGTTTTTCTCACCATTTCGCTGAACAAAATGTCTTACTGCTGATCGTCGAGTTCGCGAGGGACGATTTCCTTCTCGAAGAACTAGGGCTTGAACGGAGAGTGAGTGAGGGGAGTTAGGGAATGTTTCAGTTTTTAAATCGTGCATATTTTCTGTGATTTTTTTTTTAAAAAAAATCACAAAATAAGGTACGCAGTATTTAAATGGAATTATCTAATCGTATACTGGGGGTAGAGCGGGAGGTAATGTAGGTATATATTATAAAATTGAGAGTATTTATTAATCAATCGTAAGTACATGTTGCATATACAATTGTGATTGAGTAGAAAATACAAGAAGGGAGTTATAACATATCTAATCAATAAAGTAGGGACTGCAGATCAATTAATTTACAATGGGGACTGAATTGCAAGCAAAATACACTGACAGGGATTTTAGTCCAAGTCTCCCTTCAATTTAACAATTTTATTATTTTTATCTTTGTCATTTAAAATATCAATTTTAATTCATATATAAATATTAAAATATTTATAAAATTAAAAAATATATATTCTTTTATTTTATAATTACAAAAGTGCAAAATACTTCACAATTCTATTACCATTGAAGTATTATCAATTTTTTAAATTATTAAATATATACTTTGAGTTTGAATGAAAAATAAAAAAAAAAAAAATTCTTATGTTTATTTTTTTTTATTGATAATGCACTTTGATTGATTTCTTTTTTTTAATAAATATTTAAAATTTTTAATTTTTATAAAAAAATATATTTTTTTTTAGATTTTTTATTATTATTTTTTAGAATTATAATTCCAAAATATGAATAGAGTTGTATGTTTTATTTATACAAAACTATTTAAATTAGAAAATGACATTCATATTTATATATTTTATTAAAAAATATTTTTAATAATATTTAAGTATACTTTTAAATTTTATTTAATTATATATATCAAATTATAAATTAATATCCTTAAATAATAAAAAGTTTGTTTATTATTATTATTTTTTAATTACTATTTTCAATATATATAATATTTTATTTTATTTTATTATTTCACAAAAAAGAAAATATTATTCAATATAAAATATTATTATTTTTCATATTACTTTCACAATTTCATATATCTCATATAAAAAAAAAAAAAAAAAAATCAGCACTCCTGATATATACAAATATCCCACATTTTTATTATATACAACTCTGTATATAATAAAGACATGGGTTGTTGGTTTATAATTATAAATTTGTTGTATAACAGTAGTGTATTGAAATCAACTATTGTGATACTATAACATGTGATGTTAGTTCATGTGTTGTATTTGTGTTGATTCATACAAATATGTTGTATAACAGTATTTGATTTGCTGAAATCAACTATTATTTGTGTTGTATAAGACTATAGCATATATTGTTAATTTATGTGTTATATTTGTATTATATGAACTTATACAGTGTGATGCTTATAGTAATACGGTGTACTGTCTGGCAGTACATTGTGTGTTGTGGTGTGCTAATTTTAAAGTTCTAACACTTTAGCAGCCGGTGCCTAAAAAAAATAAAAAAAATAATCACATCCAAAACACTAAACAAACCATTCTAACCAACAAACAAACACATTACTATTGCTATGGAATTTTTCTAATATTGATAGTACAATAGAACAAAGAGTCTGTTAAAATGGGTTTCAAATTCATCTGAAATAAAATATTAATATAAATTTTTACTTAAATAATATTTTAATAATACGATATTTTATAAGATGAAAAAAATATAATTTTATGTTTATAGTAAGAAATATGCCATCACTTTCAGTTTGGAATTGAAATTAAAATCAAACAACAAAAGTGTTTATTTAACATATATCTTTCAAATTCTATTATTCAACTCAATATTTTAAAATAATTTTTTATTGATTTTTTTTTTGTATTAATAATATTATTTTATTACTATTCATTTCATAGGCAGAGTTTTTTATTTTATTTTAATATTAATTATTATATAAATTACACTTATTTCTAATTTTTTTAAAAGTATTTTATATTTTTATTAATAATTCGCAATTCAAAAATTGATTTGGGTGAACAAAACTATTTTACCAACCTGACCCACCCTTCGTCTCCATCCACCCCTCTTTCTCTCTCTGTCTGAATCCCAAATTCTCTGAAATCTATAACCCAACCCAAAATTCCATTTCCACCATTCCCAACAACTTCCTTCTCTCCATCCTTAGTTAATCAATAAATTCATTGGCCGATCCGATCCGATCCGATCGATGCTGCCTCTGAAGCTCGTCCACTCCCTCGTTTCCGGGACTGCCCTCACAAACCCTCTTCTCCGCATCCCACTCGACGATGACAACGACAACGACGAAGACGAAGACGACGACGTTTCACCGCAGTCGAGAATCCGCGTCCCGCTGATGCTCTTCGTCCCCACCCATGAATTGGTCTCCGACACTTACCGCCTCGCCGCAATTGCCCGCCAAATCGGCATGGATCTCCACCCCAATCCCTCTCTTTCCCACCTCATCTTCTCCTGGCCTCCGCCGCCGTCCTCTTCGTCTTCTTTCTCGGCCTCCTCCTCCTCCTCGTCATCTTCATCGTCGTCGTTCACCTACTCGTGGTCGTTGCCCAACGACAGCGTTCCGATCCCCTTTCCCTCTTTCGCCGCCGCGTCCCTCTCGAATCTCCGCCTCTTCGCCGCCGTCTCCAAGGGCTACTTCAAGCTTGCCTTTCTGAAGAGCACTTCCCGCCGGCCGCCGGAGTGCCTGAGCAACAACAATTTAAACTGCACCTCCCTTCGATTGTACTCCACGCGCACGGCTGAGCGAGTGAACTCCATGGATGGGCTTACTAGGGCTCTTCTCGGAACGGGGTGGACGCTTTTCCGGACGGCCCCGGATTCGCCGGAAACCGCCGTGTATCTGTACAGGAAGATGGAAGTGAGCCGACGGCGCGTGGTGAATGGGAATGGGAATTGGGACTGCAGTAGAGTGAGGGAATTAAGGTTGCCCCCACTGGACTTCAGGAATCCTCCCCTGAGAATTCTTCAGTATATTCTCTTGATGTCCGATGATGTCTTCTATCTGGCATAGTTGTTTGATCCACTCCAATGCGGTACTTATCCTTATTTTCGAGAATTCGGTTTTGTTCGATTGCTATCTATGGATATGATGGTTATTTTATGTGCACATTGTTATTCTCCTTTAGAACAACATAGCTAACAATTGATGAAAAACATGGGCTGTCGATTATATTTATAGTATAATTTTATGACGGTAGACTATTAACGTGTGCGACTAATTCATGTTTTGTATTTGTATTATATTAACATAAGTTATATGTATATATTAACATAAGTTGTGGATCATCATATCATATGTTGTCTATCACAATGTTATGTATTACCACAAAATTCAGCACAATAATCATAGCCTTGATAAAATTTCTATTTAGTTGGAAGTTTTGAAGTTTTGGAAAATATTAGAGAATAATACAAAGTTATATTTGACTAGACAATATATGAGATGAAAAAAGTATTTAATATGAGTTTTTCTTTGTTTTCTTGAAAAAGTTAATTTGATAAATAGTGCCAAAAGCTCCGAAATTGTCAATGTAAACAAAGCCAATTGATGTTTTTTGTAGCAGGTTCAACAAACTTTTTGTCTTAGTCCTTTTTTGGTTGTAATTGTTGAGACATTACCTGATGGGCTAAGTTGGACAATGCTGCAATAGAATAGTTGTTTTGGTCTCCTATATTATGTGGTTGTCTCCTCCATGGTATGTTTTTTGTCTGAGGGGGTTGCACCACGTCAATCATATTGGAATTTGCTCGGCATTATGGTGGTTGAGTTTGAGATTCTAATGTGCAATTTGGTGAAGAATTTATCTGACATATCGTTGTATTCGTCGTTTTGTGACTCCTACAATGTTGTGTGTAGTTTGGCTCAAAACAGGGACACTTGCACGATGTAGGAATAGTACATTGTCTTCATTTTGGATTCACTTTTGCATTGACTTTTCATTACATCAGTTTGGTGAGGTGGAATTAACGGAACCGTACAAGATTGTTCCCTGTCTCTGCGACCCAACTCGATTTTGTAGGGGTTTCGGAAAATAATCCCTTTTCCTTGATGTAATTTGTGTTCTTTTTTCTATTTAATAAAAACTTGATTTTGGCAGTGCCCAGACGTGGAAAAATCAAATTAGGGAATCGAGTCTTGTGTATTCCGTGTTGTTTTCCTTTCGTTTTGGCAATATATTTCGTAATAGGAACTAGGTACTATTATTCTTTAGTTCGAATTGTAATCCTATACTATTTCCAATAAAATTCACGATTATGTTTGGGGTTTTTTTTTTCATGGTTATTCCTTCTTCTGTTGTTTGTGCAGTGTCTATTGTTCTAGTTATTCATGTACTATTGTTTTGATGCAATGGCTCAGGTTCTCGGGATTCTGGCGACAAGAATCTTTGTCGAAGCAATTAGGAAAAAAATATCGACAAAGGAACTTAACAGAAGTTCACATCGGGGGGAGCTACAAGCACTGTAAATATATGTAGATGATGAGTTGAGCTTAGCGCGATGCCAAATATTGTTTTCCGGAGCAAATGTGTGATTGCGGTTAAAGAAAAAAAGCGTATTATACATGCAAACAGTTAGTCCACGAGATCGTTACGAGTATACGAGTAGATCGAAAGGTGAAAAGAATTGGTATGTATATATATATATATATTTTGAAATCTCAATTCGAATTCATCCTACCTTGATTGATTGGTGATTTTTCTTGGTTTGAATTTTTATCCAAGTAGTACTTTGAACGTTGTTTTATATATATATATACATACAGTGGCAGAGCTACGCAGGGGCTCGGGGACTCAAAACTCCCCAGCTGTTGTACCCCTCCGCATATACTAGTTATGTTTCTGACTATATAAATTGCCCATTCGGAAGGATTTGAATAAGTGTTATCAAATTGATATTTTTATATTTGCTTGAATACTTAAAAATATAATTCTAGCCTGTTGTATAGATCAATTTTAAATTAAAATCAAACAAGCGAGATTTAATAAAATTGTTTGATATAATATTTTAAATTTAAAATTAATTTTTATATATTACTCCGGCTCTAAGAGTTTTATTTATATTTTGCATCATTTTATCTAACATTAAAAATAATTTTATATTTGTATAATTTTTTTTATAAATATTATAATAGTATTACAGTACACTAATAAAAATATTTCTATCATTTGTCATTTTTTCTTGATTTTCAAAGATCAACTTGCAAAGTAAATAAGATCCTTAAAGCCGGACAAGTAATATAAAAGATAAAACCTTTGTTTTTGTATACACTACCTCCGTCACTGCGTATTTATCCATTTACCTTTTGCGTCATTGTACTAAACATTAAAAATTTTGTCATATTTGTATGCTTTTTTTTTTCTTTTTTACAAATATCATTATATTAGTATTATATGACACTAACAAAAATATTTTTGCTATTTTTTTTTAATTTATAATATATTTTGATATAATAATTAATATTTAAAGATATATAGATACTTAAAAATATTTAACACTATTCATTAATAATACAAATAAAAAATGAAAATGAAATAAAAGGCCCCCAAGAAAGTTCTTTACTTTGATCTAAAATGATAAGTTTTCCTCCCTCAGAAAAAGGAATATGAATCTGAATCTCCAGAACCAATCAAATGCCACAATATCGTACGGACCATGTCTAGTGAGAGGCAAAGGAAAGAATCTCTCAACCTTTTTGCCTCCCAAACATAATATTATAGAGATCCCATGCAATGCAATACAAGAAAAGCCAAGAATCATTTTATGCCCATGACCCTTTACGTTGAAAAGATTTGGGTTTAAAATATATTTTATCAAACTTATTTATTTTATTGTTATAATGCAATTAATTTAAAATTTCTAAAGTTAATTCTCTGAACCATGTCATTTCAAATCCTTCTTGACACCAAGCTATAAATTTTAATTATGAAATATTTCAATCCATTTAGACATATTCTTTGTTTACCCTATTCAACACTATTTAGCTTTTTAAAAATATTACATTAAGTACACATCATATAAAATACTTCTTAGTCTCACATACTATATTCACGTTTTCGTTTCTGTCCGTCCCACATTTTATATCACTTTTTTTTTTTTGGAAAATATTACATACTTTAATCTCATTTTAAACTTTTTAATTTATTTTTTTAAAATTTTAATTAAACTAATTAGTTATCTTAATCTTAATTTATAATTATTTATATTATAAAATAATTATTTTCAATAATATATTTTTAATTATCTACTAATTAAATCCTTCTTAAAATACAGCCTCTATTTTATTATTATTATTATTATTATTATTATTATTATTATTATTTTAAAAATTTCTGGCAATCCCAAGTTCCCAACCCCTAGGCTTGATTCCCAAGCAAGAACCAATCCATCCCATTGACTTTAATCTATGGTGCGTTTCTTTACGCCAAAAATTTCAAATTATACTATTTGGATTATGTGTTTTTTAAAAAATATATATATATTTATCACAAAATTTTTTAAATTTACCAAAAGAAACATAATTAATTTCTTCCAGCAATTTTAAATATATATATATAATTAAGTAGTCATGCAGCATATCCGACAAATTAATTTCTTCCAGCTTCTTCCACATCTTGCCTTGCCTTCTCTATTTCTATATACATACAAAGAAGGCGCAGAAATCAATTCAATCCACAAGTCACAGAGCGACGATCGGGTGGGAAAATTGAGTACAAGAAAATTAACAAGATTAGAGTAAACAAAAGCTAAAAGAAAATGAGGAGACCGACGAAGATCATATTTGTAATAATTCTTGTAGCGGCGTTGGCCGTCGCCCTTTCCGCAGGCTGTAACGAAAGCTCCAGAAAATTATTGGGGCCTTCTACTTCGATTGGCCGATTAGGATCGCCGGCGACGACTTCCACCGTATTCCCACTCTACGGCAATGTTTACCCTAATGGGTGCCTGCCTCGCCACTTCACTTCTAATTTTGTTATCATCATTATTATTGCACCCGATCTGCTCTATTCTCATTGAATTGGATTGAATCTGTATAATTAAGGAATTTCGATGTTTTGGCAGGTTCTATTTCGCGCAAGTTTATGTCGGGTATCCTCCGCGGCCCTACTTCCTGGATCCCGACACCGGCAGTGATCTCACCTGGCTCCAATGCGACGCCCCTTGTGTCCGTTGCACCACCGTCCGTCGCTAACTCTTCTTTAATCGATTTCATTTCATTTCATTCTGAATTTATAAGATTCATTCTATTGTGAGTTTATCAATGGGGTCAAAAGTATTTATTCAAATAAATAAATAGTATCGATATTGAAAATTTCGATACGATATGGTATCGAAATATAAGGCGTGATTTTTAGTATTGTATTTTGTCTTTACATTGTAGGGGTTCCATCCGCTGTACCGTCCGAGCAACGATCTCGTCGTCTGCCGGGATCCGGTCTGCGCGTCGCTCCACTCCGGCGACTACACTTGCGACACGCCGGAGCAGTGCGACTACGAGGTCGAGTACGCCGACGGAGGCTCGTCGCTCGGCGTGCTCGTCAACGACTTCTTCGCGTTGAATCTCACCACCGGGTCTAGAATGAGTCCTCGACTCACTCTCGGGTCCGTTAATTACTTTCCGTGTCGAATATACGGCGTCGTCGAATCCTCATTTCGACAAAACAGGATTGCCATCTCTGTTTTTGCATATTTTGTCTTCCAGGTGCGGCTACGATCAGCTCCCGGGGGCGTCCGAGCACCCGTTGGACGGAGTTTTAGGCCTCGGACGGGGAAAATCGAGCATCGTTTCTCAGCTTCACGATCAGGGAGTCGTGAAGAACATCGTTGGCCATTGTCTGAATTCGCAAGGCGGGTTCCTCTTCTTCGGCGACGATGTTTATGATCCGTCGCGCGTAACGTGGACTCCCATGTCCCGCGATGATCCGTAGGTCCCCAAAATCGATCCCTTTTTAATTTTTTACTGTACGCAACGGCGTTATCTCACATTTGTAGCGTTGTTTTAAGCGCAGAAAGCACTATTCGGCCGGACCGGCGGAGCTTCGGTTTGGCGGGAGAAGCACTGGGTTTAAGAACCTCAACGTGATCTTCGATAGCGGGAGCTCTTACACGTACTTTACGTCACAGATATATCATACTCTTCTTTCTCTGGTGCGCGCTCGTGAGTTTGTAATGAAATGTTTCGATGATCTTGTTGTTGTAATGAAACGATCGTTTTGTAGATAAAGAAAGAGGTAAACGGGAAGTCGTTGAACGAGGCGACGGATGACTACACACTTCCCGTGTGCTGGAAAGGCAAGAAGCCCTTCAAAACGACGCGGGAAGTGCGAAAATACTTCAAGTCTCTCGCTTTGGTCTTCGCCAGCAGTTGGAGGAGTAAAGTTCAGTACGAGATTTCGCCCGAGTCGTATCTCATTATCTCGGTGAGCTCTCGCCCAAGCCTGTCTGAATCTTGCAGCCGTGTTTCTGGCTCGTTTTTACCACTGTGAAAGTCGTGTTTTCTTGTTCTACTTGCAGTCGAAGGGCAATGCGTGCTTGGGGATTCTTAACGGGACAGATATCGGATTGAGCAACTTCAACATGATCGGAGGTTAGGGAAAAAAAATTATACATAATTATATGTTGACGGTAAAATTGCTTATAACTCATATGTAATTACCAGAGTCGCAATAACCTGAAAATTATACATAATGCTACGTTGATGATAAAATTGCTTATAACTCTATATAATTTAAAAAAAAATACGATGAAACTTGTGCAGTTTCGAAATTATAAATAAGTATATTGTAGAAATTTCAAATTATAGGTGGATTATAAGCAAGTGTCACTCTATATTGATTGCAAAATGCATTTGAGGCGCAATGACCGTGTTTTCTTTACAGATATATCGATGCAAGACCGGTTGGTGATCTACGATAACGAGAGGCAACGCATGGGTTGGACCCCGGCGAATTGTGATCAGCCCCCGAAATTTCGAAGCGTAATGTAAAGCGTAGGTTATCGCATTTGATCCCTTTGTATATACAAATAGTTATTCGACTAAAACGGAGTGAGAACTCAGCACGCACGAAGAGTGTGTTAGGACATGGCCATGGCCATTGCTATGGTTCGATGTAATTCGCTTAGATACTTTATATCATGGATTGATAGTTCTTACTTGACTCCGAGTTGCACCAAAGTTATCTTGGTTTTGCTACGTAAAAAAATCTAAATCCAAAGTCAAATAAACACACCTTAAAACTCCAAAAAGGGCCAGAAGCCGAGTTGCTCTGAAATTCTTGTAAAACTTTTGTATCTATATTCCACAAAGAACAAAACTAGTAGAAATTGACACACATAATTTCCCGCAAGGAATCTTATTCCATCGTCTAATCCAGCCATACAATGGAAAGAATAAATCCAATACATATAAGGGTTCGAACATCGTCGCAGTGCAGCCGATCCCCACAAATTTGGGCAACGGCTAAGGTTTCTGGTTCGAACTACTGAAAAGAATCCCGACATAGAGTGTTTGATGAGGCTGTTAGAATGGTTTCTCCGTGTAAGAAAACATGTCCTGAAATATCGAGAATTCATCACCATAGGCACCTTGAAAAGCATCCAAGCAGTTGAGCTCAAAATCCAAAGAGCTTCCGTACTCGCTCCACTGGGGCTCACTCTGGACTTCCTTATCCATAAACTCCGGCGACAATCCGTGCTTGGAGCTATTCGAGTCCACGTAAAATTTTGGGAGCGAGTCAGATGCGCCGCAATGCAGGTAGCCGTTCCCCATTTGAGGCGTCTGCTGCCTTGGCGCCATCCCATTATCCGGAAACAATTCCACCTTTGGTTTTTGTTCATGGATGATGTCTGATAAGTGCAACTCCTTTCGATCGACATTGTTATACTTCTCAAGAGTTCCTTTCTTGTTGTATATCCGACACAACACCCAATCATCGAGCTGCAACATTGAACCATTCGACAAAACATTAAAACCACCTAGAGTGTGTATAATTAAAGTTGTTCGGGTAAGTATTATTTCTCAAATTTTTTCCCGTAAAAACCATCAAATGATCAAATGAAACATTAATTTTCATTTAATAGAAAATAGAGTTTGTTTATAGTTCTCAAGATGCTCTGGTCACAATAAATATATACATTATGTTATCCAATAAAACAATTAAAAACAACAAAACAAATATTTCGACAATATTTTTACATTCTCTATAACTAATAATAAAAACTCCAAAATTTTCAAAATACTAGAAAACACCCACAACTTTTAATTCAACATTTTAATCCAAAAAAGAAACGACAACATTTTTTTATAACAGCAAAAAAAAAAGAAAATCGACATAAATTTGATTGATGGAGGGATTACTATTTTAATTCTTTTTAGGTATTCAAGAAAACATTGCTTAACTTTAACCACAAATCACCATCCAAAAACAGCCACAAAAATTATTATGAATCCAAAAACAATACGATAGCAGAATTAAAGAGTACCCTCAAGTTGTTTTTCTTGGCAGCAGATCTATCCACATTAGCCAGGCGGTACTCGTGCATAATCCAATTGGTTTTGATTCCTGTTGGAGCTTTTCCAGCATAAAAAACCAATGCCTTTTTTATCCCCAGAGTCTTTGGCTTCCCCACCGCCTTATCGGCTCCGGTAGCCTTCCAGTATCCGGTTCCCGCCGCCCGGTTCGGCCGTGAACCGTTTGGATACTTCCGGTCTCTCGGAGAGAAGAAATACCACTCCTTCTCACCGTACACCGCCTTCCCTGCAATCAATCACACACACCATCAAAAACTGCTCAAATTACATCAATTTAGCTGTTAGAAATCGAAAATGACGAACGAAATTGATCAAATTAGCAAATAAAAATGGATAAACAGTAAGGACGAATGGACGAGGTTTTGGAAATGGAATCAATTATGGAAACAGAGGAATTTCTGAATTCTCAATCTTAGGCGAAATTATTAAGCACATACTCAGCTATCAGCATCATAACCAGTTGAATTTGGTAAAATTGAAGGAGATACACCGAAGAACTCCACATCAGAAAATTCCTAAGAACCCTAATTTTGTAAAAAAAATCGATAAGCGGTCGTACCAGGAAGCTCCCACGGATCGAATTTGTAGAGATCGATCTCCGCTACGACAGGAACGCCAATCGACTTCCCGACGCACTTGCGGCAGAGATAATGCACGACCAGCTCCTCGTCCGTCGGATGGAATCTGAACCCCGCCGGCAAGTTCAGCTGCTGATCACCGCCCTTCATTCACTGGATACCCAAACACCAAAATCTCCCGCCCGCACAAATACCTATAGAAAATTCGTCTAGTCGCCCGCCTTCGTTCCTCGAATTACGGTCTGAATTCAAAGTATGGGGCGCTTATATAAACCCCGAATCCCTGTGGGCCTCGCGCCGCCCGCCATGGATAAAGTTGGAATATAGGAATATGCTGAATGAAGCACACGCAGAGCATTGCCGCTATTGTTTTTTTAAAAACGTGCTTTTGATTGATGGTCACGATTTTTATTGGTGCGTCTGTAAAGTGTATATTTCGCGGGGAATTACGAGATGAGGGCCCATTAATACATTCCCGAATAATTTTTTATGGATAAATTATTTTTTTAATCTCGTATTTTACTCTTTTGTCGTTTTAAAATTTTAAATAGATTCTGTTTAAAAATAATACTGTGAGAGAAATTTATTTGTTAAAAAAGTCATTTGGTATTGAACTCGCTATGCTGACCAGTTGTTGCTTACGAGACTTTGTGGCTTACGAGTCGCGACTGACATGTCACCGTCATATAGATACTATATAGAATAATCATTTTAACAAATTTTTTTTAGTTATTTTCAAGACAGAGTCCATTTAAATATCTTATATAAATGATAAAGAAGGTTATATATATAACACTAAAAAATAGCATACCAAGATATTTATATAAAAAAAAAAAAAAAAATTCCACTTGTCGTTAATGTAGAAATAACATGTCAGTCGCGTCGGGGCATGTTAGCAATGGCGGGCTAGTATGGTAAATTCAGCACGGAATGACCATTTTAGCGAAAAAAATTTTATTATGAACTTTTTATACTTAAAAAACAGTTTATCAATTATTTATTGATAGATTCTAATTATACTAGAGTTTTTTTTTTTTTGAAAAAATCACTTTTGGTCTAAATAAAACTAAAATTTATCAATTTTTGTCTCAATATAAAAAACTCATCAATTTTAGTCATATTATAAACAATTTCAATCAATTTTGGTCTCATTATAAATAATTTCAATCAATTTTGGTCATACCTTTAAAAAACTAACGGAAATTGCTGACGTTGACATAACGAAGGTAACGTGACACTTGACCTGAAAAGTACACGACCATATATTTTAGTGTATAATTATACATGATCATGTTATTACACGGCCATATATAATTTTACACGGCTGTGGATATTTCTGTTTTAGTCTAAATTTTTATTTTTTTGTTATATATTTTTTTAAAAAAAGTTATTTTAAATTTAAAATAATTGATATAGTTAAAATGGACAAAACCAATAGTAATCATAATATAATTATTGTATTTTTCTATTTTAACTACGTCAACTATTTTTAAATTCAAAAATTTCTATTTTTAAATATAAAAATAAAATAAAATTTTAGATCGAAATAGAAAGACATACAGCCATGTAGAATTATACATGACCATATAATAACACAACTATGTATAATATACACTGAAATATACATGACTATATAACAACATGGCCGTGTATAATTCTACATGCCGTGTAACAACATGACCATGTATAATTATACACTGAAATATACATGATCACGTAACAACATGACTGTTTATAATTGTACATGGCCCGTGTAGTTTTCAGATCTGCTGCCACGTCAATTCAGTTATATCCACATCAACAATTTTCTTTAGTTTTTTCCTTTTTTAGGGTGAGATCAAAATTGATTGAAATTGTTTATAATGCGACTGAAATTGATTGAAATTGTTTATATTGAACCTAAAATTGATGAGTTTTTTATATTGAGACAAAAATTGATAACTTTTAATTATATCGAGACCAAATTTTTTTTTTTTTTTTTACTTTGAAATTTTTTGGTTTAGTTTTAGTATTAAAAATAATGTATAATAGAAATATTTTATAAAAATAAATAAAAATAGTAAAAAATTAGGATTTAGAATATAAAGAAACATACTCAATGTTATTAGTATTATTATTTTTCGAATGATAACCTCCTAAAATAAAAATGATTACTCCCTCAGCCACTTTTACTGTACTGTAAATACGTACTGTTATGAAATTAATTCCAGCCTTGGGTGACAACCTGCAATGGCTTTTCGTGGGAGACTACGTTCGTGCAAGTTGAATTAGTTGACCGCCGCCAAAGAACTCACGTTGAATAACAAATCACAGCCTGCCACGTGCAACGATGATGACATCGCTCCCGTCACTTCCTGCCACTTCGGCAGCCAAATTCGGCCGTAAATTTTGTTTGAACTAAACACTTTTTTGAAAAAATATTCAATAAACAACACTCCCTTTGTTCCATATATATAGTTTTAATTGGATTGGATAAGAAGAATATTAATAATATTAATAGTTAGTAAAAAGTATGAATTAAAGATTTTTTTGTTTTTGTGAATATATTAGTGCAAAGAAATGGTAGCAATTGTGTAATAAAAATAAAAAAGTAAAGGTAATTTTACGATGATATGATTATTTATGGAATTAAAACTATTATTTTGGAACTGACAAGATTATTGTATTGGAACGGAGGAAGTATTAAAACTATAATATATATAAATATATATTTTATGTATTTATAAAATTTTAATATAAAATATTATTTTAATTTTATTAATACGATTTTGTATAGTAAAATCGAGATTTCAATTGAACCTCAGTTCCTGACCCAACAAAGCCCAAATCACTTGTAAATATCTTTTTTCGGCCCAAAAATATGTGGAGGCCCACGGCCCAACACCGCATGCATTAATGCTATGCTTACATCAAATCGAACATGTGGCAGCTTCTGCTCGTCGGACTTCAAACAAACTCTCTACGCCATGCCATGGCTCGTCACCTCGTTCTCATCGACGACGACGCCACTGATATCATCCAAAACCCTCGTTCATCGTCCCAACGAATTCAATTTCTATTTCGAGAGAAGAAGAACAGAAACGAAAGAGAAAGAAAGAAGAAAATGGCCACAAACTCATCTGAGGCCGCCGCTTCATCCCAAGCGGTCGCCGGTCCGTCCCGCGCCGCTTCGTCAGGTCATGCGTCGGCGCCGCTTGACAGCTCATTGGGCTGTGCTCCGTCGCCCGCGGCCGTTGAGAACGAAAGGTCGAACGAAGACCTGATTGTTGATCTCAGGGACAGCGGCCATCGTGAAAATGCGCTAGCAGCTCTGGCGATGGTATATATAAAATCATCCTTGAGGATCTGTATTTTTGTTGCTTTTATACTCTTAGTATCGCTGGCTGAGTCTGTGTGTTCGCATTGTGTTATTGACTTGGATTTATCTTTGCCAATTAGGGCATAATTATTAGCAATTGATTAAAAATCTGCAAGCTCGCATACGTGTAAGATTTGGCTATTTCTTAATTCGGAAGTACTTTGAAACAAAATTAGTGTAGTCATTAATTTAGCTTCTTGAAAACTGAGAACTACTAATGTGGTACTAAATAGTAAATACAATGATCCAACCAAGAATATGTGTATAAAACAGTATTTATTTAGCTTCCTTAAAGTTGAGAGCTGCGCCGAGCCGTAAATGAATTGCCATTGTTAAGTTCTTTCAAACAAATATTCTATTATGTAAGGCAATTTGTTTTCGCGTTTGGTTAATACTTTTTTATATGATGCACGCATGTATTCATTCAATGAATAACAGACTATATTTTGTGTAGACACTCAAGTTTATTGGTCTCTATTACCCGTTAAATTTCTTTTCCCGTTCCAACAGAGAGCTCAAGGATCCCTAGATTTGGCTCGGCTGGTATGGTTTTCGTTCGGTACAATAGCCATATTGTTGCAGGTATTGAGGTTTATGTGTTCTCTTTTTTTGTGCTAGGTTCTTCATATTCTCTATATTATCGGCATTTTTTTACTTAAAAACATCAAATATTTTTCAATGCTTTTGTTATGTTGCCCATGGCTCATGCCTTTTGTTGACTGCCTGTAGGAGGTGCTCTCGGTGTACCCATTTTTGTCTCCTCCTTCCCTAACCCCAGAACAATCTAATAGACTGTGCAATGTTCTTACAATTCTTGAGGTTTGATGCATTTCCTTTGCTAATGTAAAGTGTTTGTGTTGCCGATTCATTTCTCCAAACTTGTACCCATTATTTCTTCTATTTTTTGCCTTTGCTGCAGTGTGTTGCTGCTGACCAAGACACTCGAATTTTGTTTGTTAGAGGTACTTTATTTTTTTCATCTGAGAGAGTGCAGTTCTGATGTAAGAGAATTAGGTTTCCCATCACATGCTTTTTGGTTAAGGTTTGTTCTCATGGGTAAAAACTTTCAAATTTACTGATTTTATTCCTACTTTTTCAGCTTACATTCATTTTTATTTGGTTACACTTCTCAACCAAATTGGTGAATTGAGGTGTTTTGAGCCCATAAGGCTCTCTTCGTTGCGAGTGTTCAATGCCCTTCTGCAGGTATTATTTGTTCATGTTCAGAATTAGCAGCATACACATGTTTTATTTATTTATTTATTATTTTCTCTTTCATTCTGGTGTACGTGAACATGCAAGTGGTATTAAGGATGATTTTATATAGATATGTGTAGAAGTTATAATGCCATTATACCATAGTTTCTGAACCTTCTGTTCCCGTTTCCAAATGATTTTTTGTCTAGTTTTTAAATCGGAGTGAACTTGGTATTCCTGCTAACGTTTCCCTCCCCTCCTGTTTTGAGTACACTTGCATGTGTTTTGACTGCAGAGTTTCTTGTAAGCTCCTGCTGAAACCCTTTTGAGACAAATATTGTTTCATTAATTCGACGACTTTGGAAAAAAGTAGTAATGAGTGCTTTTTTTTTTCCTCCCTTCTGCTTTCCATTCTTCTTTCACGTGCATCCTCTTTATCCCTGCCTGAGTGTAAGATTGTTACGAGATTAAACTGTTTTCCTAGTAATTCTTCTCTTGTCACCCACTTTTCTGTTTTCTAGTAAGGATGAATCATTACCTGCTGTGGTATTTATACGTGGTAAGATATATATATGATTTAGACATCTTAGTAATGAATATGTCCTTGCTCTTGTTTGCAGGTCCCAGACGCTAGGGTGATTGATTTGCTTCTCGAATCAGAAGTAATCCCTCCCTGCCTTTGTGCTATGCAGAGAGGAAATGAATCTTCAAGAAAAGTAAGTTCCTTCAAAACTTATCTGATCATTTGTACAGATTAGGAGCAGGTCTCGTTGAGTACCAATCATTTAGCTGATGGCTGTTCCCGATTCCTGTGATGCAAAATTGACTCATGCGCATCGCGTGCGTTGAGCCATATTCTACATTTTTCTTTCTTCATTTTTCTGTAGACATTATTATAAGGATTCTAAGATTTTTGATGCATTGAAATTTTTTAAGTGATTTGTATAATTGAATAATTTACCCTTCCTTTTATTTCCTTGATTGAGTAATTTGTCCCTTCATAATTTTCATTTTAACCGCAGAACAAAATTTATATTCTTTCCTAGCGATTGAAGCTATAGATAAAATTCTCTGCAACCCCTGTTTTTCAATGCTTTATACTTTTCATATAATATTTGACAACTTTGTTCAGAGAAATATCATTTAAGATTCTTGTTTCATCTTCTTGTTCTGTTTGAACATATGCTCGTGGCAGGTAGCAACATTAATTTTGAAAAGGCTTTTGCTTGATAATATGGTGCTACGACATGTGTATTGTAAGCTGGACCGGTGTTTTCCTGTGTGGAAAGCACTCGAAAGTGTGGTTGCTTCACTTCTTCAGCGGCCCTTGGCTCCACTTCTAAGAGATGTCATCACTTGCTACCTTCGTCTCTTGGAGGATGAAAGGTTTGTTATATTGTGAATAGCATCAATATCTTTTTTTCTTTTTCCTTTTTTTTTTTTTTTTTTCCCAATCATTGTTCTCTTTTCTTATTTTCAATTCATTTATTAAGTTTCCAATTTTACTGCAGTTGTCTAGCACTGCTGCAGTTTCTTCCAAAAAGCCTTATTGATGGCACGTTCGACCGGTGTGTTGATGTAAGTACTTTGACTATAAATTCGAATGCCTTTACATTTTCTTTATCTTTATTGTTGATTAGTTCAGCAAGGATTATTACTGCATCATTCATGGTGCAGTGTGGTGATTATTTTCCTAATGTCAATTTTTTTAGGATGCTGAAACAAGAATATTGCTGCAACAGCTGTTGGACCTCATTCAAGTACCTCCAATAGCACAAAAAGGTGGGGGGCATCAATGACATGTTAATACAAAGCATCAGCTTTTTTTTTTTTTTTTTTTTTTTTTTCACACAGTCTGTTCATATCAACAGTTATAAATGTCTATAATTATATTGTTTTGCTACTTATACTGGAATCACTATAGGAATCAATACTGGTAAGTTAATAGCATTCTTTCATTGATTTATTAGAATGGTGTGTCTCCGTTAGTTGATGGTTCAAAAAAATGATCAGCTTTGATACCTGAAAGCTTGTATCTCAATTGTAAACATGACTGGTTATGTGGTGACATATATCTTTATTTTCTTATTTATTTATGCATTTGCGTGCTTAAGGTAATATACTTTCTCTGTCCAGCAAATTTATGTAAGTTTGTTTAGACACGGAGACTAAAATATAATTATATTTTAATGTTTAAGTGGGATAGATAGAAAGTAAATTGGAGTATTATGGAAAATTTATTAAAGAAGATGGGATTAAGAGAAAAAATAGTGACAAATTGATTATTATTTGTTAAAGTGGGGATAAAAAATTTGTTGCTAGATAAAGTTTTTTACTATAAAAAGAATAGTGGCATAATTTTAGCCGATGGAGGGAGTAATTGATTATTGCAAGAGAAAAATGGGGTATGAACGCAATAAAAGTTTCCACACTCCAAGAAATTTTCTAATCCCCAACATATTTTTCATGGTTCCATTTTATTGTTTTAAAGATGCTTTTTGTCATTATTAATTAATAATTGCAAGCAAGTAAACTTGAGATGCATGACATGTATTCTGTGTACACAAAAAGATTTCCGAATTCTGTCACCGCATCAAATTGTTGAGTCAACTGGCTTTTGTTTGGTCTCATTAGCTTTAGTGGAGATAGAGATTGCTGCATTTTAGTTTAAATTTATGATTGCATATGACACACATCCAGATCATTATATAAATTTATTGTTTGTCTTCATTAAGTAATTGTTGCAATCAAATAAACTCTACATGCATGACATTTACTTTTAAGGTGTAAAATGAAATCTTGCTGCTTGTTCTTATGTTCATAAACAATTTTCATCTTATGTAATTGCATAAAATTGTTGAGTTTAATTGACAGGTAATCTTTTTAATCATGTCTTGTTTTGCTTCATTAAAACATGTTTATATTTTTCTTAATTAGGGAAAGATTGATGCATTTTATTTCAATTTATTGGTGTATATCTTTACGATGTTGGGATTTGACTTTGATTGAACTGATGTTCAAATAATTGGAAACATATTTGATTACAGATTCTAATCTGAGTTTCGCATCCATAATCTTTGATTAGTGTAGAGTCAGTGCTGTAATTGTTTCATTGTTTATTCCTTGCTTTCACAGTATTTCATTCCCTTCATTTATTTGATGCAAAAACAGAAGATCTCAGCATACTACTGATCCTCTCAAGAAATAGAACTTTTGTTTCAATTGTGTGCTAAGTCACCATGGCATACAATGTTAATGTGATGACGATATGCATGTATATTGAGAATAATAATCCTAAGATGATTGCTTGCATAAAGGTTTAACGTCTTGCACACATAAAAGTATTACAAGTTCGTGAGGTATAAAAGACAGTAAGAGCTTTTGGTGGTTTATAATATATTTAATAGTTTTTTTTTTTTAATATATATATAGCGCGATGAAACTAGTTTTATGTTGCATTATATATAAGTGTTTATATGGTATATATATATATAGTACGTCCATGTTAATAGTGGTAGGAAATAAGCAACAAAGTGTGAATATTCAATGATTTCGTGTTATTGTTCGACACAAAATTTTTACTTTTCTAGAAGTTCTAATACTGCTGTAAACTTTTGAAAGCATGGAAATGGTTGGGACCAGATGGGATCAAACATAGCTGTTATGTGTTCTTTACCAACTTATTCTAAATAACTCCTATATTATTTATCTAGGGTACATGATGCATTTCTTGATATCACTTAATGGATTTGCAGCTGGACTAATGTTAAACTTTGATAACATTTATGTAGATCATCTAAACAATTCAACAAGATATTTTCACCGTCTCAATGAGCGCTGTTCCACAGTTGATACTGAGTGGTTCAAGGTACACTAATGAATGTGCTGACTTGGTCTATTTATTTCTGAATACAAGGAATCACATCTCCTTTTCATATATAAGTAACATTTAGAGTATGCCACATGTCTGCTTTGATAAATATGCATTTTCTTTATTCTTATCCCTGTTGTATTCTTGAAATCTTTCCTTTAATATATTTTGACCTATCGCTGATTGTTATTGTGGGGTTCTGTCATTCAGTCTAAACCCAGAGATTCCATATCAATTCAGTTTGAGTCGAGCAGAGAAAATACTCCTTATATATGCTAATCATCCTGTCTTGTTATTATACATTTTGAAGGCTATGACTATAATCCTACTCCAGATATCGAAGTAAAGATCTTTTACAGATAGATGTCACTCGATTGATAAAAAATTCTATATATATATATATTAAATATAAATTATAACATTTTGTCATCATTTGTCCGTATTTGTTGAACATGTTGGCCGCGATTAGTCATTTTTGAGAAGTCAACTATATGCTCCAAGTGATTGTAATATTTATAATTGCCTGTCTTTCTCCTTGTATCAGCTTGTCGTACAATTGAGTAAGCAAGCATTACCATAATGAATAAACCAGTTTGTTGGTTGTGGTTGCAGTATAAGAATTTATCTAGCTGTATTTGGTATTAGCGAAACATGCCAGTTACTCAACCTTCTTTGTAATTTATATAGAATTGCTCTGATTATTTAATTTTTTTTCCCCAAGAAACAGCAATTTTGAATTCTGTGGCTGAGGTTGAAGGAATTAATAGATTAATATAAATATAGAATGACGCGTGTTCTTTTAAAACAGAGCATCAACTATTTGTTAGAAGTGTATTACAAAAAGGAAGCATTCTGGAATTTCTCTATGATTGCTACGATCTAAAAATTTGCTTAACCAATCTACCCTAATTTGTTTTTGCTCTTTCTTAGTTTTCTCCGGCCATACATTATAGGATGGATGCGTATTTTGTTTTAATTTTTTAGCATTTAATGTTACCATTTTCTAATTATCCCATTGTCTGCAAGACTGCAACAATAGTCATTCTGGAATTTCTCCATGATTGCATTTGTTGATATTGATCTAATTCAGCAGTTCTCAAATTTGTGGTCATTTATATCTTTTTCGTATCAACAAAAGGTTGTCCTGTTTCGCAGGTTTCAGTGGTGGATGTCACTTGGAATTTTACAGTCACATTAAAAGGGCTTATCCTTCTAATCTTCTCATCTTGGTTAACTCCAGTAAGTGCTCTTTTGGATTCAGTATCAAATTGAACTTTGAATTCATTGGTGACTTAATCGTAAAAAATTGCATTTCTCTTTTGATTTTTGCTATCGATAAGCCTAAATTTGATTGTCTTCTTTCTGTAGATTGAATTTATAGTTGTATTTTCGTGGCTTTTGTCGCAATTTAGTGTAGTTGAGCTTTCATTAGCCATGTGTTTCGTAGGAAGTTATTGTTTAAGTACTGTTACTTGGTATTATAGGTTTTGATCTCCATCTTGATCCTGTGTCGAATTCACTTTGCATCAACTTCTTAATAATACTTAATCTCTTCCCACCCAATTGTTAGGTCTATAGCCTTATTGCCAACCTTTAACGACATTACTTTAAAATTCACAGTTTGCTCACTCATTTCATCTGCCCGCTACCTTCTATGTTCTTTTGGCAGCTTATATGTTGGCAGACATACATAGAATGTGCGTGTGTGGAGTGCTTATAAACATGTGTGCTTGTTTATTAAAAAGTGTACAAGTTAATTTTGTTATCGGATCCATCCTGACCCATTGTCCTCTCTATTTAATGTTATCCTGACACAAATTGGACATCTGGCAGCTTCTGCTCGTCGTAGTTCAAGCGCATTGCAATGGTTTTTTTTCTCTCGTAGCCACCAACAGAACTACAAATTCCTGCCTAGCAACAGAAAAATTAAACCAATTTTTATTTTGAGAAGAGAAATGAAAGAAAGAAGAAAATGGCAACAAACTCATCTGACGCTGCTGCTGCATCCCTAGTGGTCACCGGTCCACCCCGCGGCATTTTGTCAGGTCAATTCATTGCCGTTTTCTTCTGAAATTTCGTGACGCTGACAGCTCATTGCCCCCTGCTTCCTCTCCCCTTGCTGTTGAGAATGAGCAAAAAACCTGATTGTTGATATCAGGGACAGCGAAAATGCCCTTGTTCTGGCTATGGTAAATATATGAATTTATCCTTCCTTAATATCTGTATTTTAGACTGTAAATATTGTTGGCTAAGTGAATGTTATGTGGGCAAAAATCCTCAGTACAAAATGGGTGAAACTTAGTCCCATACAAAGTATGTAGTGTGTATGTATAAAGTGAACAGTTTGTATAAAATAGAACTTATTTCTTTCTTTGGAAGCCTTCCAGTGAATGCTTAATTAATAGTATAACCATATCTTGAATGCTTGACAAATGAGTCCAATCAAATATCCATTTGCATCCAAATTATTCAAGAAAATATTCTCTCTTGATTACTCGAGCTTAGAGAGCAGAGTAAACCGATCTTGAAGGGTTAGCGGTTTGAATCTAAGTTCAGCCTACACTAGGAATATATATTCATATTCTTACACAATTATTATGAAAGGAATTCTAAATTATGAGAGTTTCTAAATGGTACAAGTGGGCATAATGTCTTATTTTACATATGCAAACAAATATAGTAAATTCATATGATTTTATTATCATCACTGTAAATAATGAACAAAAATAAGCAATTATCTTACTACTTACTTACTAGTCAAACTTTTCCCGGCCCAACATTCAAATCCATATCCACCGGTTGTACTACTAATGGGTCATGAGCAGGCCCAAGCTAACAATAAAACAATATAATATTGTGAACAAACAAGAAAAAGTTAAAACTCGTATTGAACTCTGAATGAAAACCAAAACAAAAAGTGAAAGACACGTCCAATGTTTATGTTATTTATATCAGGATCAGTTGACTAAATTGATCTCTTGATGGCGATGTGTATGTTCGCGCCGCATACCATCTTTTACAGAGTCAACAGCCATGGCGTAGCTCTCAATCACCCCCCTCAGCAATGGTAACCTCTGCTACCGAGACTGTTGACGAATTTTAGCAGTGTGAAATCGAAAGCTCATTCAACTTTGGCTGCTGCTCATTAATAGTAAGAATTTTCTGCTTAGAGTAGTGGTTGATCATTGAAGCCTACGTCTCTCTGTATATGCTGTTGACCTTATTTACTCCCATGCTTGTTCATCGTTGCCAATGAGTCGATTCCATCCCAATCGTGAAAGAAACCTAATATTGGATAAGAAGAGAAAAAAAGCCCTAGATATTGGCGAATTTTTGAATTTCCTTGGGGTTATGTGTTGGATCTGTTGATTTTTTAATTTTGAAGCTGTTTCTTTCAATCCGGGAAGATGGAGGAGATTGACTCGGCAGAGAAGCGACTCAATGAGCTCGGATACAAGCAGGAGCTCAGACGAGAAATGGTTAGTTAACAAATCCCCAAATACTTCTCCTAACTCACTGTTTCATCAGAAATGGCACTGGCAGAAGAAGCTTGTTAATTTGTCCGATTGTGACACAGACCTTGTTTAAGACGGTGGCGATTTCATTTTCGACAATGACGCTCTTCACCGGGATCACTCCCCTGTACGGCTCGAGCTTGCTCTATGCCGGCCCTGCTGCTCTCGTTTGGGGCTGGGTTATCGTCTCCTTCTTCACCTGGTTTGTGGGACTCGCCATGGCCGAAATCTGCTCTTCCTTCCCGGTATATATATATATATATGTATATATTTCAACAGTTTGATTATATAATGCTTCGTTCAAATAAATCAGTGCAGTGTATTGTGGTGTAGCTTTAATTTTGTGAATTTCATATGTAGGGGAAGAATTTGCATATGGTTGAATTGTGATTGTTGTGAGTCGGATGTTTTGTATTTATTGTGTGAAAATATTTAGTATTAGAAAATTGAAAAATTACATTATAATAAGAGACCTATATAAATAATCTAATCTATTTATAAGATCAAATTTGAGTATAAGAATATTTAAAATATGTCAACATGTTCAATGGATATAGACAACGGGGTCGCTGTACTTTTGGGCGGCGCATTTAGCCGGGCCGAGATGGGGGCCGTTTGCGTCTTGGTGCTGCGCTTGGCTGGAGACGATAGGACTGGTCGCCGGCATTGGGACGCAGGTGCTTACACATTGTTGAAAACACTTTAATTTTCATTGAATTCGAATTTCCGGAATTGAATTGACTGAAAAATCATCTGGATTCTCCGGCATTAGGCCTATGCAGGATCGCAGACGTTGCAGAGCATCATTCTGCTCTGCACCGGCACCAACAAAGGCGGAGGATATTTTGCGCCGAGATGGCTGTTCTTATGCATGTACGCGGGTCTCACCGTCGTGTGGGCAGTTCTAAACACCTTCGCATTAGAAGTCATCGCGTTCATCGACATAATTTCGATATGGTGGCAGGTAATCTCTTGAAAAATTTGTCTTCGCTGTGTTCAGGGCAGGGTAATCGCATTCGTTTTGTTTGTTCATCGAGTAGGTGATCGGGGGCATGGTGCTCGTCATCTTGCTTCCTCTAGTGTCCCTTACGACGCAGCCTGCTTCTTACGTTTTTGCTTCATTTGAAATGGCGCCGGAGTCGACAGGGATATCGAGCAAAGCGTATGCAGCTGTGCTCGCTCTTCTCGTCAGCCAATATTCTCTTTATGGATACGACGCTGCTGCGCATTTGACTGAGGAAACGAAAGGCGCTGATAAGAATGGCCCGATTGCGATTCTTTCCAGCATTGCGATCATTTCCGTGTTCGGATGGGCGTACATTTTGGCGCTTACTTTCAGCATTCAAGTACTGAGTTCTTATGAAAACACGAACATTCAAATATAAATCTCAGAGTTCTTTTAGAAGAATTCAAAAAAGTTCACCATTGCTGCTTTCTTCTTGCAGGATCCTGCGTATTTGTTCGACAAATCCAACGAAACGGCAGGGGCATTTGTGCCTGCACAGATACTCTACGACGCGTTCCACGGTCGATATCACAATTCCACCGGCGCGATAATATTGCTGTTTATCATCTGGGGTTCTTTCTTCTTCGGCGGGCTCTCCATCACCACCAGCGCAGCTCGAGTGGTAATTTTAGCGCGCTTCTTTCGATGGCTACAAATATACATTGTATCGTATGACAAAAATAGGCACAATCCGAAAATTCGATCCGAATCCTACACAAAAATTTCGTTCTTGGGCGTAAAGAAAAATAGGCCCGGCATGCCAATAAACTGGGCTGCGTCCGGGCTCATGAAGGTCAGACCGTGTCTAGTTTGACCCAAATTTTAAAAATTAATATATAATATATTTATATATATATTAACTAATAAAATAGTAACAAAAATTTAGAATATAGCTAGATAGTAAAACTCTTAACAAAAGTTTACACATGGTAAAGCTTTTAAGTTATTTAGATTGATTATTGATTATTATATAATTTAAAATAAAAATAAAAAAATATAATGGATTGGCACTGGCTTGGTTTCAAACCGGGATGTGCTCGGGTCTAACTGCTCAGGCCCGGCCCAAATTGCCATCGCTATCAATTTTGTGGGTTATAATATGTAAATTAATGATGTATATTTCTACCAGCTTCTCTTCAAGCCCAGTTCAAAACTGGCCAGGCCCAAATTGCCACCTCTAGCTATATAATATGTAAATTAATGATGCATATCTCTACAAGTTTAAACTTTTAGTTGAGAGGATCATTTAATAAATTTACTATATTTTTCCAGGTTTATGCATTGTCGAGAGACAAAGGAATACCGTTTTCGTCGGTGTGGAGGCAAATCCACCCGAAGCACAAGGTGCCTTCGAACGCCGTTTGGCTGTGCGCGGCGATCTGCATTGTTATGGGGCTCCCGATCCTGAAGGTTAACGTCGTTTTCACTGCCATAACGTCCATATGCACGATCGGATGGGTTGGAGGCTACGCCGTCCCGATATTTGCCCGGCTTGTAATGGCCGAGGAGAATTTCAATGCCGGGCCATTCTACTTGGGCAGAGCCCGACGGCCAGTATGTTTCGTGGCCTTTATGTGGATTTGTTACACGTGCTCGGTATTTCTCCTCCCGACGTTCTACCCCATCAGCTGGGATACGTTCAACTATGCCCCGGTGGCGTTGGGCGTCGGGTTGGGGTTGATAATGCTTTGGTGGATCATCGATGCTCGGAAATGGTTCAAAGGCCCCGTTAGGAACATCGACGATCCTAACGGGAAGGTTTGAGCAAAAGGAAAAATTAATTTTACATTTTGACCTCTTTGTTAGTGCGATGAAGATGCTAAAAAAATTAGTTTGTCGAAATGGATTCTCCGACCTACTTAAGAAAATGTTTTGGATTTGGTCTTGTAAATAGGAAATCAATCGCGTAAATTCTCCCTCTATTCGGAAAATTAAGTAGATTTGGTTGGACACTAAAGTTAGAAAGATGATATTTTAATGTTAAAGGGGAGTAGATAAAAAGTTTAAGCAGAAGAATATTATACTCCGTCCCAGAAGACTTGTCTTGTTTTTCCATTTCCGTCTGTTCCAAAACAATTATCTTGTTTTCTTATTTAGTAATAAGAGGTATCTACTTTATAACAAAATTATTCTTACTTTTTCAAACTACCACGGATTAATACTCTAATCTACTCATTAAAATACATTTTATCTTTTACATTCTATTTATACTCACTTTCAATTAAATATTATTATTTTTTAATTATCGTGCCAACGCCCAATAAGACGTCTCTTCGGGAACGGAGGGAGTATAAAATTTATTAAAAAATTGATAAAAAAATAATAGACTAACAAAAAAAAAAAATTATTTGTTAAAATACTGATAATAAAATTGTAAGTGAATAAATTTATTTATTATTTAAATAGATCATACATAAGTTTAAAAAATAAATATGATGCGAGAGGCACAATGCAAGGACTTTCATAAACTCATCATTCTAAAGTTTACAGACAAAACATGCAATTTTTTTTTTAAAAAAATTGAAGTCGCGTAAGAGATGACTCGGCAGTGAAAAAGATGACTCGGCAGTGAAAGGTCAATTCGTGACCGTAAGACAAGAAAAAAAGAAATATAATAGAAAGAATATAAAGTTATTTATATTAAATTTATATTTTATTATTATTTTTTTTTTGTTTTGAGGTTTTGAGGTTTATTTTGAACTCCACTATTGTAGGTCTTCGACTTCTCTGGTTAGACTGTTCAAATGGATTCCTATATCTTTCGTTTTGGGCCAGTCTTCTTCTTGATATTTTAAGATGAAGCTTACTATTTGGGTCCTAGCTTAGGTAATATTTTCATTCAAAATATCATTGCAAACAATTATTTCATTTAAAAATAAATTAAAAACTAATTAACAAAATAACAACAACAATAATGATAAACACAAAGTAAAAACAAAAAAAAAATTACAAGTGAATGATCCCTACATTTCATTCAAATATTTAATATACATTTTAATTGCATTGTTATTCTATTAAATCTTTTGTTAAGATTCATACAAAATAATTAATTTATGATATTTATTTGTATTTTTTAGTCATATTTGCAAATAATGGAATTGGGCCGAGGAATAAATGTTTTTCCAACTGCCACAAGGAAGTTCTCTATTTCTATATAAAGGATTCCACTTGTACAATGAATAGCAACCAAAGGTTGTGTTTTTTGTGGGGTTTTCTTTTTCTTAAAAAAAATATAACATCGTATCAACTTCAATTTATATCACATCAAATAATTATTCAAATTTAATTTTTTATTATTAAAAGATTCAAACAAAAAATTGAAACCCACAAATATTAATTATAAAGTCATTGGTGTGAGAATGAACTTATAATTATAAAGTCATTGCTTCCATCTGTTAAGGGCCTTAAGGCCCAACAACAAGCATAATTCTAGCAAAAATAATATGCAACTGTCCATTGGTCTAATGAATGAACTTATAATTGTAGAGTCATTGCTTCAAAACTCTTACCGATGTTTTTTGGGTCGGGTCTCTTGTATACAAGGTCGGTCCTAGGCTAGGGCGAAAAGTACGCTTGTTCAAGCCCAATATAAATTTATATATTTATGTTATATAATTATTTGGTTGTAATTCGAAATTGACTGTTGATTTGAATTATTATTTAAATAATATGGTATTTTGATACGATATTTTATAAGAACAAATAGTTAATCATATAAAAAACTGTTCAAAATAAGTATACTAATTTTGACTTGAAATTATAAAAGAATAAATTTTGAACTCAAACACCCATGCCTTTAAATTAAAATTTGATTTATTTTTTTAAAAAATATTTTTTTAGAATTGAAAAAAAATATTAGACAAAATTAAAATCAATAGTATTATTGATATTTTGCATCTAAAAATGCTAGAAATTAAAGCTATTTTATTTAATTATTTATATTTTATTATAGGTAACAAAAGATATATCATTTATATATATATATATCTTTAGTAAACCCTTATTTCTTATTTTAATTTTTTTAGACAAAATTAATATTAATATTAATATTTTTTTTATCTAAAAATGTTAGAAAAATTATTTTATTTAATTATTTATATTTTATTATAGGTAAAAAATACACTCGCCATTTCGATATAACTGACACATTTCGTTGGAGACACGATATTTAAGAAAATAATATATAATTAGTTAATAATAGTGAGTTAGGATATTATTTTATTATGTAATTAATAATATTGATAGTTTTACAATAAATTTAATATATATGATTAAAAAAAAATTATAATATGTATTTAAATATTTTAAAATTTATATCTCAATAAAAAATATATGCAATGTGGATAATACTTTTATTTATTTACAAATAATATAAATAAATTTTGTAAAAGATGTGGAGTTTTAAATATAGGTAATAATATTTTTTTTTGTGGAAAGATATAAATAAAGTGGTTTTGAGTGGTTGTATATGATGTATGATGTTATATGTTATGCAATTAATTAAGAGCATTTAGAAGATTTCCCGAGATTTATACAATTCACCAAATTTGTTGCCTCTAAAAATATCAAATTAAATGCTTATTTTTTATATTATACTAAAATTAATTTTATATTCAGAATATCATATCAACAACTATTTATTTCATATCACAATTTCAATTCAAAATTTTTACTCTTCAAATCCTAAATTAAAATCCAAACTCCCGGACAAACACACCCTAAGTTGTTTAAATACTCCCTCCGTCCACAAACTAATATCCTATTTTCCTATTTGGGACGTCCAACAACTATTGTCCTATTTACTTTTTAAAACACAAATTTTACATTTTTACACTCCATTCATTTATTACTTTTAATCTCTACCATACACTTAAGGACAAATTTGTCAATTTATAATAAAAAGACAATCACGTAAAAAACCGTGCAAATATACTTTAGGACAATAGAAATTGGACGGAGAAAATACTTGTTAAGTACGTTTTAATTTAATAAATTTTACGAAAAATAGAAAGATTTCAATGATGAGATATACGAAAATAGAAATGATGTCAATTATGATAAAATAGAGTAATATTATATATATACTATTTAGGGGCCTTTATTTTTATTTTTTAAGATTTTTTGTGCATTAAAAAGAAAATACTAGATAAAATTAATATTAATACTATTATTAATTTTTTTTTCATGAAAAATACAAGATTTTTTATTTTAAAATTATTTATATCTTATTATAGGTAAACAAATATTATTTATATAAAGGCCCTGACTCAAAACTGGCCTGCTCATATAGAGTTTGAAATTTCTCAAAATACCCCTAAAACATATATGTATGAATATAATTAGCATTGTGTAAAATATTGTGTAAGTTTTGTATTCTTTTGGTGAATCAACAAGAATTGTAGGATAAAGTTGATCATATCCATTCATTGGGTATATGAAGGTCTAGAATTAAATGTAAGTCATTTGTATATTCATTCAACTTATTTATATATATATATATATATATAACAATAGAGAGTTAAACAAATAAAATTTTTTACCATCAAATTAAATCACATATTATTTATTGTTATTATTTCTTGAGTTGTTATATATACATATATTAAGATAATAAAATTTAAATATTAATTTTAATAAATTGAACGGCCTCATGATTTTTCATGGGCCCGAGCATAGTTCGATGCATTTGTGTGCGGGATCAGACTTTGAGGTCCAAATACGATTTTTTCGTGCCGAGTACGACTTGGGTTTTTGAATCGTACTTATTTTTGCCGGATCTAACGCTCACACACCCACTCACACATCTCCGTGGATTCAAACCCCTAATTCAACAAATCCCTCCACAGTTTCATTGAACATGTTTAGAAAATAAAAAAATGGTATAACATCATCGAAATAAAAAGTATATTGGGTTAAATAAAATGTCGGAGGAGATATTCTAATTTCGAAAATACTTGAATAGTGATAATAAAATGAGTACTTTGTTGATGCACATCATCGAAAATATGTGGTCTATAATTTTCATAAATTGTAGTACACGACTCCAAACAAATGTGGACGAAAACAAAGAAACTAGATATGAAATAAAAATCACCGACCCTAAAGCATAGTCTCAACTCAACTCCTTCAGCACAATATATATATATATATATTGTTGGAGCAACTACAAACACGCGCAACTTCTTTTAGTACAACAACTAGCTTTTCACTGGGACGACACCTTACTGATTACTTTCCGATGATAGTTAGAATGTTTGCTAGCATCAAAGCTAGGACTGGCCGCTGGGCGATATTCAGGCAACAGTCTCCCCGACTTGTACCTCACTCCACAAGCATTGCAAAGTGTCTTTGGCCCCATTGGACCCGCCCTCCACTGAGGAGTTTCCTCCGAATCACAATGCTTACACCTCCTCTTTTGCACGAACCCACCAGCTGAATTTTTCGCAACATTATTGATGCTCCTCTTCTTTCTCGCGACCCCTTTGCTTCTCGGCTTCTTTGTCTTCAATTCAGCGGCCGGGTGGTCCTCCTCTTTCGCCACAGGAGCATTTTCCTCTACCGGCTTCTCGACACCATCGTCATAATCGAACAAGGCCTGCTCAGAACTCAAATAAATTAAGTTATTGGTGAAATTTGGATAAAATTCAAGGTCGTCTAGATTGTCCCATGGTATGCACAGCTGGCTTTCCTGCGGCTTGTTGATGTCCTTGTCATCGTCAACAATCGTCATTTTGCCCTAAATTGATCCAAATACAGACACACAAATACACAATACATATACATATACATACATATGTTTATTTATAGAGATACACATCTCCTTTTTTGAAGAATATAAGGTAAGTGGACCACGAAATGAATGCACTTACTCGTTTCTAAAGAAAATTATAAAAGCAAAATTTGGTGGGAACAGAAGAGGTAAATTTCATAAGGCATTTTTGGATTACTTTGAGAGAGGAAGCTTCTAGAGTATGTAAGAATGTATCGACTAAATGAGGTCAGCATTGCGTTCGCGTCCAATAAGAATTGGACACGTACGACAATGCAATGACGTGGACGGTTTTGATTGGTCGAATCGCGTGGCGATTTATAAATTTAAAAGTTTAATAAAATAGGAAATAACTTTGGATTGACATGCATGAATTGCTGTAAAATGATTTTGTTACCAATGTTTTTTGAATTTATGTTTTGTAATAAAAATAATTTTTAATTTGCGAGTAAATATAATATAAATTTGACATTCAATTCAATATTTAATTTTCCATATCTACTCAATTTTAGAAAGTGCATTTTGAAAATTTATAAATTTGGTGAAGATTATAACTTTTATTAGTTTATAATCAATAATTACATTGTGATAATTGGATTGGATTATTATGTATATATTTCAAATATATTCTAAATTTATCGATGTTAAACGCGTAAGTATTTATGGTACGACATATAGAAGGTGGTTCGGCGTTGACGGGCACATAAGGAAAAATAATTATGATATTAATTTTAAAATATTATTATTTCTTAATTTAACACGTGTAATTCGAATGCATGTTAAGCAAATGCATTGTTACTTCAAAATAATAATAAAATCCCATGAATCTATTTATGTTTATGTGTTTTGGTGACTATAATTATGTATTACTTTCGTTTGGCTCTAAGGGTCTCATTTACTTTTTTGCGTGTTGATCTTTAAATATTAATTAGTATATCAAAATATAGTACAAATTAAGAAAAAAATTGCAAAAATATTTTCTTTAATGTCTTATAATACTAATAGAATGACATTTCTACAAAAAATTTATACAATTGTAAAGATATTTTTAATGTTAAATACTACAAGGTAAATGTGACCGTTAGAGGCGAAGGAAAAGAATAATATTTATTGAATATATAAAATATTAGATTCAAAATACATAAAATGTTGAATAATTTATATAATTATTCCATAATTTTTTATTTTTTTAAAAATAATATTGAATAAGTTATTAAAGATTAATATCTTTTTATGTTTTTATACATTCAACATACATTATTGTTGACAACATTAATATCCATTTTTAATATTTATGTATTTATTTGTATACTAATATATGTATAAAATATGATGATTTCAAATACGAAAAATGGAATGGAAAATCAATATGAGTCCTGACTCATGACATTAATTTGAAGGAACAAGACAATATGAAAATAATAAATTATTCTTATATTACTCCTATTTCAAAATAAATGTTAGAAAATATAATGAATATGCATATAACGACTGCGGTTCCTACGTCATAGAATAAAAATGCATATATTATTAATATAGTTTAGAAGACATTCTTTAAATTTATATTACTTCAGCTCCGAAAGGGCTCATTTTGATACTTTCTATTGTTAAGATATAAAATATTTATTTTTAATAATTATACTATATATTATAAATACTCATAAATTTATATGTATTTATATTGGAAGTAAATAATTTTTACACACAAAAATAACATGAACTATTGTCGCTGAGTGTTGATTATTAATTAATTTTATATAAAATAAATAAAATACTTTCAGTGCATATGGAGGTAGTATTATTATTTTTATATATAAAATACCATCAAATATAAATAAATAATTAGATTTACACTGAATATTGATATATTTTTATATAATCAATTATATCAACTCTATTTATTTATTTATGCTTTTAATTAATTTATACTATTCATAAGAAATAAATATCATATAGAATTTTTTTTAAAGTAAATTAAATTTTATCATCTATTCAAATGATATCCAACATTTTTATTGAAAAGTTAATTTGGTTGTATTTTTCTTTCTCGTTTTTTATTATTTGTTTACAATAATTTAATTTTTTTCTCTCCAATTATCACATTATGCACAAAAAAAACTCCAAATAAACTGTAATGTTCAAGATAAACTTTATACTTTTGGATATATGACAAATAAAATTCGAACAAATGTCCAAACTTATGTTATAACTCAAGATTTGCCTTCTCATGAGTTTTGATGAGCTAAAATGTATCTTATTGCTAGAAATCAAAAGTAGAAATAGTTTGAACTCCAAAATTGTTTTTATTTCCTGTAAAAATGTTAATTTAAACAGGCTAATATATATATATATATTTATAGAGAGAATATAATATATATTTTCTATTCTCGAAATTTATTGTCACTTTTCTTTTTAGTCTGTTAACTATATTTTATTATTAATTTTGGCAAAGTCAATAAATCAATATTTAACTATTATATTTCATTCAACAATTATTTACAATATATGTCACTACATTTATTACTCTATCACTTCATTTTCTTTAATTTCTAATTAAATTGACAAAATACTCTCAATTACTTTTTTTACTTTGATTACTTTTCAATTAAATATTTATTTTTCTTAATTTCACGTCTAATTCAATATTCAAAATTACCCAAGAATGAGTATATTAAATAAAAACCATAACTGGCATAAACCTAACTAAAAGGACCAAGCAAAGTACAACGGTGATGTGAAAAAAAGCCTCAATTCATGGTTTAAACCTGACGCTGTCGAAGTTTTACTTTAGTAAGAAGAGATAAAGTACATAATACCTCTTAATTGTCGACAATATATTTTGTTAAAAAAATAGAAACAAAGAAATACTTGAGTTTGGACGAAGCTTTGATTACACGAGGCAACATCGTTATTTTTGCCTCGTAATTTTACTCATTGTACATATGTTTTATTTTGCCGCAGGTTGAATCTCGACCGCATTCCATTGATTTTAATTTTGATATTATTCTTTTCAAATCTACATACGAAAACTCCTCTAGAACTTCTTTAATTATTAAATTTTTTGTTTAACAAGTGTACTCGATTTTAATATATCAATGAAGAATATATTATTAGCTATTTCGATGTTATCTATATAAATTTATAAAAAAAAATATGATATCATGGGCCCATCAATCGTTATATAATAATTGCCCATTAATCGACTCACAATATAAATTTCATTTTCTTCTCAATTCTCGATCGAAATTTATTCTGCATTTTAATATTAATTCGAGTTCTTCAAATCTAGAGCATGGCTGACGAACGTAAATATTGTTTACATAGGAGTGTACGTCAGGAATTAACAACCTTCTTCAGCACGTTGTTTTGGCTGTGATTTAAAATGAAATGTTATTTTTAGTTTTAGATGGTACAAAATACTACTTGTTTTGTCATTTAAATTTATATTTATTTTACTTTTTAGATTGTTTTACAAAATATTTATATTTTATTTTTTAGTGAAAAAATATACTCCTTTCTTACTTAGAGACACAATTCTAGATAGTATAAATTAGTAACTTATTAATATATTTTATGTTTTGTTATATGACCCTTTTATATTTGAAATGAAATTTATTTTATGTTTTGTCAAATAACCCTCTTATTTAGGAACACACTAGGTAGCATAGATTAACAACTTATTAATAATAAATTATAATATTATTTTATTACTCCCTCCGTCCCAGATACCATTGTCTGTCTCACATACCATGTCACTTTTTTTTTTTGGAAAATAATTACACATTTTAATATCATTTTAAATTTTATTTATTTTTTTAAATTTTAATTAAACTAATTAGTTATCTTAATCTCAATTTATAATTATTTATATTAAAGAATAATTATTTTCACTAATACATTCTTAATTATCTATTAATTACACCCCTACACCCCTTTTAAAATACCGTGTCTACAGTGTATTTGGGACTGAGAGAATATTTTTTATATGATTATTGTGATTATATTTTAAATATTTTTAGTATTATATTTCAATAAAATATCTCCCTCCATACACTGCTAATCTTTCTATTTAAATTTTACTTGTTAATACTTAAATATTTATTATTATATCAAAACGTACTATAAATTAAAAAAAAAAACAAATATCTTTTATTAATGTCTTATACTAATATATTGACATTTGTAAAAAAAAATTTATACAAATATAAAAATATTTTTAACGTCGCGAAATGATGCACTTGTCAACATGCTCTGGTCGCCCATACAAACGAGAGTGTGTCAGCGTCATAGGACATTGAATCTCGACGGCATTCCATCTCGAACCCTTACTCAATGACTTAATTGCTCTATGAGCTTTTACTAATGCTAAGGTGACGACCATCAGACGGTGATACTCGCAGAGGCGCCAATGGTTCAGTTGATCACCGATAATTTTTGAGGCATATCTGCGGTTGAATAGTTGATCCTTCTTAATCTTGGCGTAGGCTACCGATATCTCCCAATTGGTGTCCTTCCCTAAATATCTTCTCGGGGGAAATGAATCCTCGGAAACATGCCATTTTTCTACCACATGTTTGATTAAGAACTTGAATGTGATCGCGAATCCTGATTCTTCAGTAGTCGTGTACGAGTTATTGTCGATTTCGGGTTCGTCGAAGATCATGTACTTAGTTATACATTCTTCTTCTGCCATGTTGAGGATTCGAAGACAGTTGATTATTGAAACTGAGGAAGAATTTTGATCGAGTACGAGTGAGATTGGGAAGAAATAAATTGAAAGTGTTTGGAACGTGAATTGATATGAAATAGATCGTATATATAGACGAGAGAGAGAGAGGGAAAGTTTCTCGGGCCCAGGATATTCTGTTATTTGATTGTGGATCTTAAAGATTTCTTTCCTAATTTTGATATTATTCTTTTAAAATATATATCTGAAAAATTACGATTTTCTTTAATTAGTAAATTGTTTGTTAAATAAGTGTACCGGACTTTAATATAACAATGAAGAATATATTATCCGATATTTGTGTCAATCCATGTTATCTATATAAATTTATAATAAGATATATTTCCCAATTAATTTTTATCGATAATATTTTATTGAAAAAATTTAATTAGTTTTTGATTCAATTTCTATGATCAATTTGTATTATTTATAATATCCAATACTATAATTGGTTATGCATACTATACAATTCGAATTTTCGGATATATATATTTTTATTCATATCCAATAAATATATAATGTCTTGCATTTAGTCTTATTCTCGTCCTATTAATCGACTCACAATATAAATTTTATTTCCTTCTCAATTCTTGATCAAATTTTAATATTAGTCGAGTTCTTTAAATCTTGAACATGGCGTCAGTCAATATTGTTTACATCGTGAGGAATTAACAACCTTCAGCACGTCGGATCAATACGATTGTTAATTTCGCTGTTTAATCTTGAAGATGCCAATCGACTACGACTCCTACTTCACCACCGTTGGACAATCCGGATTTACAGTAACCTTCAATTTCAATTTCCATTTCGAGGTAGAAGAATGTGTTCGATACACAGCTCTATCGACTCCATCAACATACTTAAGGCAGGTCACTCAATCGGCGGTGTCAACGTGGACCAAAATGGATCAATTATTCAACCGTAAACAGGCCTCGAAATTCCTCGATGATCATCTCCGGTTATGGCTCTTCCAAGAAGACGAGCGATTAGGCTACGAAGCGATTAGCTTGTTGGCGGACATGGATTCGAGATGGGATTCCGTCGAGATTCCGCGTGATGTGTCTATAAAACACAGCCACGTTTTTAACGATGAGTCTCTGCCGCCTTGGATAGAGCTCTTGAAAAATATGGTTATAATGCCGGCGGACTCTACAATGACTTGCACTGTTTGCTTGGAAGTGATGACCGGAGAAGGCGAGCCGGCGGCGGCGATGCCGTGTCAGCATATTTTTCATGAAGATTGCATCAAGAAGTGGCTGATAATGAGCCATTATTGCTCTCTATGCAGGTTTGAGTTAACGAAGCAAGATTAAAAGGTGAATTTCGATTTGAAATATTTTTTATATTTTGTAGTGTTTATATATATTAAAGAGTTTGATATTTAAATAAATAAAAATATTCGTTAAATTAGATAATTATTATTTGAGTTTATCTGGTCAAACAGTATTGCCTTTTATGTAGTCCAAATTTGGAATTTAGTTCAACAAATCAAACCATTTATGTAATTACCAGTTCTCCTATACATGTTTTATATTTACTTTATTTTTAAAAATGAGTATATCGAGAGAGAGAATATAATTATTCAAATAAATTTAATATCAATATAATTTATCGGAATAACTTCAATAACTGTGATTTAATCTATAATAATTTTCTTACACTTTAAACCATTTGGTTGTATATCTTTGAAGTTTTAATTTGAATTGGAAATTGAGATTTAGATTATTATTATTATTATTTTTATTATTTTTGTATCTAAAGAATATTTATTGTGATATTTTGTTAGAAAAAATTTGGTTGACGACGAGCCTCTGCCGCAGTGGATTGAGTCGTTGTTAGAGATGTCGGATGCGTGGGGATGACTGTGGATTCTACAGAGACTTGAGCTATTTGTTTGGAAAAAATGAGAGGTGAATTTGAAGTTTTGGCGATGCCATGCGAGCATATTTTTAACGAAGATTGCATCAAACAGTGGTTGAAGAGGAGCCATTATTGCCCTTTGTGTCGTTTTGAGTTACCGGCGCAAATTAAGCGAGTGAAGAAGTTCGGCAGGCGTCAGATTCTATTTCTTTCTTTTTTTCTAATCTTTCTGTGCTGTTTGTATCAATTTTCTTGAACTTGGATATTTCAATTACATCTTTAATTTAATTCTTATATAATATGCAAATTAAAAATCAAAATATAACGTAAATTCAAATTAATTATACTATGTCTATGTCTGAAAGCATCAATAACCGCGACAGAAATGGGAGAGGGAGGTAGAGCTTGCACTACATAGTGTTTTTTTTTTTTCTACACGATTTTTTTCTTCTTATTATTAGAAATATTTTTTGAACTCCAAAATTACTTTTATTTCCTGTACATGTACTTGATTTTGAATTTAAAAACGATCCCACAACATTTTTCTAATATAATATTTTATAAATTATTATTATTATTATATAAAAAATAAAATAAAATTTCAAAAGAGTAAAGCCATAAATTACTTTGATATATAGATATATAGAGTAGTGGACCTTTCATTTGGATTATGATTTTATTTTGTTTGAATAATAACATGAATGTGGTATTTTTGTAAGATAAAATAGTGAATTTTGATAGAGATTAAGATTGTTGTATAGTAAAAAAAGTGATTTGTATAATCCTTGTGTCTTACTATAAATTTATAAAGTACTACTCATTTTGTCATTTAGATTTATATTTATTTTACTTATTGGATTGTAATAGATATATTCTTATTTTATCTTTTAGTAAAAAATATATTATTTTTGTACTTTTTTTATTAAATAAAAGAAAATTATAATTATTTTACACACAAATTTTATGACAAAAAAGGTAATCAAATTTATTCCCATTTTCATTTTTATTCGATCCTTTAAATTTATCTTATTACTAATTTTTACAAAGTAAATAAATTAACATTTACAATTAATATCATTAACTTCATTATATTTTCTCTCTTCGTTAACTTTAATTTCTAACTAATTTTTCAAAAATACTCCAAGTAGCTATCATTTTCTCAACAAAATATTCAATTTTTCTTAATCTGCGATCCAAGTGGACAAATTTTAGTAGAAGGAGAGAGTATATCAATAAAATATAAAATAAAAATAAATATTCTATTCTAACTAACAAAAGGCTAAAAAATTCGTAAACACCAGAGAACACAGCCAATGGATTCAATTATGATGATTGATGAGCAATGAATTCAATTACATTACATAAAGATTTTTTTCGAAAAGAATAGTTACTTCGAAAGTATTGCCTTCCAAGGTTCATCGAAGAATACAATTTGATGCCCATCAAAATATATTTACCGCGGGCTTAATCATCATCCGTCGGTAACTCGTAACGACACGACGGGCAATAATGGCTTCTCCTCAGCCACTTTCTGACGCAATCTTCGTGAAAAACATGTTCACAAGGCATCGCCACAGCCTCGCATTCGCCGGTCATCTCTTCCAAGCAAACAGTGCACGTCTCTGTAGAATTCGCCACACGCCTCAACGACATCTCTATCGACGACTCCTCCGCGGGAACCATGCCGTCGCCGTCTTCATTCAAACGAGTGTAGGTCACCGTCATAGGGCATTCAATCTCGACCGCATTCCATTTCGAATCTTTACTCAATGACCTAATTGCTCTATAAGCTTTTACTAATGCAAAATTGACCACCATCAGGCGGTGATACTCGCACAGGTGCCAATGGTTCAGCTGATCACCGACAATTTTTGAGGCATCTTTGCGATTGAATAGTTGATCTTTCTTAATTTTGGCATAGGCCACCGATATCTCCCAATCTCTGTCCTGCCCTAAATATGTTCTCGGAGGAAATGAATCCTCAGAAACAAGCCATTCTTCTATCACTGGTTTTATTAAGAACTTGAATGTGATGGTGAATCCGGATTCTTCAGTAGTCCTGTAAGAATTATTGTCGATTTCGGGTTGGTCGTCGTCAAAGATTATGTGCTGACATATACATTCTTCTTCTGCCATGTTGAGGATTCGAAGAACTTGAATGTCTATTGATTATTGAAACTGGGGAAAAAAATTGATGGAGTAGGAGTGGAATAATTGAGAAGGAAAAAATTGGTTGCAGGTGTGAAATATATAACGTGTATATATATAGAGAGAGGGAGAGTTTGGCGGCCGAGATATTCTGTGATTTGATTTGTGGATTTTAAAAAAATCTTTCGAGAACTTTGATATTATTCTTTTCAAATTTGTATATGAGAATTCCTCGAGATTTTCTTTAATTAGTAAATTGTTTGTTTAATAAGTGTATCCGACTTTAATATATCAATAAAGAATATATTATCAGCTATTTATGCAATCGATGTTATCTATATACTCCCTCCATTAATATATATTTTATATTTTATTAATTTATCTATGTCATTTTTAATTGAAAATTTTTAGTAGTTTTTTATTCAATCTATATATCAATTAGTATTATTTATTATATCCAATACGAAAATCGATTATATATATACTATCAAATTTGAATTTTTCGGTATAAATATTATTATTCAACATCTAATGAACATTTAATGTCTCACATTTAGTCTTATTGATACATATAAATCCTTTAGAAAAAACTGCGGCATCTAATGATTATTTTTGCTAAAATTTTCTAAATATGAGACCATTTTATGATAAGAGGGTTACCGAAGAATTATTTTTCTCAATTATATATATTATACAAAATAGAATATAACAAAAAAGAAAATGATATTGTGGGCCCCTCAATTGTTATATAACAACGGCCCATTAATTGACTCGCAATAGAGATTTCATTTTCTTCTTAATTGTCGATCAAAATTCCTTCTGTTTTAATATTAATTTGAGTTCCTCAAATCTTGAGCATGGCCGAGGAACGTCAATATATTTTACATCAGATTGTACGTCAGGAATTGACAATCCTAAACCTCCAGCAAGTCCGATAAATACAATTGTTTTGGCTGTGATTTAAAATTAATTTGAAATGATATATTGATTTTAGTTTTAGAAGGTATAAAATACTACTTGTTTTGTCATTTAAATTTATGTTCATTTTACTTTATAGATTGTTTTAAAAAATATTTATATTTTATTTTTTAGTAAAATAATATACTCCCTTCTTACTTAGGAACATAATATAGATTAGTAAGTTATTAATATATTTTATGTTTAGTCATATGACCCTTTTATATTTGAAATAAAATTTATTTTATATTTTGTCAAATAACCTTTTTATTTAAGAACAAAGTAGGTAGCAAAAATGAGTAACTTATTAATAATAAATTATGATATTATTTTATTATTTTTTATATGATTATTATTGTTAATATTTTAAATATTTTTAGTATTATATTTCGATAAAATATCTTCCTCCGGCTAATCTTTCTATTTAAATTTTACTTGTTAATACTTAAATATTTATTATTATATCAAAACGTACTACAAATTAAAAAAAAAACAAATATTTTTTATTAATGTCTTATACTAATATATTGACATTTGTAAAAAAAAATTATATAAATATAAAAATATTTTTAACGTCGCGAAATGATGCACTTGTCAACATGCTCTGGTCGCCAATACAAACGAGAGTGTGTCAGCGTCATAGGACATTGAATCTCGACGGCATTCCATCTCGAACCCTTACTCAATGACTTAATTGCTCTATGAGCTTTTACTAATGCTAAGGTGACGACCATCAGACGGTGATACTCGCAGAGGTGCCAATGGTTCAGTTGATCACCGATAATTTTTGAGGCATATCTGCGGTTGAATAGTTGATCCTTCTTAATCTTGGCGTAGGCCACCGATATCTCCCAATTGGTGTCCTTCCCTAAATATCTTCTCGGGGGAAATGAATCCTCGGAAACATGCCATTTTTCTACCACATGTTTGATTAAGAACTTGAATGTGATCGCGAATCCTGATTCTTCAGTAGTCGTGTACGAGTTATTGTCGATTTCGGGTTCGTCGAAGATCATGTACTTAGTTATACATTCTTCTTCTGCCATGTTGAGGATTCGAAGACAGTTGATTATTGAAACTGAGGAAGAATTTTGATCGAGTACGAGTGAGATTGGGAAGAAATAAATTGAAAGTGTTTGGAACGTGAATTGATATGAAATAGATCGTATATATAGACGAGAGAGAGAGAGGGAAAGTTTCTCGGGCCCAGGATATTCTGTTATTTGATTGTGGATCTTACAGATTTCTTTCCTAATTTTGATATTATTCTTTTAAAATATATATCTGAAAAATTACGATTTTCTTTAATTAGTAAATTGTTTGTTAAATAAGTGTACCAGACTTTAAT